ACAGTCAGTGCAAACTACAGCAAATGAAGGACAAGATTGGTCTTTGGAAGAAAGCTATGAATGTTATCCATAAATTTGCAAATCCTTATATTATTGTCAGAACTATTTGTTTATAGTTATAAAACAAAAAATCAGCATCATGGACATCATGCTAAAAGTCGGAGATTGCTACAAATGCGGTAAAATAAATTTCCCGCCTTTAAAATATGGATCTTTGAAGTGCGATAATTATAAATTTCCAGGTAAAATATGCATGACATAAAATCCCAACCTTATTGTTCGCCGGGAAAAAAAGGTGAAATTCTCTCCACCAAAATTCCCACTCCAGTGGTAAATTATGCGTCATTTTTATTTCTCTCTCTATTTTTCTCAATTCACGGCAGCGGGGTTCGAGTGGTCGTTGTATACTCGGCAGGGTCGAGTTACATCGTGCGCCGAAGTTTTGACCCTGGGAGACCGGTCAAATTCCCCTAAGTGTCGCAGAGATTTTCGTTAGGCTCCAAAAAAAAAAAGGTAGACCATGTGCGATACGAAGCGCTCATACTGTTTTATAAAATCCATCGTCTTTTTAAACCGCATTTTATACCGCATCCATGATTCGTCTTATGTGCATGATTTATCACATCAATTTCGAGACTTCGAAATTGAAATCGCAATGTAGCAATGTTATTAAATATTACACCTAATTGACCGCAATGAGTTACCTGATGTATTTGAGATTTCTTTGGGGACAGCTAGGCCTTTCAAGCCTTATAAAATACGAAGAGAACAATGTCTCGACCATAAGGATACGTTTTTGATCGACAGAATGACAGAGAAACGGGTTGGTGCAAGTAATCAGTGCTTTTTGTTCAGAAAACGTCATAACTAGCCTGGACGACAAAATGCGGCCACCTATAAACACACTGCGCCTATTTTGTTTTTAGGCCTACATCGAATAATGCGCCCGTCTTCATTCTACAGGTGTATATTAATGTGGACAGTAATCAAATCACACATTTTTAACAAAATCAACTGTATATTTTGAATACTGACCAAGAGTGAATAACTGTAAAATACCATTTTATTTACCATAACCATCGACCCATAACTTTGCATTACGTGGGTCGTGACGCACTTTCTAGTTCGTGGTGCCCATTTCCAGTTTGATGCTAATCACTAATTGATTTCCACTACTTCATCAGATTATGACCAATAATTTACGTTGCGACGTCGTTCACTACTAGCTGCGGTACCGTAAGATTGGCTTATAGATAAAGACCACAATAAGAAGAACTTACGTAATTGTTAAAAAAAAGCAAGCAAGTTGGATATCTCATCACGCAGGAAGATACTCTGAAACTAGGGCGATTTCCAAAGGGTGAAGGAAGGATGTCAATTGATACCCGGGAAGTGTTTTTTTCTTTTTTCTTTTTTGCAGGACTGAATGGTGTATCGCAAATCAGCAATTCATTTAGAAATTCTCCAGTGTATCGAAGCTCGATTCGAGACTATCATTTTGGTCCCTGGAATATTGTGGGGGCTTTATGTTACTCTGCACTGATGGTTAATGCATTAATGCAATGTGGTTTCACCGGTACCGTATACAAAAGATCTGAAAACGAAAAAAGCGTGGGCATTTAAACATTAGAAAAAAAGGATACTATTTTAGTTTTCGTTTTCAAATCAGAAGAGACCTTCTAAAGCTATTGCCAGACCTCCTACACACCGCAATGATACGGTAACTGACAACTGAAGAGTCTGCGCCGCAACAGGTTAAGGAACATGACCGTACCGGCTTGAATCAAGGCTAACGGCAATGCTATACGGAAATCAAGGAGATGAACTTGATAAAATGTCAAACTACATGACGTCATTTTTGGCACAAGGCTCGGGATCAGTTTCATCTCCTCTCGATGCTGGGGTCGATTGACAATTTCTTTGGTACTGAAACCTGACGACCCGCTATCGGATAGGCGTACGCGCTTGGATTCAGCGGCCAGGAAGTTCTTTTACTGTGCTTATGAAAGATCCTCGTTGGGGACAATACCAATATGAACTCTGTAATGGTAATTAAGACCAAAAGGTTAACAGGAAACCAAGGTGGCAGCCCATTTCAATCGCAGTTTTAGTCAGAGTTGCAATCAACCAATACAAAAAAAGTCTCTTCATTTTATCTCGAGTCCCTAGATTTTTCCTACGATAGCCTACGGTCACGATAAAGTATGTCATGCTCTAAAGTAGGCCATATTCATAAGCCATGGTTTTCTGTTATATACATAGGGAATCATCTCCGGCTCCAGAAGCAGAATGGAAACACTCGAACTAGTACAGCCTCATATATGATTTAATTTTAGGGGCCTCAAATCATGAGGCAGGGCCTAAGAGTATAATAAAGAGCCTAAGCCAAAGTAACCAAGGTTCGCGAATGGTAGCCACAGCCGTAGGCAAAATGCTCAAGACGCTATATGGAAAGGCTCACTAATGCAGGCAAGACGGTCCAATGTTTTCTGTTAATTGCAGTAATTTCATCATCTTCTATGATGAGAATTTAAGAACTTATCTGCTGCCACCAAGAGGCTGATAAACCCACATTCGATCAATATGGTATCAAACGCCACGGTAATGGGGAGGACAGGTGGTACACGCATTTTGTGTACAACACGTCTGTGCTAAATGTATCGTGTATTAAATACATTTTGTATAAAATTAAACATGGTTGATACAAACTCCCACACACCTTGATACAAACCGTCACGCACATGCACAATCGCACTGAACTGACCCAGTTCATCTTACAAGTACAAGTACGTACCCGATACTTTTGGGTACTTCGAATGGGTACCCATTCGTTCGACACATTTTTTTTCAAGTCATCACATCAGTGTTGAAAGTCAGTTCGGTTCACTCTTTGGGATTCTTAACGAGATTTTGTGATAACTGGTCAGCCTGAATATCAGTGATATTGGTTCAGATTCTATGGGATCTGACAAAAGTTACTCGTCCAACACTGATCCCGAAGCAATTACTCTGAAAAAAAATATTGACGTCAAGTACCCTCTTTGAAGAGAAACCTTTTATGTTCGTTTCCTCTTGGGGATGACGCCATACGAAGACATTGCACGGGAAGCGAGGAAAACGAGAATATAGAGTTTCTGCGAGTTTACTAAGGGACTTCACTGTAATTATTAATAAGTTTAGCTATTGTGGTCATTTAATTGGAGAAGCAAGGACACATGTGTAATAACAGGGACTGATGCCTGGACCGGGTGTTTGCGGAACTTCTCGCAGACTGATTTTCTTTCTTTAAAAAATGGATGGGAGTAAAGTTCGACGACCTGGAGAGAGATTATGGATGGAGAAGTGACCGCTAACTTGAAATACATATATTTGGTTAAAAACAAATAACAGCCCACTGTTTCTTCGAAATCAAGTTGACAGTTACAGTAAATTATTCAGGATCAAAGTTAAATTATTTACGAACCGGACGGATAACGCTATGCGTGCAGGAGAGAAATGAAATCTAAACAAAACTGACTCCCGGTATTATGTTTCATCGCTTCTTAGATTATTTTGTTCCCTTCTAATGCCTCGAAGATTCGAGCAATGAAAAGAAACGTACAAGATAAAATAGGATTTTTTTAAATTGGATTCTGTTCTGTATCAGAGTCAAGAAAAGGAATGAATGATTCCTTCAATTGTGTTTATTCAAGTTAAAAGGCAAAAACGAAAAAGTTGAACGAAAAACAAGACAAGGATTTTTTACAACCGCTCCCCCCCCCCCACCAAAAAAAGAGTTGCTCCCTTTTGCGTTACCAGTCATGTTAAATTCGGCCCATAGGCGTTGCTACAATATTAAAGAGCGTTAGAGCGGAAGTTTGAGGGCATAGTTAATACTTAATTAGGATTAGTTGCTAATCTTTCAAAGAGCAATAGTTATATCTGGATTATCTACTCAAGAACCTCCGAGTCACAGTAGCGCGCCAAGCATGGAAAATTGCCCATAGCATCCAACCGAATCCTGACAAAGAAGACTTGGTTGCGTAATTTTCTTTTTATTTAATACATCTACATGTATCTACAAGGGATACCCGATAAGAAGTTGTCACAAAGAGACGGAGCTTTGTCCTCAGGAACTGCCAGTCATATCAATATATATAGCTTCGCCACCTACGACATAGAAAATAATCATTTTACTGGTTCCTTATACATACATGCCATAAAAAATTCATAACACAGAAGGAACATACGGTATGTGGTTTTGTTAAGGTACGCTTCAAAAGTAAATAATACATTTAATGTTACGTTGCCTGATACCGTTTTTTACTTCATTGTAGAATATTTCCGTGTTACTCCTACCAAAGCGTCAGGGATGTTGCTTTTTAAATATCATTTCAATTACATCAACCTATTCTTTGCAATTAAGAATGTGATGACCTCTTTATTGTTACAAGTTTCGCTTAATCTTTAGTTTTCCTTTTCAAGCTTACGCCAATGCAACACATAATAATATAATGAGATAATCACTCGTATTAGCACCACCTCACTGAAGCGTAAATAACCGGCAAATTGATATGGATAATTAATTACAACTATTTTCAACTTCTGTCTCCTGACGAAGAGCAGAGCATACTGACTGAAACGTTTGGTTTTCCCCGCTTCCTTTTAGAACCTCACAAACTCACAAAAGAGATTTGTCACACGGTGCTACCGTATATACATTATCTGATTGCTACCGTTACCATGCTTTTTCAGTCATTTTGATTGCAATTGCTTCCAACCCAATTACCGTTTCAAATGAAACAACTGCGCCCAGTAATTGGACGGGCTCGTCAATCACTGACGCGAATTAAATCGCAATATCTTTGGCCCCTATAGTTATAGACCAACATAATTCAAGCTCCACAAAAAAACATGGGGAAAAATTACATCCGTATAGATAAATCAACACTCTATAATTACGTACCACAAATTAGATAAACCAATATGGCTATCATACAGCTTGTCATTTTTTCTTCCAGCCAAACACCCATAATGATCCACCCAACCGAAAGCCACCATCATTCCCGCATCAACCTTCTGCCTACAACATCATGCAACATGCACTGTGGGACGAAAAGATGGCGGACGACGCCGGCGACACCGGCGGGTACGAGGCCAGAAAATGGAGCTACCTCCAGGACAGGGTCAACGATAATTACGTACAGAGAACTATTGACTATCTGCTGAACGGGATCGAGGTCGACGCTGACGAGCATCTCAGGGAAGAGGGACACGGGTTAGACAGCCGAAGTATCGGTGTCCAACGGCGTTCGAGTCTCCCAGGTAAGTAACCAGGGTTCAAAGGTCAAAACTAAGCATTGATACAAAATAATCAACAGCCATACATGCCGCCAAGTCAGAGTTATTGTTAATTAGTAGATTAAATCAGAAAATTGGCAGTATAATTTAAATTTTCCAAATCGTTGTTCACTGTTTATATATAACCATTGGTCAAATAACTTAGAATGACATATATTTTAGTTGAACAAAATACGAAAAAGCGTCAAATGAAAAGCCCGCCAAAAACTCCTCGGAGATAATCTCGGTCACAAGCTTGAACAAACTTTGATGCACGTGACGCTAGAGTAGCGCGGAAAACACTCAACTTCTCCGTGAAGCATGTATCAGTTCTAAAAGTGCCATTAGCGTGTTGATGTACGAACATCTTAACTGCAACTTGAGTTACACATGTACACTGTGTAGAATTTATTCTGGATTTAGTGATCTTAATTATTCGGGAAAACTGCGAGTCAGGTATTTATTAAACCAAATTAATGCAAACAATATGCAAAATCAATACTGAGACATCGGTGTGTGATTTCAAATCTGCGGTAGCGCCTCGGGAAGGCGTGTTGGGGAAAGTAATGATCAGCGTGCGATGGGGATTGGAGCTGGCGGCGTTCAGACCGCGATTGCCCCGGGGCCTGAGGTGGCCCTCTCCGCTCGCGAATGTCATCCTCGTAGTTCCGGCCCGCCAGCCACTGCTCGGTTCTATCTTTCCTTCTCCGTTACTGAAACCTCACCACCGGAACTACTTTTTTTCCTTGTGTGCAAAAGAGACGCCTGTTTTTGCAAAACGACGGCTGTTACATGTCCCAAAACGCAAGACGCATTATTATAGCTATGTCCAATTTTGCCCCATACTGCTGAACAAGCGTTTTCCGAATTTTGGTGCACATCAAAATCCATTTGTCAAGACCATGATCGTCAATAAAACGACATAGGCCTGCTGGCAATACTGACAACGTGCCGCAAAAGAAGTTGGTCCTTTTGCACGTCCAAGGGAACTCGGGGATATTTCACCAATTACCCTATCATTATTCACTGGAAAGGTTTTTTCCATCCAAATCTCATTTTAAAGATGATCATTTGGAAATGTCTTAGACTTATGTTGAAATTATCAAAATGGCATTTATAATTGAGTTTGATGATGAAAGCACCCCGTATGGGATAATTAAAAAAATTAAATATATTTGGGGGCTTCATAGAGAATTTAATTCAAACCAGAGGTAAACGTTTATATCAATGGTTGTGCCAATCTATTAATAGGCCTAAGACTTCGCACATTATATATTCTTGAAATAAAATTAAACATGATAAACAAAATAATGATTCATGTTTCATGACTGTTTTCGGCATGTTCCCCATTTTGCAGCATCAAAGACCTTAACGTAATTTAAAAAGAAAAAACGTGTTGCCATGACTTTGAGGTTTTACATGCGATGTCGATGATACTTCAGAGCTGACACCCATTTCACTCTTATGCCAACCCCTGAACTGCATGCTTGTGACCAATCACCAACAAAAAGTGTTCTATCACGTCCAAGTTCGATTAAACGTGGCTTAACTGGTTCCCGAATTGTCAGCGATTTTTGTGATTCCAATAAGTAACAACAATTAATAATGGTTTGGTGTCAAATCAAGCATACCAATTACACTAGACCCTACTGACCTTAAACCAATCATTGGTAATGGCTCACTCCTCAAATTGCGAGCATGGCACAGTTTGTTTTCAAATCCCTAAGGATAACTCTGGCAAATTGCACGAGGAAATACATAAATACACACGCAATTTTAATGAGTATATACCCAATTGGGTCACTGGGCACATGCTATGGGTTCTAATCGGCCGTGCAAAGTTGAAATCGACGCCCACTGGTTTTTCTTCATTGAAATAATGGGGGACAAAATCCTCAATTCCAAACTTCTAAAGTAAGTATGACGGGGGGAATGTTTGAAACAACTAGGTGTTTTAGAAAGAAGAAAAGCATTTCATCTTTCCAGCCATTACAAAATATATTTGTATAGGTAGTTTTACCTGCATGGTATTGATCTCGTTTATATCCAACATCACTATTATCGATGACGCCAAAAGCATAATATTCTGAGACCAAAACGATACACATTGCGTATTATACCCGGTTTGTACAACCAAACGTCTTAGATACATTACTGTATCTTCTAGATGCGTACCACGAAGCTGACAAAATTCACGCACTTAAAAATTTAAATAACGCTAAAAAAATGCATGAAATTTTGATTGTTGGGGGACTCATGGGAAACGATGTTCTAACAGAAGAGATCTAAGCACTAAGGGAAAGTGCTCTTGTGGCATGCACAAGAACGCCATTGAGTCCATTCCCTTAATTGAACTTCGGCCATGTAGAACGGATAGTTAATTTGATAAAATAAACAAAGCCAGCCCGCTCTGCGCACCAAACGACCCTGAGTCATTGTGTTTCTGTCGGTTTACTTAAAGGAAGAACGAAAAGACCTTAGAGAAACAAACGACAAATGAGATTATTTGCATCCGAATCGTCACTAACACGGCGTACTCACTAAAATGTCCATTACCATCTTGCAAAATCTACGAATTATCACAAAGGTGAGCCAAAGATAAGATGAAACGATTTTTTATTTGGCTTTCTTTCTTTGTAACTGGGGTCATTTGAATTATGTATGCATACGTTTATGCATACGCATTTTTGTGTTGAACAGAACTGAACAAAAGCTGGCGTAAACAAGAAAGGCAAACGCCTTCGCGTACACTCGTTTGGTCGTCACGGGCATTATGCTAGAAGCGCCATAACGATTTAAAACTTTTTTCTCAACGAATTTTTTAACGAGTTTATAATCAATATATGAAGGCAAAGGAGGGGCTGAACTTGGGTTGATGTTTGATGTAGCCCTACATCTCTATAAGTATAAGGACACGTTTACAGATAATCTGCACTGTGCTTCTTTGTTTAAAACATAAATGTAGGTTATTATTGCACGCAACAATGAGATACTGGCATCACGATTTGAAGGTTGCACGTTGTTCGGGCCTCAGACGGAGAAATTATATCGCTAGCCAAGATTTAATCAAGCAATAACCCTCGGAAACTGCATTCATCGGTCCTTCCTGCAGGACAAAAATGTTATCCACGGTCCGTATATATAGCCGTCTATACCCTAGTCCATCACTGACAGAAGGCCGTCCAATTTTTCATGGAGATAAACGACGTATCCGATCGGCCGGTCGCATTACGTGGGCAAACATCGCCAGCCGCAGTAATGTGATTGTGGGCCCGCCACTTCCAATTACCGGGCCAATTTGGTTCGGGTGTAGGCCCGGACTCACTCGCGGGGACAATGTTTGGTTTTCGCGCTGGGAAAAAAACTCATCGAGAGCTGCCTTCTCCCGATAGACCAAACTGGTGCGAGGTACGGGCCTTGCGAATTGTTGACGCGATGCGCTAAAATTAAAACATTCTCGTGTGGTAATTTAGATGCTGCCGTCAAAACAAATTGTATCAACGGTTCCACCGGTAATTTAAAGGAGACTTGAAGGCTGAGTTCGCAATTTTACTTCAATTTTAGGCTTCCGTTTTAATATACATGTATTAGTTCAGAACTCCATGCTTCGAGGCCTTCTATGCGGGACACATGCAATAGACATAACGATTTAGTTATTCACAGTTAAAATCAAATGTTCATGACATCTTTGCACAACGTTATAATGGTCTGCATGCCACATGCAGTGATTTGAAAAAGCGTTCTTGGTGCGCCCAATTCTGTTTGGACTTATTATTCCTAATACGGTTGTTTCTTTAAAACGGTGAAAACCACCGTTTGTTTGCCATTACTTCAAACAGACCGCCCATGAGAAACAGAAAACACGCAAAACAAAAAAATCCTGAACTAGGTTATACATGTACATGACAAGAATATTTACATTTTATACAAGTTTAATTCCGGTAGTCTAGAAGCGAGCTGTTCTTCGAATTACCAACGCCGGATAAACTCACAACCAAACTGCTATCGTTTTATCGCTGTTTCGGTCCCATAATGGCTGAGGGGCAAATGGAAACAGGTCGTTTGTTTTTCCGCAACTCGACGTTTATGAGTCATTTTTTTGACCGGGCGGCGTGATTAAGTGACTGCAATCTTCGCGCCTTTGGCGGGAGAACCGCGTTCTTCTACCGGTATTCCCGTTGCGGTAAACGGGCGCGTAACCCGTTGACTATAGCAACGCACGGCTTGCGAGTTCCCGCGAATCTAGTCCGTTCATCTCCATGGTGATGTTTGAAACAGATTGCTCATTTATTACTCAACTCCGTAAAAGGTAAAAAAAAATGGAGTTTTTGACCCACCGAGCTGTCGCTACAGGACCTATCAGAAATGAGTTGCTTAATTTTGCTTCAAATATTTGCCAAGTATATGACTCAAATAAGAGAACCAGTGTTTTTGGCCGCCTCCGTTTACGTTGATTAAAGAAAGTCAATGTTCGCCTCACAATACATAAATTAATGAGTGGAAATGATTTAAATGCATTGGCAAATGTAGCTATTAAATTACTCAAACAATGTTAAGGTTTTGATCATCGGAACAATAAGCTCGCATTTTTGATAAATTGATGGCAAAACTTAAACCACTGACGGTTATTCTTTTAAACAGTAAATGATACCCGACAGCATTGGCCCAGCTTACACGCCACAAAACCCGTGTATGCTTCGCTAGAAAACGAATTCGATTCGATCTTGACGTCACTAGTTCTTGCCGAAGTTGTGGTGAAGTTTGTCAATTCCCCGCGTCGTAGTTTGCGTGCGCATGACGTATTACGAATCCGGCTTTCTATAGTCTTGATTCAAGTCGTTATTGGTGGCGTGTAATACTGATACGTGCACGTCAGTCACACACAATCGATCCTGTTTTCTTATGGTGCTACTAAATCCGCACCATAAGCATTTATTAAAGTCTTGTGGTTCAGTTTTCTTCCAAAATAAACGGAAGATTCCCCAATATTTGGTGTAAATATCCGTAAATTAAGATAGAATAACTTAACACCGTGCAACGTTTACAATTAATGAAGGCCTTCGGCCTGCAAAATGTCATATACAAAATTCTTTAAAAAAACACCTTATTTTTAAAATTCTTTTAACGGACTATTAAGGAAAGTTTACCACACCTCAATACAAGCTTACACAGAGTCTAGAAGACTTAACTGCATGTACGTGCCACGGACCTTTAACGTTGGCCTTTTATGTTCCCGGCGTTGCATACGCCCCATTAACGTTGCACACTGATCGATGAGGACCAACCTGCCCGCAGGCTTATCTCGCGAATCAAAATAGTGAGAAACAACACATCTCTATCTCTCGGAATTAATTACTTTCATTTGCGATTTTGGCAACTGTAAATTACTCGTAGTCGTGCGTCACGTTTATTGCGGTTAATGTTCAGCATTAGAGTTCGTGAATAATCTTCCCATCTATGGACGTCAGCAAACGAACAAAATAATCACAGTGTGATTGCTAATTACTGCAGGCACTATCAGAAAACTGAAGAGAAGTTCCATCCGGGGAATGAAATCATTGGAAACTAATGGCATGTTTTCAAAATACTCTTCTTCGAAACACGAAGACTTTACGCACGCCACTACACAGCGTGTATTCTTGCGATCGAATCGGCTTACGTGTTTGTTTGTTGCTTATCACGTGATCTTCTTTACGTCATTGAGTGGTAATTCAGGACCAAGATTACAGCGGTAAAATACTGATGAAGGTAACTCCATCTTCTTTCAAGGCGTCTTGAAAATGTCCTTTCATTGTTGTGCTGTGGTCCCCACAGACTCGATGCCATTTCAGTGAAAAGGCACTGGAGAGACTTCAAGGTACAGTCAAGCGTGGGCCCTGTGTTTCCGTCACAAGATTCCAGAAAATACTTGGGATGTTATGCTCCTATAATTTACGCGGAAATGCAAATGCATTCACATCGTGTCATTGGCTTCAGAACGATAGGAAGGGACGAAGGGATAAATACACCCACTCTTAATAACATTTAATTTAATCCTACCTATATACCAGACATGTACCCTTAAAGCATGTAGCCTGTATGTAAACATCTGTTAATGTTATCGAGTTCAATATTGTAGGATTTTCACTGTCGGAAGACACTTTACCAAATCACCTTAGTTGAGGGTATTAACTTAGTGTATACATTACTATTTTTGTGGGGAAAAGTTTATAAACTTGAAATACATACACTCTTTCCTTTGAGGAATAATAGCATTTAATTTCTCTAGTCCATAACTGTGCATTTTCGTGCCCGTCATCTCCTGATTTGTGCTCATGGCACCACGAATCGGTTGGATTATGGCCGACTTTTGACCGTTCTGCGCATACACGCTAAAATTGACCAATCGGCGTCGAGGGTCGATACACAATGACGCACCACTAAATAAACAAGGATAGATCCATCAGACGTACGCGTATTACACACGTCTAAAATCAATCCTCGAGATCTCTCCAAAGCGCCACAAGTGATTAAATTCAGTGCAAAAACAACTTGTTCAAACAAGGACGTGTTTGTATATAATTTCCATTTTAACAACATCATAATATTCATGGAACTGTTTATTATACGGCATGCACAATACAGCATTTTATCCAATGATCAAGTAAAATAAACACAACGTACCCGTTTGCAATTACGCCAACGCCACACACTTGAATATCAAGTGAAGTTAAATATTTTTCTTTTTAATTTGGTGCACTATATCCTGTGAATTGTTTTTGTTAATTTCAATTTTAAATTGGACGCTTTTTGTAAATGGTGCAGTAAAATGTGGTACAAACACAACTGCTTTGCCTTCCCAGTGCGTCCCTACCACTATACCAGGTTCAAGTGCAGTTGTTTTGCCTCAGCACCACGTTTTCGCTTTAAGGTCTTCATTTGCAAACTCCCCTAATATAACTTCGGAGACAAAAAATGCATCCTCCCTCACCCTCCCGAACTTTAAGGAGACTCAATGATGGCCACATGTGAGAGATTATGGGTCTATGCGAGAGCTTTCAGAGGGAAATTAGGGGGCACATGGGGAGGCCCCAAAGTCCCACAAGCAATAACGCGGTAGCTTACACCTGCGTGCGCCTGTGTTTACAGATGCCTCCCTCTGCACACAACAAGGGGACAAAAGTGCTACTTTTAGATGAATAGAGGGAGTCAGGGGAATATACTTTTGGACGGGTGCGCGCTTCGTGAGCAGCGGATATTAAAAAGGTTACAATTTCGAGGGACGGGAGCCTGGTCTGGCTCACGTTTCGGCCGGCCCTATATACCCGGATGCCTTGGGGATGCGTTATTGGCGGGATAAGTACCGCACGCCCCTGGTCTGTATTTGAGGCACCGATTTTCTCATTTCCTAAATTTCGAGGATGTGAAATTAAAGCGGTCTGGGGTGGACGTCAGAGACGTTCATGTTCAAATACTGTTTAGTTGTCATGGCAAGTCATTAATTTTATCACATTAAAATAACACGAGAAACGTGAAAATGTTTTAGTATCCCGCTGGCATAACAAACTACACATAAAAGACAGATAAAATTCAACTGTTTCCAAAGAAATGTTGATATGTATCGCTTGTTTTCTAACTATTCGTTTTCTTTTCACTTTCTAAACCTCACTACTCCCTCCAGATACGTGTGGGCGTCGAGACATCGAGCCTGAGGTAACGAAGCGGGTGGTGTTGGGGCGTAAGGCCCGCGTTGGTCAATGGCCCTGGTTGGTACAACTCTCGGAGATCGGAGCCACGCAGCCGTACTGCGGTGGAACCTTACTCAGTGATGAGTTTGTACTGACTGCTGCCCACTGCTTTGACAGGTGAGGGAGGTGTTTGCTGGTACCCATTCACCGTCTTCTGCCAGGGGTTTTGGTCACTAAATCGCTTTCATAAAACTTTTGCAACGTTATATCATGCATTCATGCAAAGCATTGTTGGTACTGCCATAACCAACGCTCGTACAAACTCCGTGCGCACGTGAGAACCTGCAAGTGGTAACCTCGGCCACCGATGAGACAATCTATCCAATCAAAGCTCAGAGAAATGAAAGGTCATCAGGACGCGTGCGCAGTTCACGCGTTTTACGATGTCAACTTTTCGTTGCACATTACACTGACCAACTTATCGGTCGTGAAACTTTACAGCGTTTGGAAGGAACTTTGGTGTCCTGCCTTGGTTGTCTAACTACGAAGGACTGAATCAATTTCGTAATTGCCTTTTTTTTTTTTTGATATGGGTTCAAAAATATGTAGGCCAAATAATGTCCAACAACAAAAGTTACAAATTGTGAGAATCTGGGACAAATAATATCTTCCCGAGAATATTGCCCTGGGGAGCTGGACAAGTTTCAAAAATTGCTGGTTGGGAATTGAATAAACCACACATAAATTGATTCCTTCTGGGAACATTCATACGGGCAGGTTTCAAAGCGATGGTGCCTCAAGTCAAAATATTGTCCCATATGCCACGACTCTTTCGCGATACATGAAAACGGCTGAAAAACAACTTCGTTACAGAGCTATCTTTCTCGGGTTCAATGCCTCGTAATCAAATGACCACTCAGCCCGTCCAGAAATTCGATCCCTCGTTCAATACCAATTGCGTTTGGGATCTCTAAAAGAAAACAGAAATCTACATTTCCGATTCAGTGGGAGTTGATAATTTTTTTATCAATCAAAGCAGAAAAAGTTGAGTTTCCTGAGTTTTTTTCCCCAGAATTAATGACATTTCATTCCCCCGCGTGCTATTGGGTATCCGTTGTAGTTAATAATTGAATGCGCGTATTCATAGGGGATGTTCTGGCGCGGCTGTGTTACCTTTAGTTTGCCACGGGCCCTGCCCACACGTCAGTGCTAACCAAGTCGCTCTCGCAGTCAAAATTGCCGTTCGACGTTGACCGATCGTTCCTGCTCCATCGATTACGAGTATACAGTATCGCTGAACGGAATTGAACGGGTAAAGTGTAACCACACACGCGTCTGTTTTTCAAGAACACGTCCATCGGTGTAGTTTGCGTGTAAAATAGTAATATCATTGTCTCGTTTTGTCTTGCTGTGAATTCGAAATATTGCTTGAAGAACCTTTCATAAAATTCTGATTCATAAAGCTGGGTTTAATGCTTTATTTCTCTATCTGTCAAGGAGTTTGTTTTGAACGTCTTAAGCTTTAATGTTTGTATTGCATTGTATTGCCTTATAAATTATGGTCTATATCTGCAAGGATGCATCACACACACAAAAAGATAATGCAAATATAATGCCCCTTAATCAACTTAAAAATTCACCTGTTACCTGCAGTTTAAGGTCGTATCTAACCAATGAATTTAAATGTTTTCTAACTCACAAGTTCCGGCTCACTCACGAATTGTGGGGGTTAATAAAGCAACGTGTTCCACTTAAGGACACAACGCTGAATTTGACTTCAAAAATTAATAGGATCTTTGGGCCGTAATCCATGCATGAACAAAATACTCAGTCTGGTGTACCGTTGACTTGTTTACACAACGTGATTACAACAGCTCTCACGACTGTTTTGCAAACAAAATTCATTCGACGGTAATCGAATTCGGTGCAATGGATTTATGGACTGACAATACACTTTTCCACTTTCACAAACAACTCCCTGCTTGTTGTTATGCAGCTCGCCATACGTCTAATGCATTCGGATTCAGAAGCCTTGTACATAAACAAATCCAAGAATCGAAGAAACAAATCCAACGTCACCCTCCGAGGCTAATACTCGAAGAAGCTCTTCGTGAACTCGAAAGCTACATGAACTCCGATTATAAATTGTACCTGCAAGCAGCAGGTGTAATGGTTAAACACAATCATGGGTCGGCATCTGTTAAATTAAGCTGCCTAGTTCACCTTTATGGGCCTTAATGAATTGAAAAGTAAAGCATTATAACATACATGTAGTCAACTTAATATCTGCGTTTCTCTGATTATTTTTTTCTGTCGTAGACACGACCCCAATGACGTGGTGGTGATTATCGGCGACTGGAACCGCCTTGCCAAGGAAGGCACCGAGCAACGGTTCCGCGTAGACTGCGTCTACATTCACGAGGCCTACATCCCGAGAGGAGACTACAAAGATGACGTCGCCCTCGTACGGCTGAAGACGGACAAGAGGAAGGTCAAGATGGGCCCTGCCGTCCAGCCGGTCTGCCTGCCCCCACAACAGAGGGCGGGCGAGCCGGATCTGTTCAAATCGGGGGATATGTGCTTTGTGGTTGGCTGGGGGTTTACGGGTAAGAATTTGGTACTTGCCTCGCGAATACTCTTGTGAAGCGAGGTAACTCCAATTACGACAAATATTCATAGTTAACCTAAAGACTTGTCCTCGAGTGAACGGACGCAACATAAAAATGCTAGACACGTTGCTCGTACCTAAGGTACTGATGATGCTGTTGTTGATGTTTACCTGTTGGTATCCACAACAGACAGTGTAAATTTCAAAGACTGTCAATCAACACGCCATCACCTCACTTAGCTCCATTACAAAAAGCCATGACTCTATCATTATAGCAGACAAAAGTCGGCAGTCTGAAGTAAGGTAGGCAGATTGGACTAATAGAAGTGGACGGAGTTAGGCAGGGCAAGACGGCACAGCAATATGACACCATTTCACACAGAACTGGTAGTGTTAGTACATACAACCGTCACAAAATATCAAACGTCTACTGAGTAGCTTCACACAAGATTGCACACCAACCGAGATGAATGCAGTTATCACTTTGAAACAATATGACAAGTATATCTCAAATAAATTTGTCTGATTTCGGAGGAGTCCTAACTCTCATATGGTTTGTATATGGCAGGTTCAACCATGCTATATGGTGCGGTATTATTTACTTATCTCAGCGTCGTTGTCACCTGACTACCTTCCATCCATCCACAGATCCACTGACCTACTTCAACTCCCAGCACCCGGCTATTCTTCACGAGGCCCGCCTCCCCATCCTCCCGCCCCAGTCCTGCCGTGACGCCTACGGAGGTCTCTACACGGACAATATGGTCTGTGCAGGCCACATGACCGGTGACCACCGCACAGACGCCTGCAAAGGCGACAGCGGCGGTCCTTTGATGTGCAGGGAGAAGACCGGTCATTGGGTGGTCTGGGGCATCGTGTCCTGGGGCCACAACTACTTCTGCAACGGGTCTCCGCACAAGCCCATACCCACGGTGTATACCAAAGTGGAGGAGTACTTGCCGTGGCTGATGCAGAGGCTACGACTTGATAAGTGTTAAAAGGAAGAACAGAATTGAAAAAAAAAGACTACGTGTACTAGTCCATGTTGAAATGTGTTGTTAAAAAAACCAACTATTATTTAAAGTCATTATCAGAAAATAAATGACGAAACTAGACCAAGACGAGGTATGGAGAATTCAAAATCAAAGAAGTCTTATCATAGTTACAAGTCATGTCCAGTAGATCACTCTACGGGGGTATGTGAAAAGGGAAGAGTTTTTAGCAATCACCACTTTTCCGGGAAGCCATCACTTTGTAAAATAAAGTTGAGTTTTATTCCGCACTTTTTCATGCCATAAAAGGTTCCAAAGTGTACGGTTTTACTTTGCAGAATAAGTTTACTAAAACAATTGTGGCTTTGGTCTGTGGGTGCTGTTGTACGTGAAATCCTAGAGATTAAACTAATGATGAAAATAATCGCAAATAGTCTTCAGATTTTTAATAGTATTATGCACCATAGTGGTAGCAATAGAATCATCACTAAGTGTTAGTTTTAAGGAAGTTAGTCAGATCATTAAGAGGTGCCAAAGAATGTTTTTGTTTAATATTTCATTCCTCGTGAATATTGTTGGTTGGTAAACAAAAAAAGGAAATCAGTATTAGAAAATGTTAAATTTTTTGTCCATTATTTCATATTAAAAGAAGAAAATATCATTTCAGGTACTTGTAAACATAGCACCAGTTGATTAAAAAAATGTATATTTTGTCTGAAATACAACCTGTATTAAATGGTTGCGATGTGTATATAGTAAGTCAAATCGTTATTGATTGGCTGTATCTGATAGCGGTGCGCGCTAGGCCTACTTAAACTCAAAACACCTTTAGAAGTAGAAATAACTCACTGTAATGCGTAGCTACTTGTAGTCAGTACATGATGCCACACTATTAGACAGAAAGGTTAAAATAACTTGGGTAAAAATATCAGGACATTTTCACCCTGCATAGCCTTACTCTGGCTGAAACCATTCGAACCTTATTTTATTGTAGTCCAACGCTTTCATTCCCGAATCTTATTAACGAATAATAATATGAACGGGTATTGGATTGTGAACTGGCAATAATCCTAGAATTTAATATCACATACTTAATTGTAGATCACTGCATTCGTAGGTATAACTGTAAGTATAATCTAACTAGTACTTAAATGCTTGCACGATAGTTGTTGTTGTGGATAGACTGAAAAAAAATCACCCATGTCCATCATTAATGTCCAAGAATAGAAGCCATCGAATGAGCATTTTTTTCCTTTTAGGTGTCTTGTCACTTATCTTTTGAAATAAGATCTGGTATTTTTCCAACACTAAGCAAAACAGGATTAACCCACTGTAGTTTTTTTTTAAAAGAATATCGCTGTGTGCAAATCAACAAAAATAATAAAACTGATAGAGTTTAACAGAATCTAAGGAAATATTGATGTGATTTTATCCCTGTTTGTGGAATAAAATGCCTTAACTTTTTACAACTTGGTTATGTTTATTTTTCTTGTAGACTTGATCTTGGTATGTGAACGTGTTAGCGGGATTTTTTTTTTAAATTTTGCGAACCACCGTGCAGTGCAGTGATCATAGCCAATCTCAAGCTAAATAGAGGAGTCTGCATGTGTATCTATTACTAAGCGGAGCACCTCACGTCAGTGGTACGTTTTAAGGAAAAATAAATCCTGATTTGCATTCCGTGCCATCTCAGGAAACATACCTCTTCATGTACGCAAACATACTTCTCAGTGTTTAGATATATAATCAAAAATGTGATACTCTTCAAATGAAGCGAACCCGGAATTTTTCAAAGCAAGCACCGCCACCGCCGTTGATTAACGAGGCATGGCCGGCTCTCTCAAGAGGTGCTTGAGTTTTGATCTTCGAAACGAAATAATCCGCCACGCTGAAAAAGCCGAGGGGGAGTTGAGACACGGAATTATAGGTCTTATCACTGCAGTCGTGACAAGATAATGGCTTTTGATAGATAACCCCCACTGATCGGTACTCTTTAATCTAAATAAATGGAGTTTAATTATCAACGATATATGAAAGTTTCATTCAATCGAGACAAAATAATGAGCTCATTACGAACGGCGGCTAAGAACAAAATGTTTATCGTGATGTATCATTTTTTTAGTGCTTTAATCTCCTTGCATAATGATGCCTTTGCCTAAATTCACATAGGTTACTAATTTAAAGGATGACTCCCGTAGTTGGGTTATTTAAAAGTGACGTCAGAGTAAGTAGTAGGACCAATCACAAAGACTACTAAATCTTCACCACAAGTATATCAGATCTAATAGCCACAAACAATCAACTGAGGAACAAAAATCAACATTCCCACCTGTGCAATAACTTTGTCTGCACACTCTTGTTGGCTATACAAAAACAACGGGCAACTTTGCCCTTGGCATAGGCCTATGGCAACTTGAGCGTCAATCGAAGTAAACAGAAAGGTATGTGGTCTAAAAGCATATGTGTACACACACAAAACGGTCTACAATTCAGCTTATACTATCATTAAAACCATTAGAAAACCGTGCAAATGCGTAATTTGTTATCTTGTTCACTCGAAAAAAGCCATCTGTCCTCGTGTTGACAATGGATAATTATTTTCACCTGTTGCTTTGCAGGCTTAGAATTCGACCAACTCCTTTTTTTCTCCTTCAAAACTTTACATCCGTGTGTGAAACCAGGTGTCCTAAATCATGTAAATTGACTATATGCACTCCCAATACATTGTTCATGTAATACGAACGTGACGCACATTCACCTCTGGTGCCTTGCTAGAGCAAAAGTTTTACCTCAAATTTCACGGTAAGCAAAATTTCATCAAGCTCTAACATTCCCGTTCATAAATCTTGAATTTACCTATATAGGATATACCCGTTACAAACTGTACACAGAAATGTTATTGAAGTGCACAATTAACCTTTTTTTAAATGCACCCAAAGTAGGCCTACTGCATAACTTGCTGCCAACTTGTAGTTGTGTATATAGGCCTATTAAGTGTAGTATTAATGGTTTATCAGAATTTGCCAACTTCAAAGAAATTTGTCAATCTTAACTTGGGATTTTCCGAGATTTGTTCGAGTGCGCGCGCAACGTTAGGGTACACTCGACCGATTCTGTGCCCAATTTCCGGACGCCACCGTTTTTGCATTTCGGATTAAATTTCACGACACTGAAATTGATCACAAAGGTTCAACTGTAAGGTAAAAGTAGGCTACCAAGTGACTGAATGAAGTTGAAGTTTGTCAACAAAAAGAGGTTTGGCAACACTGCATGACGAAAGTTGAGGGGAAACTGCGCCACGTTGGGAATCACTATGTACGGGTACACTACTGAAGAAGTGCGTGTGCCATACTTCATTGCATTGCATGCTGTATGCCAAGAAAGTGTTCCCGAATAAAACTTATTCTGCATCGAATATGACACTCACCGTAGTCGTGAGAGATGACTTTCGCACATAGAATGATACCATGTCGAAGATACTAGACCTCGGCATCTAGCGAAGAAGATATTAAAGGATCTTCAACACCAATTCTGCTGCTTCGCCTCGTGGCCACGAAAAGGAAGATTGTGTACCGCGCTCTGCAGGGTCGAAGGTCAAATCGGTGTTACGCCGCCTACAGCGCCCCCGCGCGGTGGGTTTCTTATTTACTTCTTATTAATTTTGTCCGGGGGATTTGGGGGTGGGGGAGTGTGGTAGGCTGGGGCTACATTTCCTTGTAATAAAAAGCATGATTGAAATTATATACACTGTACGCAGTTTTGATGATAAATCACTCATCAGACAATATTTTTTTTCTTCAAACTTTAAAGATTTTTGCCGGCGTAACTTATCTTCATTTTATAATGCATTCCTCCCATGATGATTTTATTTAGACTTTAAGATGCGCAACGGCGTCAATTTTACCCGGTAAGGCAGGGGATGTGCCCAGCAGTCTTTCCTACCGAATCTGTAAGCCTGACAGCAGCAAATACGCGGCACACACGACCGGAAATGCTGGCACTTGGAGTTAATGCACTCACAAATGTAAAATAAACACTTGGAAACCACCGCGCTCCGTGTTTTCGGGTAATCGGGTAGGTGGAGAGAAGCAAGTTTGTGTTCTGGATTTTCATCGGATCGAGATGAGAATAACCTCAAGAAACCCGAGATGCAGGTTTTTATTGGAGGATTTGATAAATAAAATCAAAACATAAAGATCGGGGTGAGACTACGTAATGAAGAAATGTGCATGATAAGCCCAAGAGAAAAACAATCGTAAAGTGTTTCTTTGGGGTTTTTTTTGGGGGGGGGGAGGGGGTAGGGGGTTGTTAACTAATTGCATGTATTCCTGGAAAGCGACAAAAATATCACGAGTACTGAAAATTTGGTTTGCATGATGTGGGGTCAAGCATGCTACAGCTATTTAACATTAAGTCGGCCCGGCTAACTCTTTAGATTGTCTTTATATTTACAAAACCCAATCTGTTCTTATTTGGACCATTAGTTCCTTAATATAATCTTCGTTTGCAATTTTTTTTGAGAATTGTAAGGATCACATTTAATTTAAACAGGAAAACCTTACAGACGGCTACAGAGAAAACAGAAACGAAAAGAGACAGATGATGGCAAGTTTAACAATTACTTTCTTTTCATCCGGGGAAAAAAGACATCAGATCTAGATACTAATGGAAGCGGAATTTACTCGAGATTTATAGGTGGATTAGATCCAGAGTGCTATGGAAACCATCGTCCGGAAGGAGGTTCATCTTCCTTGATCAGCAACGCTAAAGCCCAGCACTCACCCTGCCTCCCTCCAGTTGATGGGATAATTGGCGCATGGATGACAGAGCTTTCATGCAATTGTGTGAGATTCGTATTCGGTCATTGCCCGATCCATGAACATGTTAAGTTGAGCACTACTTTGTACCGATGGGGCGCCGAACGGAACAGACTTTATAAGCACGTAAAGACAGAAGTTGCCGTTAAGTTACCGGAGAGACCACTTGAAGTTTCGTCAACCCTTAAAGTGGCATCATCTTCAGCTTATGAAAACATATCCGCAACAGTCAAAACATCAGGAATCGCGTGCTTTGTATTTTTCTCGAAGAATGTTAGGTGTGAACACACACGATTGTCTTTTCAAGTGTTTTCGAAACGCTGGCTCCGTTGCGGCTGCAGCTTCCTCTCTGGCTTCATAGCCATTTAAAATGCCATGAACGTGTCTTAACCAAATGTCCTTACAACAAACACACACATAAACCAGAAAGAAAAATTGGACAGGTTTTCTGTTACAAAAGGTTCACTTTTAAATTACTTTTATATGTATTCCTGTATAAGTGACATAACCATAAAGGTACAATATACAAGTTCAGTTTGGCATCACCAATACACATTTTTAAGTGGCCAAAATTCCAATAATCTGTTGTTTCATTAATTCAGGTTGCAGAATATTACAATGTCGTTTCACAAACATGTATTTCTTTTTTTACATATAATTCCCCTGGCATCAAAAAAATTCACTTTGATAAAATATTTTAAACAATACGGTGTAAAAAAAAAAGGAAACCCAAAGGGCAACTCCAATTTTAAAAGACTTGCTGCATGTACGCAGCACTTGTCAGATCTAGGATGTGAAAGCCCAATTAATAAGCTTTATTTTAGTAAAATAATCATTCATAGCACTCATGTACTTTTCCAGTTACAGACTTTTAAACACAAATGCAGTTTTAAAATTTTGTCCAAGAATCACAATAAAGGTTAGTCATATTTCAGCAAAATGAAAACAATTCACATATAGAAAAAGACATCGGAACACTCTCATAACAACGATAACTGGCTCTTATCGTAAACCTTATTTAAACACCTTTGCTTCCAATGTTAAACAACATGCTTTAAAATGTCACGAGTTTATAGTCCTGCCCTGCCTTCTAGAACTTCTACTTGGCTACCCCGGAGACTTATGGGATAATATGTTGATATCATTTTCGTGATACGACATGGTTTCATTTTCTTGAAATATCATGTACCTTAAATGTGATGTCGTGGATCGGGCAAACTTTTAAAACTGTCTTTGTGTTCAAAAATCCGTAACTGGAAAAGTACATGAGTGATTTGAATGATTCTTTTACTAAATGCAAACTTATTAATTGGGCGTTCACATGCGATGTGCAGAACTTCTTTTAAAAATAGGGGGCGCCATTTGGGTTAGCTGTTTTTTCACTCACCCTGTATCACAAGTCACAACAATGGTGTATGAAAGACCCTACTACAATGAACAGAATGTTATGGGTAACTCCAGTTCAACAGCTCCATTTATCTGAAATGCACAATTGCATTCTTTCACATCGTCCTTACCTTGATAAAACAATTAACCCATCAACCAAAACAGCAATGCCTTCACATAAGTGTCAACGAAAGGACCTAACACTTCGCTTAGCTGAAACGGATTTCATTATATGCATAAAATTTAATGTCACACATTACATTGTATTTACAATTACATGTACAATGGAATTATGATTTCAGTGAAATAAACACCACAGGTTAGGCTTGGGATATTCTGGTGGGTAAACGGTTCTACCGGATCTACCCGGTTCTACCCAGTTCTGCCTGGTTCTACCTTGCAAGCTAGTTGAAACCAGAACTGCAGTACCAATCACTTATTAAAGGAACCGTGTAAGTTCACTGTGAACTTCCCAAGCCTATAACAAATTGCATTTTGGGTTACTTATTAAACACTTGGATGACAGTTCCATCAGCTGACAGATGAAAATTTAAAACCCAAAACTCCTACTTTCAGAAATGAAATGTGGAAGACAGGTCACTATACATGTAGTTCCCTATCAAAGCTGCATACAATGCCATGGTACTTGGATATAGACACCCGACCAATATAGGCTGGTGCCTATGGGGGTAGGGACCCACTTCAAACTTTTGTCTTGATGGAGTAATCTGTATCCAGATGTGGTCAGATGTTTAGAGGGTACAACAGTTGAAAATCTGAAAGGAAAGTTAAAAGCATTACCAAATTGATGATAGAGATTAATTAAATGTCAATATAAATCACAATGCAATTGTTGAAATTAAAACCCATTTCAATCAAACTCACCGTGCTGCAAGATTACTGCGCCACTTCAGTGATGCATGTTTTTCTCTTAACTGTTGAGGAACTCCCACTTCTTTGTTTCTGTCGCCTGCAGTAACTCTTCCTGTTCGGCTTTGATGCTCTCAACGACATCGTCAAACCTGCAGGAGCAAGAGTGGGAAAGATCACAAGGAGAGACTTCTGCTTAGAACCCAACATACATTAGTGAGTCTATGTTTGTACGATAAAACTGGTGTCAAATTGCATCCCACTTCTGACACCAAATAACCATCTTGGGTTGCTGTCTGACGATGATCCTCTAATGTTCCTGTAAGTTGGTGGCCTCACTGTATCTGAATGTCCATTAAAGTCCTCACAACAGAGAAATTCAACACCCTCTGGAATTTTGTCATAAGAATCCCCTTATACACTCTTCTGTCGACAGATTTCTAGGCAATACTAACTACACATGAATTACATTTATCCCGCTTCTGACACCGTGCATCCTCCATCTCCCAGTAACAGCACCAAACGTCTTATTATCTAACAACAAGGGCAATCACAATAAAAAACAACTTCACAAACTGCTATCCGACGTGTTCATACTTACTTGTTTCTTGTCACAGAGCTTTGGTTCACCAGTGTTAACGAATCTTGAAGTGGTTTGTTTCCAAGACTCAACAGGTCCGTGGCAGAGCCTGAGCCTGAGCCAGAGCCGGAACTGGTAACTGAGGCTGAGGAGGACTGACGGCTGTAATGTATATTGTTAGCCGCTGACACCGGTGGTGAAACAGTATTATGAACTCTGCTAACCTGGAGATGAAATGCAAAGAAATTAAATCTTAGCTTCCTCTGCCTTAGAAAAGAAAAGGTTGTGTTGTTAGACGAAAAACATTTATCTCAAATTTGTCTATGTAAATTAGGAACTTATTTAAAGTGCACGCGAGTAACTAATGGACTGTGCAAAATCTCTTGGATAATGACTTATTCTCATAAAGTTTCTCAGAATGAATTATTCTTGAATCTTGATACACCTAAAAAAAACAAAAACTCCAACATCTCATGAAAGTGAACAAAACTAACTCTTCATTTGATACAAAACATATTGGGTAACCATCTCATGGAACACAGGCAGTACTAAATGAGGCGTGTTTGGTTATTATCTTAGATATGTAGGTTGTGTAGATAAGGTAGTCGAAACGAAGCACGAGAAAAGAAGCGAAGTCAAGACTGAAGCACCACAAGGGAAGAAACTACTAGACTGGCATGATATACATGCATGAAATTTGACCATCAGGAAAAAGTAGGAAAAGATGTCATGCAGACTCCCAAAAGTAACGTCTATAGTGCAGAATGCCGGAAATAGAGGAAAGTAAGAAATGCAAAGAGAAACCAATTGGAAATACTATTTAAATAGGAAAACTATCATGTTGGTATATCTAACTATGGTCTTTAAGACTCGGACTTACAGCATGTTTAAGGAGTGTCCAGATATCTTTCTGCCGTTGTTGCTGGTGGGAGATCATTCTCCTCTCCAGGTTCCTCATCTCGTTGACACTAGTAGCGATCTGTGGAACCAGCCTCTCTGACTCCACTTTACAATACACTAATTTCCTAATTGCAACAAATGCAGACATGGAAGAAATGTGAATTTGGCTTTTTCAAAAACAAAACAAAAATGCTACAGGCTCCAGGCAGAGATGTTGCTTACAAAAGAAGACAACGTGTTTAGGATGGTACCACTTACAAGCTGACTGCAATCACTCACACTGGCTGTGAGTTAGTCTGCGCTCGCGTGTCCAGGAGTTACCTATATTTATTTCCCTTTCCAGATGGAACATAGTTTATGGAATATCCCCTTGCCCAGCGAAGGGTCTATGATACATTTGTATGCGAGCAGATTTGGTGATTAATTATGCAAAACAAGACTGCCTCTTGACTTCGAGATTCTGATCATTCAGCGGGCGCCTGCTATCGGGTCTTCCGTAAGCCAAAAACGTGGCAGACAAATTGACCAATCAACAGCTTAGTCACATTTCTGATCGAAAAACGGCACAATTTCTAAAGGCAACTCCGATTAGCTGGCGCGTGGGGTCACACAAAATTTGCATGCTCATTAATACCAGACGTTGGTTACAGAGAGGGCTTCCTTGAACAACAACTGATACTCGGACTAGATGGAACACTGATCAATGACCATGCTTATGTAGAGGTGTACATATGTAAAATCCTTTCAACTGTGTGTCTAAAAGAAACTCACTGCAGATGACCATAGAGTTCCTTGGTCTGTTTGGTTCTGTAGTTGATGCTTTTGATGATCAAATTCTGCATCTTGGAACTGTCTTGGAAGGTGCAACCTGCTTCTCCACCTGTAAGACACAAGGTAGAGGGGTTACAGGTTAGTTAAGTCAGAGGACTACCCAAAGGAAAATTCAAGTCAATCACAAAATAAATCACAAAGTAAGGACACGAGTAACAGAGGCTGAAAAATGGAAAAAAAGAATGCCTTCTGTCAAACCCTGCAGGACTGATGCAACATAAGAACAAACAAAATTGATGTTTGCTTTTGTACAGGGTGGCCCCCAAAAAGGTTTAGACTTTTTCAGACAGATGACGGCCATTCAAGAGAAACGGTCAAAAAAAAATATTTGTCCACATGTAAGTCTATGAAACTTGGTCAAAACTAAGTGCAAAATGAACTGCCATAACAATAACCAGTCATGCTTTCCATACACGTGTGTGGACAAACTGGTTTTAGACCATTAAAATTGGCTGTCATTTCTAAATTTAGGCTTTCTTTTCAATGCCAATTTCACCATAAGCCACCAAGACCTAGGAATATCTTAACACAATTTCAATATGTCTCCCCAATTTTGAGAAATCTGCGTCTGAAAAAGTGTTAACTATTTTGGGGGGCACCCTGCAGTGTAAGATAGCAAAGAGTGGTACAAAATGTATTTGCAAACAGGCTTACCTTTACTCTGCTGTAGTTCACGATACAGCTTCTGGGCTGCTACTTCACTGCAAAAAGAAAGAAGAAAATTATGTAAGTGGTCATGCATTGGTTGAATTGCAAGTTTTTCTAACGAACCCTGGGACAGCACTATGCACAGAGTTATGTCATTAATGTTGCACTTACACTTCCACCAGGCCTTCCACCTGCTTCTGTCTGGACAGCGGACTTTTCTGCAGTTCCACAATCTTGGTTTGGGTTATGTTGACATGACCATTCAAGGAGTACACCCTCTTTAACTAAAAGGTGAAGAAATTACATAAGAGAAACAAACAATAAATTCATTACAATGTGTTAAGTTTTAATCAATTTTGGCATTGGTCTTATGTATGTCATGCTGTTCATAATTGGAGCAAAATCTGTATTGACTGGTGAAAAACTTACTGAATCAAAGTCTTCAACAATTTCTCGCTCAGCGTTTTTCCAGCTGCGAAACATCTTTTCTGAAGCTGTAAGAAAAAAGAACACCATTTACCTTCCTTACCCCAAGTGAACTTAAATAGTCACTCGAAATATTCTGCAGACATTTGCGCAAAGTCAAAATGATATATTGCCGCGCCTTCGGAGAGAAAAGAAAATCCAACACATGAGAATCAGGTGGTCTAGGAATCCAAAGGTTTCAAGAAACATCTTTCAGCATTTCAGGTTATAATAAGTACAGAGTTCTGTGGTTAGCAGGGTCACAAAGTTTCACAAAATTTTGCACGATTTCGTCACACCTAGTCACATATGAACAAACTGTTCAAGTTACGTTGGAAGTCGCCAGTGCAATTTTGAGCTATGGGCCCAAAACTCGCAAAATGGAAATCAATACAGACTTTAAACCTGCGGTAAATTAAATGAAACGCTGCAAATGCTCTTCTAAATGCGTATGGAAAACACATAAGTGACAACAGGTATGGTTATGTCATATTATTAACAGAATACTAGGTATACACTCACTGATGCCCGTGGGAGACTGGACTGCGTAGGAATCGATGTCAAACTCCAGGCTTGAGCGAAACATATCCTGCTTGGCTTCCAATTTGTGCATCTGACTCATCATGTCTTTGTGTAGGTCCGTCAGCTGATGGTTCAACCGCATGGTGCACAACCTACACATTAAAAAAAAAAAAAAGGGAAAAAAAAAAGATGCTTTCATTAGCCTAATTGCCCATCCTTTGTTTTTTTAAACAAAAGTACAAACATGTGCCATCAAGTATCTAGAAAGAGGCTAATTGTGGTGGATTGAAGAAGGCACCTAGCAAAAATGCCTTCAGAATGTAAGGTTCATCAATCTTCAGGTCTTACATTGAAGCTCTAGCACCCTCCAGAAGCCTAGATGCTTCCTTGGCTTGCTGGTTGCAGAAGTACACAGCCTGGCCCCAGCACTTCTTCCTGTCATTGTAGCTGAGTAGGGTCTTCGGCTCTTGAACTGCCAAAACAAACATTAAAATACTTCACCGTAAGAATGGTTGCTACTTCAGGCGAAACAGAAGTGAAGCTGATTTTTGACATCAACAACAGTAGTTCTATTATAACGTTCATAATAATAATAATAATAATAACTGGATTTATAGAGCGCCAAATTGCCAAAGGATACAAGGCGCTGAAACAAAGAAAGAAGAACTACAGAAAGAACAACAGAAAAACAACAAGGGCGTACGACCAGCTATGGTGTGGGGAAAAAATGGGTTTTGAGAGCCTTATTGAAGGTTGGCACAGTATCGGAGTTTCTGATAGGGATGGGTAGACTATTCCACAATCGGGGAGCAGCAATAGAGAAGGCCCGATCACCCGCGAGTTTATTTGTTTTCTGGACAACAAGAGATTTCCCATGAGAAGAGCGAAGGGAGTGAGACCCGGTTCGAATTGAGAGAAGAGAAGAGAGGTGATGGTTTTGTTTCTTTATAGTTTTACGGCAGGGAAGGGGAAAACTCAAAATAAAACTTTTGCAGGCAACTAAACTTACTGATCATGTTGACTCGGTCCGGTTTGGGTTTCGGTGGCAAGGTCTCCGGAACGTTACCCTTCCGGAACATGAACATTGTGAATCCTGGCTGATTCTGTGGATGGAAGAAATAATGTAAACGTAAAAAAAAAACAATTCTGAAATAAAAGGAAAAACTTCATAACAGACTATAGTTAGAATGACAAAACCTGACAAGAGAAGACACGGGGGAAGAAGATGGCACACAGGGGAAGTGATATGGCACTATGCCCTGCTAGGTTCAATGGGCCAGCACCTCTGTGGGCCATGGAACCACCCCAAAATTAGGTCTTGATCTCAGGTCTAGTTCAAGCATGAGATTAATACACTATTCAACTCCTGAAGGCTCTTGTATTAAAACGCTTACCTCTCCCTGTGTGTACTGGACAGCAGGTTTCTGTGGATCCACCGACTGGCCAGTAGGCAAGAGGATATCCTGCTGACTGGGAGCTACGCCAGTGTCCTTCTCTAGTTGTTTCTGTATGACGGACATGGCGTCGTTATTCCTGATGCCGTAGCTGTAGAGAGTGTCTGTGTTCATGTACAGCACATTGACAACCTGCATGTGAGGGTACAGAGTTACGAGTCACTTAATTTTGTGACTCGAGTCAAGCGATTCCAATGTAGTGACTCAAGCCAAGTCAAGTTGTTCTATTAACCCTAACCACCCCAACCCTTCAAAATCCAACTGCACATTTTGTTGGAATCTGTTGGAGTGAGTACTGCACTGGTAAACTGGTTATGCTTTACATTGGGTCAGGCATTGGGTGGTGAGTTTACCATATGGTGTTGGATTCTGCAAGAGTGAGAAAGGTTCCTTGTAAATCACTCAACACGGGAGTGAGGGTTAAGCCAACGACTCGGTGATTCTGGCTGAAATCATTGTGTGACATTGACATTTAAATTTCTGGATCTGGGATGATAATTCCTGTATTGATAGTACAAGGTATGAGTCCCTGATATAGTTAATCTTTACTTGTACCTCGACATGAGCAGTTGTAGCTTGTTCATTGTCACCAAAATTATAATTCATGTTTTTAAGGACTTGCATGTTGATGAGTCGTTGACTTGATGAGTCTTTGACTTGATTTGAGCCTGTGAAGACTTGAGTAGACTAATTATGCAGTTTTAAGAAGTCTCATATTTGGGACAGCACTCACATGCACGGCTAGCATCCCATCCAAGAAGACAAAGCACTGCGGCCGTTTGGTCTCTGGGTCCAGGCCGCCTCCTCGGTGGTCCGGCTCGAACCTCAGCATATTCCGAAGTACCATCTCAAACCCTTTTCTGTAGAGTCTGCAAAGAGGGTCAATAAAAGTAAACTTGAAACTGGTTCAAAATTGCAGAAATCTGCTAAGCGTTTAAAATACTTTAGTTAAACAGGGCCAATTTTACGGCTCTGCTAACCACAGAATTCCCTGCTTAAGATCTCCACTGTATGCTATCCTATCCATGCTAGCAAAAAGAAGTATGTGTTAACCAAATAGTTACAGAATCCTTTGATATGGGATGTATGCATGCGCATATTGAAGCCAGATTCCTCATTAACCTGTGAAACATTACCGTAAGCACTGAATGTTTTGCTACAGTAAACGGGCATTTTTCGCTTACGGTAAGCAGAGCCATGAAATTCGGCCCCGGGCCAGTCACCAGCTTAAGTGTCACCTGATGTCTAGTGCTTAGGACTGGTACCCCACTGATTTTTGCTAAGCATTAAACTGCTAAACAGGTCTGTAAAATTGGGCTCTAGAAGCAGTGTTTTCCATTTTTACAGCTAAGGGTTAATGCAAGGAGTCCATCAAAACCATGAGAATGTTTTCAGGAAAGCAAGAATGACACAACAATAAAACAGTACATTTATGAAAAGATACTTTGAAGAAAGGACTCACTCTACTAAGTGGTTTGGGGTCAGTAGGAACTCTGTGAAGATCGGGGCACCTGAAATAAAAACATACATATTATTACCCTCGGCAATTTTGATGAAAACCTTCCTGAACCAATCAAAATCCCAAACTTGTTTATATTTAATTTGGGAGGTTACATCTCATGTACAAGTATTACATTTTTTTTTCTGGTGGGAGGGAGATTTCTAATTTCCGTACTCCTTACTGTGTGTGATTGTTTAATTTAAATGATTAGGATTAAAAATATGATTTGTAAGACCTTCTTCGTTGATGTAAGCACATATTTCCTCATCCGTCTTCTGCTTCACTGTGCCGTGCCTACAAAGAAACAGAAACAGTTGCAAATTGTTAGAGAAAACACACAATTTCAAACATGCATAACGTGAAAGATCCAATTTTATAAAGTTGAACAAAGAAATTGACTGGAATGGGGTTTGAACCTGGAACCCTTCAAATTACAAACTGAGCTGTCCATTCTATGTTGGTGGTTCCTCTCTGAGTGATCCCTGTTTGCCATTTCCCAGTTTGCAGCATTGCAAATGTTGCTAGCATCGTGACTTTGGGCGTGATCCATGGCTACATGACATATGTAGGCGTATTTGCTTCCAACTAGCACCCCTTGAATTAAGACGTTGACAAAATCAGGCTGCGGCCAACAAAGTGCTGGATAGCTCAGTTTGTAGAGCGCCGGAAATACGGAGGTGGCAGGTTCAAACCCCACTCTATTCCATTTCTTTGAAGTAAAGGATAAGTTATACAGATAAATTATTAAGTTGAAAAGTTGCTTCTTTGAGGAAAACACTTTGTGAAATACTGCATAAAAATAGCTGTTTTATTACAAGTCCTCGTTTTGTTGAAGGCGGCCTAGCAGGTTACCATTTAACTGGAGGCATGTGGGGTAGAAACGGCCGGCTGCCTGTGATGCACTCAAACAGCACAGTGCCCAGAGTCCAGTAGTCGACTGTCTGATTGTACTTCTGTGATGCAAAGAGTTCTGGTGCCTGAAAGGGAAAAAAATCACATTTCTATAAAGTTTGTAGTGATTTCAAAATTTGTCAACAATTCTTATTCAAGATAGTACAGCAGACAAGAAAATTGGATGGAATTACTTCTTACCAAAAATTAACAATGCATTCCCTGTTCTGTTTTTTCTTGATTCTGAAATCATTCATGTACTCATACAAAATTAGAACAGCACAGAGATTTTTGACAGATTTTACCTGTTCCCCCCAAAAAACGCACAGTTCATCCCTTTGTTTGGCTTGTTTCCAATGAATTCACCGGATTAGCCAATTTTTCAGTAAAGAAAATACGATACTCTGATAATGTGTACTGCTCTTCACTAAAAAAATGTTTGGGCAAAAGATTACACAAGGTATATAATCACTTTTTTTGACATTCCAGTTTTTGGAGATATTCTGAAAAAATATTTATCAAAAAACAAGGGGAAAGCTGTGTTATACATGTTATATGCAGTGAATCTGTTCAAATTCTTCACATTATCTTACCAGATACTGGAGAGTCCCTACAAAGGTACTGGCTACACTTCCCTGGTCCAGGTCTTTGGCATAGCCCAGGTCAGTCAACTTGTAGACAAGCTGAAGAGATCGTAAATTTCATCCAGTTTATAAAGTTTCAATAAAAAAAATTCAAGTCTAGGAGCCCATATGTAAAACACCCCTTAATTTTCATCTTTTATTTTCTATTATTTTTTATTCACTGAAACGTGTGTCAATTCACAGCTTTCTTCTACATGTGGTTGTCAATACACATGAGAAGCTATCAAATATACTGCAATGCACAATTTACATTATTGAATATGTGTCTACCAATGCTAATATTCTAATTGAAATATTAACATATTAATATTCCAATTTGAATATTAACATATTAATATTTAATATGTTAATATTCAAATTGGAATATTTATATGTTAATATTCCAATCTGAATATTATGTTAATATTCAAATTGGAAATTCTTAACTTCACCGGTACCTGTCCATTTTCATTCTCCTGTATGACAATGTTCTCCGGTTTCAGGTCCCGATGGATGATGCGTTTGGAATGCAGATACTCCACGCCGTCACAGATGTGCTTGGCTACATCTAAGACCTGTTCTTGCCGCAAGCCACAGCAATTCTCTGGTCTGCATAGGACCTAGGCACCCAAGGAATTAACAAAACACATTCAAACCAAATAGGTTTCGATCGTATGACTTTAAAATGCCACATGACCATCGGGTTCCCTTGTAGACGGCCACCATTGCAGTAGGCAAGCGTTTGATTAGCAAGCACTTCATGCATTGTGAACTGGACAGTAGGGCTTGCTTTCAAGTAAAATAACTGCAAAATCTTTATCAAATGGCATGATGGTCACTACCTGTGCCGTGTAAGGTTGTCACAATCATGCTGACCCAGCAGTGGGTGTTGGCTCTGCGTTTTTCTGGTTATTAAGCAAATGCTTATATGCCAATATGGGGAGTGTGACATAGTGGTTGCAGTTTGTGACTCATGATCAGAGGGTCAGGGGTTTAAATCCAGCTGCTGGTCATAATGTTGTTTCCTTGGGCAAGCCACTTCTTCCCCACTTGCCTCTATCCACCCACGAGTATTAGCTGGGGAATAACCTGCGATGGACTAGCATCCCATCCAGGGAGTACAAATATTATCAGTTGTTTCATGCTACTGAAACCGGAGATAAACGCCGGCCTGATGGGCCACATTGGCTTGTGACAGACTTTACTGATTGGCATTGTTTTGTAACTCCATTCTATCAGAAACTTGACAAAACTGTTCCGGACCAATATAATTTTATTATTGATGACATAATTACTTGAGATGTACCTTGCGTAGGTCTCCTTTCTTGCAGTACTCCATGCCTAATAGGGGGAGCTCCCCCTGACCTAACTGCAGTTCTGAAGGAACATCCTTAGCTTGTACGATGTGGGGGTGCTTCAAGCGCTTCATGATATCGATCTCCATGGCCCATCTTTTCTTGTTCTTGGCGTCTAGGTTGACTCTGCACTGCTTTAGGGCCACTTCATCTTTAGTTTCCTAATTGGAAACATATATTAAAAAGTTATGCCACAAGTGTTTCTACTTTTTGAAATCCTTCAGTCAAATCCTCACAAATCAATCGCAATCCCATCAGTTTCAAAGTCAAAATCTATTCAAATGAATTGTGACCATGGTATTCCTTTGTCATTGTTCACCCCTTGTTTCTTGTATTAACTGGTTTATGATTAAACTTGTGATGGACTCACTACCACTCTCCTCCAAGGCCATAAAAGTATGTTTATTATCTTTCTTAACCCACACCCTGCTGCAAGTATTTGATAAAAACCCAATTCTTTATACTGACAGGCTTCGGAATTGAATGGGAAGTTCCACTTTTCACCCGGATCGTAAGTGAACCTTAGTACCTCGATTGCTTAGTTATCGATCTCTACTTGTATCTCAGGTGGCGTATTTAGTATTTCTGTGGCCGGTTTGAGGGTGAAATCTGTTGTTTTGTTTGCAAAGGGTTAGGTTGTTGATTATTCCCAATGCCATGTCTAACATTCGACTCGAGCCCGACTCTCGCCAGACCATGTCCAAATGTTAAAAAGGCGATAAGTAGGGCCCAAGTTACTTGGTCTAGAGTACGCCTACCTTTTGTTGCCATAAAGTGACAGTCCCAAAGCCTCCCTGCCCTAGCGTCCCCTTGGACTGCCAGCTACCTATCTCCTTCACTGTGGTCGCCATTGTGAATCTAATAAAGGAATGAAATAGTAGGGATACTTCAGGACATCGGCAATGCCTTGCAAATATATAATGAATACATAAGAATTACAACTGACATGACTGAAAACTACTATTTAAATTTGTTTTGACAGCCTACCAACATGACCAAGACAAAAGTACCATTGCTACTACAACAAGTACAAGTAGGCCTATCAATCATGACACAAACAGTTTAGAAATGCTCACAAAAAAAATCAATCCTCATTCATGTCATTTGTACACTAAACATGCTAAAACTACAAAGTGGGATGTCTATAGCTGGAGTTACCCAGCCCTGAGTTTTATCATATGGGTTGTCTATAAGGGCTGGAGCGTATTTTTCTCATAAGTAGTAGTATATTCAAAAAAAATTTGGAAAATGTTCAATTTTGTCCCCGTTACACACTAATTGCAACTGCAACTCACCCCAAACTTGCCTGGAATAACCATTACACAGGTCATTGAAGTAAAAAACGATCCACGATGAAGATTCAGCCTACAATTGCAGTGAAAACAGGAGGAATAACCGCTAACTTGACAACCTTTCAGGCATGGCCAGGACTGCTATGAAATTTTGCACACACAAAAATTGTGTACAATGAATGGCGGCGGTCGATTACCACCACGTACAGCTCGCTGGTACTACGCGTTTTTGCGGTCGGTGTGACGTGACGCGGAAGCGTAATACCCGATGACTGTTTCATGCATTAAGAAGAGGTTCACTCGCATCACAGTGCGGTACTGGAACGGCAACCGTCGAGTAAATACCACTGCACTATGAATGCACGATAGCCGGCCAACTCGACGGTTGCCGTTCCAGTACCGCACTGTGATGCGAGTGAACCTCTTCTTAATGCATGAAACAGTCATCGGGTATTACGCTTCCGCGCACGTCATGCACCGACCGCAAAAACGCGTAGTACCAGCGAGCTGTACGTGGTGGTAATCGACCGCCGCCATTCATTGTACACAATTTTTGTGTGTGCAAAATTCCATAGCAGTCCTGGCCATGCCTGAAAGGTTGTCAAGTTAGCGGTTATTCCTCCTGTTTTCACTGCAATTGTAGGCTGAATCTTCATCGTGGATCGTTTTTTACTTCAATGACCTGTGTAATGGTTATTCCAGGCAAGTTTGGGGTGAGTTGCAGTTGCAATTAGTGTGTAACGGGGACAAAATTGAACATTTTCCAAATTTTTTTTGAATATACTACTACTTATGAGAAAAATACGCTCCAGCCCTTATAGACAACCCATATGATAAAACTCAGGGCTGGGTAACTCCAGCTAGGATGTCTACTATATTCAATCTTGTCACGCTTGTCAATTGTAGAACTGAAAGTGAAAGACTGGAGGACATCGATAACAATATGGTATTAGTATACAGCAACTTAAGACCATAAATGATTAAAATTTAAACTCGTGCATTGTTAATGTGAAAAACTGATGACAGTTGACACTGTCCACTGATTTTAAAACTGCCAAAAACAACACTCAACAGCACTTACGTGGAAAGTTACAGATTTTTAGCTATCAGAGTTCGCAGACAAAATCAAGCCATTATGCCGTAGATAAACTTACTGGGCAAATTGAAATAATACAATTACAAGAGCGTATTGTGGCACGTACTTAGTCTATTCGTAGAACCAACAACACACGACCTTTCTCTATAAACTCGACCGCATCAGTGCATGCATTGTATTGCATTATTTTTGTACTGCAATTGGCTAACAACACAATAACGTGCAAAGGACCTGGGTTTTCCCAGACTACACTGGTTCCCTGACCTCTATTGGATTCACATCTCTTCCCCTGTAGGGACCAGTGAATAATTCCCGGAAGTTCCCTTGCGTACCGTGTTTACTTTACGTCATTCTAAAAATAGATTTGTACTCTTCTTTTGCTTTTGAATTCTTTTTAGAAACTTGATTCTAAAAAGGTTTTAGTAATTTCAGTTAGTAAAGTGAGACCAAAAAATTGACACTATATTTTTTTCTAAAAAGTCAACTTTGTAGGTATTGAATGAATGTTTATTTGAATTATAATTATTTTATTCACAGGAGCATTTTGGGAAATCAAAATGGCAGCGCCCATTGAATGTTGCCAGCTCCGATACCTTTGTGTACAAAATTGTGATCATTTTTTCAATACTTGTATTAAATTTCAAGAATAACTGCCCTTTTTTGACATAAGACCATTACTCTCTGTATTTACTCGTTAAATTATGGCAAATTTGGTGACTAGTTCTCTTCGTAAGGCAGCATTTTGTCTACGCCGGTCGGCCACGTCGGCTCATGCGCATTCCGTGTATTTACGACATCGGGGTTTAATTGCGGTGTTAAGCCGTGCAGATGTGTGCAAATCGCACAGACGACATTTGTCACAGTACGTTCAGGGTGTGAGGCGCCTACAAAAACTCAAGGAAGATGAGACTTTCTGCAGAGAGTCATGGGCTCAGGGAAACTTTGCAGTATTTTATGATCTCCGGCCTCTTGTTGTGCCTTCACTTTCAGATGAAGGGAAACATTTGAAGATCATGAAGATTGCGTGGAAACACTCAGATGGTAACTTTTGTCTTGTAGATGAAGTTGTCTAAATTACAGAAATTGTAAAGATTCACTGAAATAGTATGACAAATATTTGTCATGTAATCATTCAGTAGTCTTAAATTTAAAAAGTAAATTTTGTTTTTTAAAAATTAAATTGCTAAGTTAAATTTTGTTATTTTTGAGTTGGTGGGAACACAACTTCAGTTCCCTCTCCTTAACTTGGGACATCTGCACTAGAAAGCAGGGGGTCGTGGGTTTGAGTCCCACCCAAGTGGTTTTTCTAACTTTCACTCGGGAGGTTACACACCGAGTGTACTGTACAGTGTATGTATGTCTGTGAAGGGTAAAACCTAAATATTGATTGAGAATAAATGTATAAACATTTATATTTATGAAAACCTTTGCTTTTGTATAATCAAAATTCTTTTGCAGAACTATCTGAATTGCTGAAAGAGGATTTTCGTGCAGATGAATCGATAGTTCTGAACTGCAACATTTCAGACCCAACCAGCCCACCCAAGTTTGCAATCAACATTGCATCCAAGTCATCAGAGCCAGATCACAAGGAGAAATTTGAGAAGAGGTTTGGCAGCACCACAGTCAGCGGCAGAACATCACTTTTCGTGGTTTCAAAGACAGATGCAAGAATCTTGGGACAGGTTAAACCCACACCTAGTTTATTTTTAGTACGGTAACACTAAATTAAATTGAGTCACTCTGTTCCACCTTTTGCTTCTCCATTGCACATATAAAATAAAAATATTACGATTACGGCAATGTTTCCTTTTCTTTTAACTCTCTTTCACAGTGTCTTCCGCATTTGCAATGGCACATCAGGCACCAGTTTTGCTCAAACTGCGGTGAGAGGACAACTAAGGATCCATCAGGGTCAAAGAGAACGTGCCCAACATGCAGCACAGTTCATTACCCTATAGTAAGTGGGAGAGGCCTCGTCCAAAAGTTTGCAACCTTTCTAGGATTTTCCTAGTGTTTCTAGGATTTTGCTTTTTCTAGGATTTTCCTAATTATCCTATGGGATAGTTAGTATCCTATAGGATAGTTAACTATCCTATATGATAGTTTGTAGGAAAATCCTCATGTATTGGCTTACACAATACAGTTCAGCAGATTTGTATTCTCAGTAACGCAATTAAATTATACCCCTGCTGGTTACAATACATGCTAATGCTTGTAGATGTTCTACTGTATATTTTTTTTGTAGCTCAGTCCGGTTGCCATAGTGCTTGTAACCAACGGCGACCGTTGCCTCGTGGTCCGACAGCCAAGGTTTATGGCAGGCATGTACAGCGCAATTTCGGGATTTCTTGAACCAGGTAAAGACATGCTGCTTTTTGTTCAGTTATCGAGCTTTGCATTTGTATCCTATCAAGGAAAGCTTGGTTTTATTTTGCACAAGCTCTTGTACAAAACTAATGCAAAACTTCTACATATGTATCAGTGAAGGGCAAAACCTAATATAAAAATTAACAATTTTTCTGTATTAGGGGAGTCATTAGAAGCAGCAGTCAGGCGTGAGGTAGCAGAGGAGGTCGGTCTTGAGGTTGAGGAAGTCAAATTCTTCTCGTCTCAGTCTTGGGCATTCCCGCTCAGCTCTCTCATGCTGGGATGCCACGCCAGCATCAAGCATGGAACTACCGATCACGTGAGTCAGAGCCACATCTAAATTTATGTGGCTACGATTGATGGTAACACATGTGTCTGTGGGAATTGGCTTCAGGCGCTTCCCTAGACACATGTGAAATTGTTAGCCACAGCCTAGTAATTCAGACGCAGCTTTGGTGTGGATCCTTGCACTAAAGGGTGTGTCAGTTTGAGGGTTTTTCAACCCACGGCTTCATCTTCAAAATTCGGCTTCAGCATTAAGATTTAGAAATGGTCCAAGTCTCATTTGAAGCTATGTGACTGTATAGACTAATTCGGCAAAAGACATTTTCTGCGGTTGCAAGAAGCTCACGAGAGTCACGCTCACATAATACTCCCACACTCCGGGCTCCATTGACCAACAGGGCTACCAAATGTACACGTGCCTCGTCTTTATGATCGTTGGCGTCATGCGCGCGGACGTGGCAGCACAGCAAATATGGCTTCTAATTCTGTTCAGCGATCTCCAGTATACAGGGATTTTGGGGAGGGAACTAATACTATATTAATAACAACAGAAGTAATATAAATTGTACAAATGAATGGTGATATGTTGTTCGTTTGTCTTTCAAAGGTTTCCCTTGATGAGGCGGAGCTTGAGGACTCGAGATGGCTCCATCGGGAGGAGGTTCTGACAATCCTGGACAAAAGCAGCCCCAAGGATGACGACATCTGGCTGCCTCCGGAAGTTGCGATCGCTCATCGTCTTCTCAAAAGCTGGGCACTGAAAGAAAACTGAAAATGATATATTACATGTATTTGGTTGAAGAATTTCTTGTGAGTGATGTAACAGAAATTGGAGGTTGCGTGCATTAAAGAAACCCCATACTCGATTAAAGTAACCCACAGCAGTGTAAAGTTAAGGGTCTTTCCTTAGGCCTTTGTTTACAAACAACACTCTCTTTGCTGTGGGTGCAATTTCGTTCAACTTTGTGGAGTTGCACAGCAAGTACCCAGTCAATTCTTCCAACACAAAATATGGATTTAATTGAAAAAGCTACTTCTCTTCAGGAATAGTACTATAAATATCCACAGTATGTATCCTTAAAGCCGACTATTTAATCTGTGTCTGTTATTTGCTTTCGGTGTAGTTATACATGTACATGTACATTTGTAAATCCATTTTAAGCAGCTTTTTACAATTTTGTTCATTTATCTTAGTTAGTTTTATCTTTGGGTGATTATTTTTAAAGGATTTCACTGTTTTGTTTTACTTTTTAAGGCCAGATTAAATGGGATATGCTCAAATTATCCACCTCAAACATGCTGGAAGATTACGGGTAACGTTTACTTTGGATCCGTCTTATGTACTTGGGAAAAGTGTAAATGGCCCAAAAGTCTATGTTTGAAATAATAAATTAATAAAACTCATACATAAGTCAGTACAAATAAAGATGTTTTTGTAGTGCACTTACTGCTTGACAGATGAACATGGACTAGAGGATTTGAAATCAATTCCAGCCCTCCCCCCCCCCACCACTCCCCTGCGCTTTTGTCTACGTCCTTCAAAAGTCTGAACAAAGAATGTCATTTTTATGCAAAAAGTTCCATTATTGGTTCTTGACTTTGGCTCAGAAAAAGAATTGCTTCTAAAAGCTCGGTTCCCAATTTTAATTTTGTTCACAACTTTTTTTAGGGGTACTGATCTTTTTTTGGCCAAATTTGAACCAATGCCAAAGATTAAGTACAGAAAATGTGCCGAGCAAGAATCAGCATTGAACAATACATCAAATGGCATTGAGTTCACCAACCACAGCAGTTGTGGAATGATTTTCCATATTTTGGGGTTTCCCCAAATATTTGCACACCAAAGAAATCTACAGTGTTACTTTACAATATGATTAAAAAAACAACCACAATCAACAATCGGAGACCCATGCCAGTTAATAGTTTGCTTTGTTTTAAAAGTTTTTGTAACATTTATTGTTGTCACTCCTGAGATTTGTCCCAAGTATTACGACTGCTAGAAGGTTACCATGGCTACCACCGCCTTATGACAGACATAAAAACAGAACAATGTTTGAAACCCATGCTGTTCCACAATACTGTGTCATTTCCTAATATATTTGGCAAAAGTTACAAAAAGTCTTGACACGTTAGGAAGCCGTCAAAAGTAACAGCTTTTCTTTTTCTCTTTTTTTTTCTTTTCTTGTTAAAAAATCAGATACATCATCACAGAAGATAAACGGTGTGTCTCTTTCAAATTTACATTTAATTCTTTACATATTAAAAATCACACCGTTTATGTCTCCACCCAGGTAAATTGCGACTTCAATGACACACTCAGATATCAACATATCAAAACTGTACAGCTATCAGTTTCAGCTGACCCGCTCTGTAAAATTCTGCCGTTATTTTCCCGAGTCAGAGAAATCCGACCAATCAACCTCAAGGGGCAAAATGAGAAGGGCAGGCACAGCCTCGGCCCATTCCATTTTGCCTCGAGGGATTGACCGGGTAGAACCTCAAGAGAGGGGCAGGTTAAAACATGGGCATTAAATTCACAATTAATTTGATGGGATTCAACTATTTGCATTCGGTGCTCAGAACCAAGATTTGACATTGGAAGAAATATATACACAAAATTGAGGGGCTAATTTTCACACAGATCAGTGGTGATTAAATCTACTTAAAACTAAGGAGCAAATAAATTTCATGTTATTGTTTTCATGGGAATAAATAAAATTAGACGAGATGCCACTTAGATACTTGGCAAACGAACCCTACTGGAATATTTTTTGCAATTCTACAAATGATGATAAAGCTGCCCCTCTTTTTCGGTTGGAAATAAAACTCTGTGCAGATTTGACACATTATATTTACAAGTGCAGTGGATTTCTCTTACTCGATTGAATTTGACAGAAGTTACAGTTCCGAAAAATGTTTCCAGAACAGCATGGGTAGTTGTTCGGGAATTCACAAGGCGTTGGCAGTGTAGTAGTTTAGTCATTAGTTTACATTTTAATATTTCAAACTGATGTTGTAGAGAAAAAGACAGGTAAACCCCAAAAAATTAACATTAAAGCAAATCGAGCAAAACAATTATTTTTTTCTCACAACAGCAATAAAGATTCTTGTTAAAAAGGTGTAAAGCATTTCCTTCAATGCAATGGAAAACTAAGATTGATCCATTTGATGCAAAGGGGTGTTTGGGTACAACTAGACTGTACACTTAGAAGTATTAACTACTTATATCACACCCCCTTGCCAAATGGAACATGCTTAAGCTTTCATCGTAACAGGACTGTTCCACTATCCACCATAGGAGTGTAACTATGACAAATAGGCTACCACTGCTAAACAGGCCTACATTGCTACATCAAACACACAGAAGTTTATAAATAAAAAAAAAGTTAAAAATTTCTGCCCACACAAACTGAGAGGCAGAAAATGCATATTCCTTACGTTCTTTACCAGTTAAGTCCCAAGAGTTTCCATTGAGGAGTAGCGACTTATCAGAAAAGGAAATCTGAACAAATTATTCTGAAATTTGTAATTGAGACCTCAAAATTAATTCTGGTATTTCATTTGGTAGAAACCGTTTGTTTTTCTGCTCCAGAATTCCCCCTTCTGTTCAGCAAAAAAGCATTTAACGGGCCCATATGGACAGTTCAATATCTACATGTAATGTACATAGGCCATGAAAATCTACAAATTTAATCCTTTTTCCCAAGCCAAGCTTAATTGTTGTGTTTCTTTGTTCAAAATACCTCTATTCATCCAATCATTTACATGCAATCTTAGCCTTCGTTCTAGGTGACAATTATTAAACCTCACTTAATGCCCAATCCAAACACATACAGCGCTATCTCTTAAATAGGGTTTGAACATAAACTGCTGCGATAAAGTCTTAGACTATCAAGGTATGTGTCTAAATTATTTTATCCTTTTTTTCTCTGCAAACCCAAAATCTTTGGGGTTTTTTTGTGCTGGTAACCAGAAGGTTGACAACTTAATGAAGGGAATTAGAAATTTAGGGAAAAAATGATGTAATCCTGGTACAATTTTTCCTAGCTTTGAATCTTACAGAAATTAAGCAATGCACTATAAAAACAATAAGCACACAACGTTATGTACTTGGTCCCTTACACAAAACTAAAAAACAATCATGTACAGTATCTCAATGAAGTGGTGTAGCCAATTCTCCCAAAAATTATGAAATTGAACACATAGACTGAAGACGTCTACACTTAATCCTACAGTTAAAGTTTGTCTTTAATTACTTTTAGAATTAATTCATGTTCAATTTGATTTTCTTGCCTTTAATTATATTATATACTTGTGTACAGTCGTGTATAAAAGTGCATTCTTCAGAAACTGTTATAAAGACGCCCTCAAATTGGGTCCTATTCAATTGAGAAAACAATAGAGAAAAAAAATTGTACATGATATGTTTTACAAAAGCAATTAAATCACTGAATGGGAAAAAAAATATCAATTTCAGTGTGCTTCACTCAAAAATTTGGCTTCGCCTGGAAAATTTATCACATTAAAATATTCGGGGCTCAAAAGCAAATCTGAGCACCATTTATTTAAGATGAAAAAAATGAAATTTCTGAAAAAGAAAATCACTTCTGAAGTGGGAAAAAAATATTATATTCATACATTATATTCTTAATTTGAAAACTTGATATTGTGTTGTTACCCTGAACTGGCAAAAGAAGCGCGAGATTCTTGGCCAAAAAAAGTAACTCCCTAAACCACAAAGTTTTTAATCATTATCAAATCCTTTCACTTAATTGTACACATGTATTTTGTACACTTACTTTATTTTACATTTGTTTTCCTATGCCAGTATAAGAGGATTTGCTAGCAACTTATATTTTTCCCCACAATTTCAGTGGATGTAGCGGACTGACGGCGAAAAAAAAAAAATAAAGAAAGCAGGATTTCTCATAATTTAAAAATTCATCAAAACAATTAACATCTGGGGAGAGAAATACTTGTGAACAGTATGACCGAACTGTTGCTCGGAAAATTTGCCTGATATGTGTCCTGGTATTTCATTGGAAAGTTGAAGGCTGAATATTCCACATGTCTAGCAAAACAATCTCAAGTCATGGGTATAATTACAAAAAATCATACATTTCCACTACAATTTCACAAAGGCGTTAACACAAACAGCACCAACTGATGAACATGAAAAAAAAACCAATGAAGAAAAAAACCATGTCGCTTGAAAAAAAAAGAATTCAAGATTTTGACTGTCACAAGCAAATTGACCACAATCAGCAAAAGCTAATCAAGAAAAAAGACAGTACTGATCCACCATTAAGTGTACCTAACACTAAACAGGTAATAAAACACAACACACTGTACACACAGAATATTTTCCATTATCAGTTTCCATGGATGAAAAAAATCACGCCGTTAAAAATTGAGAGGAGATAACGAAAGATTGCGATGAAATATACTGAGTGCTGATCGACTCTAGGGGACGCTGTCATGCAAGGAAATGTTTCGCTCCATCAAAGAGGACTTTATACTTTTATATCTTTCTTTGGTATTGTCACATTTTACAGAACATTAGTTGTCGGAAAAGGCAAAGACCCAAGAAACGGCTGTTGAAGTGCACCTCATCCCTAGGCATTTTAAAATGTTCTCCAACAACCCTGCTGAATCCTACAGAATCCTATGGAACCCAACAACACTGCTTGCTGCTGAATCCAACAGAATGGGATGCCAGAGGTTCGTTTTCACTACTTTGATCAAGAAAATTGCCTGCTGCTGTATTATTATGGAGTCACCAGGGTGTGAGGAAAACGTTTAAGCTGTGCAAAGAGAGTCAGCGAGTTCGGGATAATAACCTATCATTTCATACTTCACATGAAAGCAAAAGCAAACTGTTTCGCGATGTCAACTGAAGTTTCATTGAGGCATTACCTTTACCCTAACAAATCTGCTTAGATTTAAAAATTCACACAAATTAGAAGTGGCCTTAACAGAACTTTATTCAAGACACTGATGGAGACAACTTTTGGGGCGGTTGCCTCCGAGAGCACTCAGTATAACTTCATCACTGATTACACTACATTCTCAAGATGAAGAGAGACAATAACCAACCAAGAGAGATCTTCAAAGTTACCTAGCCCAAAAAGGCATTACATCGCCAACACCCGGCCCCAATTCATTTTAAAATAGTCTCATCCATGTAAGTTTCTCTGTTTTCTGGTTTTCAGTTCTTATTTTTTTTACATGCCTGTACAAGTACAAATCAGATTACACCTAAAAAGTCACGACGGTTGGTAACAGAGGCAGGGCTTACCGGCGCCTTTTTGAAAATTGGCACCCAAAAAATTCCTGTAACGGAAGAAAATATTCACATTTGTGCCCCGCGCTGATGCCGCTCATATACTACCGCCTGATGATGTTGAAATTGCCGCTGGTACTGGTGCTTGGGGCACTGCTGCTGTTGCTGCTGGTTCCTGGGGCGTTGTAAGGCATCTCAAACTCGGTGAGCAAGGAGAAGTGGTCTGACGGGACGCTGGTGTGCGGACAACCAACGATCTTTGACTGAGGTGAAAAGAACATAAAATGGACAGTGTTAATGAAATTGTGATGTATGACACCACACCTTACTGAATTTCCAAATGGCGTGTATTGTTACTTTATTCTTTACTTGTGGCCAAAATGTTTAAGTCACGTCCGTGAAAAAGTGTATTTGTAAAAAAAGTGAGGTAGAACCTGTTTCAATCGTTACAGATCAAACCCAACTAGGCTCTCTTGCCCGTAGGGCAGATACCCAGTTCCAAAATTATTCATAAACGCAGAGCCCTACTTTTACAGCCTGCCATTACCTGGTCTAACCACTCCTGCTCGACAGGCCCAAGCACTCCCAGCGTGGACATGAAGTTACGGGAGGTGAAGATGTAATCAATGACCCCTTTGAAATCGTAGGTGTAGTTGGTGTACTGCAAGGGCTGGTTGTGGTAGGCCCGGCGTAAGGAGAACGGGTGGGCGATGTGGCCGTTGGACTCAGTGCTGCTGGAGAAGTTGCGTAGGGCCTTGTAATGGATCTCCTTGAAGTCCTCATGGTGGACCGAGACCTTGCCATTCTCTAGATACTCCAATACACCTGCGGACACAGAAGAGGGGGGAAAAGGGATGGCCCTTTAGGGAATAAAGATAATCTCCTGAAGCCTAATCGGGGAGTGTTTCCTAGCGGTGAGGGTTTGTGGCTAATGACCAAAGGGTCAGGGGCTCCAATCCAGCTGCTGGGGGTAACCTGCGATGGATTGGCATCCCATCCAGGGGCAATGGAAATACATATATTCTCAGTCATTTCATGCCAAGGAAACCGGAGATAAACACCGGCATCATGGGCCATATTGGCTCGTGACAATAAGCTGGAGAGAAAACCTGAACTTTCAAACCCTCTTCCCCAACAATTTTCAGACAAGACTGTTACCACACCTGAATCAGGCAAGGAGTTGAGATCCCCGCACAGGACCAGCGGAATGGGGCAAGCTTCCTGAGAGCGAGGCGTGCCGCCGGGCCGGAAGCTAATGGACTCCTCGTCGACAATCTTCTTGAGCTCGTTCATGAACATGATGGTCTGGATCAGCTTGACGTCGCTGTACTCGGGGTCCCAGTGGATGTGGACATTGGCTACAAGCATGAGTTGCCTGGCATTGTCTGGGGCTGGCGCTGGAAGAGAAAAGGGTAGGGGAAACCTATTAGTACCTGTACTACATGGTAATGATTCCACAGAAAACTGAAGCATGCTTGGAGTCGGTTAGGGGGTACAAGGAGTGATAGGCAGGGCAGTTTTGGAGATGTGCGGGGATTAATGTGCCTCTCGATATAACACTATTTGCTTCATGGTGGATTAAAAATGAGACAGCACTTGCAAAACTAAAGCTTTTTGAAATCCTGGCTTCATCTGAAGCATCGGCTTCTCATCTGAATCAAGAACCTTTTGGAAGCCTTCGACTTCAAATCAAAAAAGGAACATTACATGTACTTGCAAAATTTGGCCTTTTATTAACAGGATTAGATATTCCTGAATCAAAACACTGACTGAAAGTTAGCAAAACTCCCCACTTCAGGGGCCTAACTTGTCCTAAATCCACAGCTGGGGATGAATTCAAGGTTTTGAAAACTCTTAAAGGCCCCTTATATGTGGATAAATAGCTTGCTATGCAAATGAGACTTCATATATTCACATATTTTCTTCAAACATCTTATATTAAAATTATAAGATATCAGAATATGTTGGTCCAGTCTATTCAGCCTACCTGAGCCTTCGTAGCTGCCTGCTCTCGTTTCCAGTAAGACAGCCAGCCCGATGTTATCCTTGGTCATGACTCTGTTCAACATGTCTTCATTACCGTCGGCGTTGGCCATCGCCAGCTGGTTGAACTCTACAAGGTGTTCCTTGACCATACCAAACCTGGTCCAAATCGGAGACGCATATTATATCGGGTACGGTGTTTGAAACCCTACATAACAATATGCATTTTAGGGACTTTTTACTGATATCAATGATTCGAAGCACTCAGTTTTTTTATGGCTTTATGGAGTCTATGCAGGAACAGAGGATGGCATTTCTTTGACACTGACAAGAGTTACGTCAACTTCCATGTGCGGGACACACTGGTTGCGTTACTGGCGTACATGGGTTTGGCAATTAATTATTACCCTGCGTCCACACTATTGGTTTTTTCTTTTGCAATGGCTGCATGGATTTGTGCGTATTTATTTGAAAAGTGGTTGTGCTAAGTTTGCCTCATACAGCAGTTCCTGCAGGAAGTCTGTCAATTTGGTCTCAAAAGCAAAAACTGAAAGAAAGTCTTTGAAAAACAAAAGAGATGGCATACTTGTTGGTCCTGTAGAAGATGGCGCAGCCGTCCACGTACTTGCGCTCGTGCTCGGACATGGTCTTGGCCCGGGACTTGGGGCTGAAGACGCCATCGTAGCCGTGCTTGTGCAGCGACGGGTAGAAGAAGTTGAAGTACTGGTCCGTCTCCACCTCCTGTAGGCAGATGAGGTCGGCACTGGCGTGCAGGATCTCATCCATGATGCCCTTGCGCCGGTAGTCCCAGGTCAGGGCCCAGGTCGGGCAGTAGCCGTACAGCTGCTTGGTGGCGTACTTGTCGCACAGGACATTGTAGCTCATCACCGAGAATATTGCTGCAATGACATGGGTCCAAATTATTAAAAACAGTAAACTTAGATGACTGCATAAGTGCATGTAGGGATTAAATCTAATCCCGACCCTCAACATGTGGAGGATTTAAGAATATTTCTGGACAAAATCCAAAGGGGGTTAGTAAAACCATTCTTGGGCTGACTGTACAATATGTATGCAACTGGATTTATGTGTACAATTATTTATTAAAAATCTTACCAATATCGAGCATAAACTAAATTTGACAACGTAAAAAATCACAGCTTATTCGACGAAGGAGGTAAAAAAGAATGAGAAAGAAAACACAACAATGTTCTGGAAATCAGCATGTCTTTGTTTTGACAATTTATCAGATAAATACAGCACAACTGCAATAAAGGCAGTATTATTACTAAACCTACACAAGCCTTGATAACTGAAAAACAATTCCAAAATCAATGTTAGAGCAGCGAAATGTAAACCATCTCAGACGGACATGGAGTTTCTAATTCAAGGTTTTTTCTTAGTTTTCCAGAGACGTGCTAAATCTACTTTTACATGTATTTAATCTCTTTAACCTTTACAAGCAGAGCGGCTGACCGGAATGCCAGTGGCATAGGAGACTCATCCTTGCCATTTCAATTAACGCACAATGCATGTTTGCAATAGGATACTTTGCAGCGGCCATGTATTGAACAACAATCGCTGAGCTTAACGAAGGGTTTTCATTTCAGACCCACTTGTTAAGCATTTTTTCTCTTATTCATTCAATTGCTACAAGTATAATTAGTGTGAATGATCCCAAATATTTATAATACCTTGAATATTTAACTATCATCCTTTATTTATAGAATTACAAAAAAAGGAAGCGGGGCAACAAGAATTTGAGAGAGAAAAAAAAATGCAAATTTGCCAAGAGGTGAATTCCATTTTTATATTGGGTATTGCCTTAGCCAAGTTTGTTTTTATTTCCCCAAAGCAAAACCAAACTACAAATGACTCAAATCAGTACAAAACATACACCAAGTATGCGGACTTAAATACATGTATGTGTATTATGAACTTTATGCATAATGGTAACATAAAATAGCATCAATAGAAATGTATTGTTTGGCCTTTTGGGAAAGTAATGTACATGTACTTACCAGCTGGCCTCGACCTATCGGAATCTTTTATGTGGATCCAGGGTCTCGTTGGGGGCATTGTATTTGGGGCTGTGACAAAACAGAAAAAAGAAGACATTTAACGTGTAATAAAGGAATGAGAATCATACCCTAACAACATGAATAACATGTCTAATGGCCAACATACATGTACATGTAAAAAAAGCTTAGTAAAGCCACCAAACATTACATCAACTCAAAAACTATATTTACATGTACAAGACAATCATACTTAATATTTTTTCTGATCCATGCTAACTGATTTAACAGTATATTACATGGAACAAGCATACAGTGTGCGTATGTGTGTACACATTATTCAATACTTGCGTAATTTAAGTTACTTGAGACCCAATATTTTTTTAGAAGTCTTTTTAATTAGTTAACTGATACATCATTCTGTGGTTCAACAACACCAGACTTCCACTGCAAAAAGAGAGGGTAACGCACATGTTGTAAATTGTTCTTTGTGAAATTGCTGAATCAATATCACCAATGCATCGTACATACATGCATGACATGTTCAAACCATTACGGGAGAACCAAGGATGCTGTATTCTTATCAATTTTATCACATACATGTACACATGTACATTTAGTTCAGACACATTAATACATACTGCACGTTTTCACCTAGACAATGAGACCACACTCGCAGAATCAATGAAAGTATGGCAGGTGCACATGTTGAAAATCATGACACCTGTTTTCACACTCCATTTACTGCTTCAAGTACATATCATGTAAATTCTCATGCACACACCAACACACTTGCACAATCGCATGTAAAATACAAAAAAAAAACACCAAGAACTCAGACTTTTTTTTCATTAACAGTAGGACTTCTACATACTGTATACCAGTCTATAACAGGCTGCATACATTAATCATTCTCTATTTTTAACTCTTTTCTAAAAAAAAAAAAAAAAGGTTAAAAACTTTCAAACAAGACGAAGCTTGCCTCATGGAACTGGACCCCAAAGTCTCAGTTTAGGACATTTTTATAGTCAGTCAGTCAGTCAGTCAGGACAATAGAATTGCCCTTCAGGTCCAATGGTTGATGTGTTCCACTCATGTGCCATGGTACGTGGGTTAGAACCCTGACAAACATGGTACTTGTGTTCTTAGGCAAGACACTTTACTACAATTGCCTCTCTCCACCCAGGAGTATAAATGGGTACCTGTGAAGGTAGAGACCCGACTGCACTGGTCTGCAGCTGCTGCAGAAAACTGGTCTCATGGCCTGATGAACAGGGGTAATAACTGTAAAGCACTTTGAGACTTTTAGTAAAAAGCGCTAGATATAAGCGACACAAAAAAAATAAGTTGATGACTTACGACTGATGTTGTCCAGCATATAGGACAGTAACCTGGGTACACCGTTGTGCTCGTTGTAGAGACCCAGCATATCAGGGTTGAGAGGATTCCCCTTCAGGCCTAACACCTGCAGCTGGAACAGCCGACCCATCTCAAATGGCAGGTTGCGCAGGTAGTTGTTGTTCAGTAAAAGTTCCCTAAAAAGAAAGGAAAAGAGATCTTTGTCATTTTCCAGAACTGAGGAAAGAAAATCATATGTTTTGTTTGGCATGGCTTGATAAAATCAATCTTGTTTTTTGTTCAGTCCACTTACTTTCTGGTTTTACTGAAGACACCCCGACAAAATTTGACAGCAAACTTGTCTACTGAATCCAAGAGAATCTGACAGCTTCAATTATCACATGAACAAAATCGAGCAGAATTTTCCCACTTTAATCAGCAGTCACGAATTATCAGTTAAGCGATCAGTTTTTTTTAACATTACCAAAACATTACTTCTAATAAAATTACACTAATTTACAGATTTGATTTAAACACTTGACAAATCCAAAGCAAGTTTGGGTCTGCTGTCATTACTTTTTACAAATTGTATCTCTGCACTGAGTAGGCTTACTTTACTTTGGATATTTCTTTTTAAATACATTTTTGTAAGAAAACAACAATCCAAGTCAAACCACTGATCATTTACTGTCATTGGTCAAACAAAACGCAAGTGAAGAACACACAAGCTTATGATAATAGTATTTTTCTCTGTTTACATGCACACACGGTGTATTGTCACATTCTGTACACAGAATTATCAGTGTGTGGATATTTTTTTTATCTGCAGAAATGTATACATTGTACACTTATCTTGTGGTTTACATGTACATGTTTGCCTATTATGTAAAATTGTACATGTTCATGTATGTTTACTTTTTTTGCCTTAAGTAAGCTACCCACTTTTTGGGTCTTACTCAACCAACAGAACATGTGGCTGTTGGGCAATGCCGTAAATTCTGACGTACAAGTCAGACACTTTAATGAGCTGCTTTGAATTGAATGTGATACATCACTGATATGTGACGTCTAATGTGTAGAAAACAATTACAGACCAAATTAAGGTACACCACCACCTTAATTACCTTGTACACATCATGTGGTAGGACCATGTGTTCCTAGCTCCATGGTCGGACAGACGTTGGATTTTACGAAATTGCCCTGTTACTTAACTCTGAAGTACATGTACTCTTGCAGCTAGTGACCATAGTGATAACTGAGTGTAGTGCACTTTACTACTTATTTATACATATACATGCAGCTTATCAATCTTAACAGCTCCATTACTTTAAATTCAAAACATGCACCTGCCTTAACAGTATGTGTTTAATTATATACACAATGTACATGTATGCATTTTAGTGCAGCACTAGGAAGTAGGAGCAGGTACATGTATTAAAACTGTCTGGATGCATTATAGCCTTATTGACTTCTTTGCAGTGGATTAAATGTTACTTGTCAGTGTCCCAATGTTTTCTAGTTCTGAATCGCACAACAGAGGTTGTTGACCATCATTAGCTTACAGCCCAAATGTAAATTATTGCAGAGGTTGACATTTCGCAATTAAAAACAGATACACACATGTATTCATTTAAATATTACATGTATAATGGTCACAAATATTTAATTGATGCATATCTTTATGTAACGAACAAATCCAATGAGTTAACAAAGTCATGGAATATCACGTGCCCCTTCCCCCCCCCCCCCCCCCCCCCCCAGACACGCTTCATGAAACTAAATTCAGATCAACAATTCAGGGAAAAAAATGGCTGCACAATGCATCGATGCATCAATGCCAGACTTACACAATAGACATGTACATATTGTATGTTAAAGAATTATTATCCCTAGAACCTCTTTCATGCTTTGTCCCATCAAAGAGACTCTAACAACAGCAAAGGGTGCAGCCTTTCAAATTTCACAGAAACATGTTCGGTATGGCTGTTTGGCCTTATCCTTGGTGGACAATTATGACATTTCAGGTAGAATGGTACTTTTACACACTGTCAAATTTGTTTAAGAAAATTGGATGTTGTGGTTACATGATACCAGCTATCGGCAAACTTTTTTTTCACAGGTGGGTTTTTCCTCATGAAATTTGCACTCTCTTTTTATTTATTTTTTTTTTTGGGGGGGGGGAGAGGGAAGGGGGTTTGGGGGTTAAGATTCCTCATACCTGAGCGTGACTAGGTCACCCAGCTCGACGGGAAGGCTGCGCAGTTTATTCGCCGATAGGTCCAGGTGCGTGAGCGAGGTCAGCTTGCAGATCTCGGCCGGCACTCGCGTCAGGTTGTTGTCGTTGAGGTAGAGCGCCGTCAGGAATCCCAGGCTCCAGAGATTGGGGCTCAGGTTGCGGATGGTGCCTACAATCTCCAACTGCTCCCAGTGGGGCTTCTTGCCCGAGACCACGTCGTCCGGGGACATGATGCGGTACTGCCGCCGGTGGTTGTTGTGGTTGTTCTGAGAGTCATAGCGGTCCTTAGGCATCCTGGAGGTTTTTTCTGGAGAGTTGGAGGAGGGGGGGGGGGGTGGAGTGAAAACCATGTTAGCATGTTTGTTGCATGAATACTAAATAGATTTGTAAGAAGTGATTATTTGTGATACATGTACATGTACGTAGCAAAAGCTTTAGAAAGAAGGGATTGTTTGTGATAGGGTTTTAAAGCAGCAGTGGTACATGTACTGTACTTGTATGTGTTTCATTTGCCCAATGAGCATGGTAATCTTTTAATAATGATGTACAAGTAATTATTTGTGATACATGTACATGTACATAGCAAAAGCTTTAGAAAGAAGGGATTATTTGTGATAGGGTTTTAAAGCAGCAGTGGTACATGTACTATACTTGTATGTGTTTCATTGGCCCAATGAGCAGGGTAATCTTCTAATAATGATGTACATGTAGCACCTTGCGCACCAATACTAAGGATATGACTTTGCTTTATAATTTTGTAAACGTTTAGCAAATAAACAAAACGATTAAACATTTAGCCATTTCACAAAGGCTGACGCCTGCTCATTATTTCTGCAGACCGTGATTTCAACAGATTGGCGTGAATGACATGATAAATCCACGATTGACATAATAAATAGCGGACAGTCACTGAAAAAGTAAAAACTTAACTACGTGTACCCCAAATGTAATCAAACACTGCGGCGCTTCTAAGGTTTTGTAAAGTAAATAGGTGTATAGATACACATTATTATTGTTATCTCTTGTGTGAGTTGTTGGTGGCACATTACAACTTCTCCTGGTATGAATTTGTTAATCTCAACAATGACAAACAATGGCTCCAAGACAATTATGGGGGAAACATGATCGACTGCATTTAAAATAACTGTTGGGGATTCCAATTTTCATATCCCATTTACCACATAACCTTTGTAAACTTTTATGACATTAGAAGTCAGTTGGTTTGCACGTTACTTTGCTTGAACTATTTCAAAGTAAACACGTTTTTGTGAAATTCAAGCTTCTTTTCTTTTTGGTTCTGACACTAGCATTGTAGAAATATTTCTCTTGCTGTACATTCACAAGTACAAAGCCCTGTCATTCGTTATAATTCGACTGAAATTCTAAGCTCAGAAAGCTATCAACTAATGTACTACGTAAGTATGCCTAAACCTTGGTTGCCATGGAAACTGACAGTCTTGATTATTGGCAAACGTACATGGCAACCTTTTCCAGCCTTCCTTGAGCCTTGAGGGAAAAAGGCTTTGAGTATTTTTCCTACAACCGACAAGTTATGTGTAATCCTGCTGACGTCAACTGACAGTGAACTTTTTTTTTTTTAATCCAAAATCATTCTACACACATACTGTCCTTTGTTAAATTGTATCTGCAACATAGTAAACAAAAAGTTCATTTGTTCTTGGTTGCACTTTCAGTTTTCATAATTGTATTTAAACCTGAAGACATATAACAGATACCAAAATCAAGCAGTACCTGAGCAAGGTATAAATTTATTAAAACAGCGGGACTAATGATCACTTTTAAAGGTACAGTAGATCATTTGCATTTATATCCAAAAAGTAATCGAGCAAATTATTGTTCAAATACTTTCTTGGTTTCGGTTCAGTGTGTGATATCAATTATCATGTAGAAACAATCAACTGAATGAGAATATGTCCCACCAATGCATGATTATACATTAGACACTTGACTACAATTTACAAGTCTTCAATGTGTATACATAAGTTGGGCGCAATCAGTCGATGTGTGCGATTGGTCGATCCCGCTGCACACTATCGGTCAACCTTCGATCGACACCGCTGCTAGCTGCCACCAGTAGTAGAGCACTTTTTTTTCTAATTCACAGCTCTGGAGGCTTTTTAGTTTTAAAAAGTAAGTAAAGTCTGAAATTCCACCCAACGCATTTCTGCGCAACTGACCGATAGCACAGATCAACCGCCCAACATATGTGCAAACTTTTAGTTTCAGAACCAATGTTTTTTTTGAGAAAATGAAAATGTCAACTTTTCATTTGTCAAGTGTACATCATGGTGTAGTGGATATCAAAAAAGTTGAAAGAAAAACCTGAAAAATGTTTCTGCAAATGCCTGTACTGCAATTTGAATTCCAAAATCATCAAAAGCTCAAATATTACTTTCTCAGATTTGCTTCATATTAATTATTATTACATTGTTTAGCTGGTTAGTTGTTACATGGATTGGAGGAAGGATAGTTGTTACAACATGGAAATTCATTTTATTCCACTAATTCTAGTTTTTCTATTTTCTAAAGTAGGACTATAAAATCATGTTTTCTTCAAGTTGAACTTTTAAATATTGCTCCAAATTAATTATAGCTATTTAGCAAATTTATCAAAACAGTGTGATTTGCATAAATGGCCTACATAAGTTACATTATGACATTATACATTACATTTACAATCATGACAATCAGTTATCTTTAATTTTTGCTAGAAAATGGCATTGCCATGGCATTGGGGTACTCTTTATGCATTAGTTAGAAAATAAAAGACATGAATTAATTGTTATATGGTTAGGTTTTACAAATGTGCAGCGAAGCATGGCATAAATAAACAATACACACACTGCCACTGCTGCGCAAAGTAGAACAATGGACTTGTTTTTCCACGTAATGTTACGAGCGAGGTCGACGACTCGGTCGATAAAGCTAGCTATTGAGTTGATACAGACAGTACGACGATTTAGTACCGTAATTTATTCACCTTTACACGTCAAAATGATACTTTTTTCAATGATAAAATGATAAACATGAATATGAACTTACCTTCATTGAGTATATTTTACTGGGAAGATTCAAGGAACTGTCTAAATTGTCATTGGTTTGGGACGTGTTTTTACTACAAAATTCACTTCCGAAATCCAAGATGGCAGGCAATCGAATGTAATAAATTATGTGCGCATGCGCAATTCTGTATTGGGTAATCCTTGGACTAAACCATTATGTGAAATAGGTGTTCACTGTGAATTTGGTGTCGCTTGACAAATAAAAAAATCTTCAGCAAGTATCTGGCAACAAAAGGCAGATTGTTATAGGCACCCATTATTTGAAACATTAAACACTGTCATTCGAAAAAAAAAATATTTTAGAAAATAATGTTCAAATTTGGAATAACGTTTGGAATATTCAACACTCATTCACCATGGAGGTAGGAATGCATTCACCTTCTTTTGCAAAAAGACAATTACTTTCTTTTTTTAAATTACATAAACGATCAAAGTAATAAATTATCAACTCCCGGCTTGGCCTTGGATGATTTTTACATTTTAAATACATAACAGAACTGCAGTTTGTGTAACTTTGAATTTCCCATCCATTTACCCTCCTCTCTCTTAAAATGAACGCAACCATAACATTTCAGTTCATTGCACTCTGCTTCGGCATTCTGTCGGAAAATACCGAAGAGCCGACGATAAAAATCCAAGATGGCAGCCTCCATGTGCATGAGAACTGCGACTTCGATGAGAGGTTCAAAACGTTAGTATTTCTGTATTTTGCATGTTTTCACAGTAAAAGAAAGAACTTTATGGTGCATTAGATATGGCAAATGAAATGCCTTCTTTCCATAAGTTTGTTATCCGTAACATTGCAGTGCTGCAACCTTACTAAATTTGGTTTAGAAGAAAAGATATCATTCTGCCATGTCTGCCATTCAATTAGAATAGAACATGTGTAGAGCGCCCTCACTGTACTGTGTGGACATATCTTCGCTCCTCTGTGCATGATAGAAGCAAGTGTCTTCTTCCATTATTCCAAGCTGAGTGCGAGCCCTCTTAGTAGTAATATTCAAATGATTCAGTTTAAAAAAAACAGTGATTGTTTAACTTGCAATGGCATAAATAAAATAAATAGTAAACATGGTGAAGTACTGTACTGCGTATTAATTTATTAAATGGCTCCATGCAACTGCAAGTTCTTTGACTACATAAAATACCTTAGAATTACTTAGTAAATAACATTATTTTTAAAGAAACCACATACATGACATAGGGAAACTGAGCTGAGTAGGTTCAAAATTCGCTCCAGTCAATTTCTTTGTTCAACCTTAAAATAAATATTAATTATGTGCAAAACTATGTATGATTCTTTACTTACTGTACTTACTGTACGAAGTGGAAAGTGAGGGATATTTGTGATTTGACTCCAGTCTTGCAGCACATCTACCTCAGACTCCAGAAGGATGCAGTCTTGAATTTGCATCACGAAGCACTAATCGCCCAGCGTACAACTAGACACATCCTCACCAACCCAAGGTGTTTACAGTGGAGAAGGTATTTATAGTGGTTCAAACTGTGGAAAAAATGTTGCAACCCGACGCCACTTTTTCTTCATATATCATCTCAATGAAGGTCAGTCATTGCAAAAATGATTATAAGACATGAATCTAGGACTGAGAAACATTTCCAATTTCGTTAGGAAATACTTTAGTTTTCTTGACTCTCCATAGACTTTGTACACAACCGCTGAAGTGGCATCAGGTTGCAACATTTTACCCAAACTGCAATACAACTCACAATAGACCACCATTGTGGAAATCAACCTAAGGTTTCGTAGTCTTCATCCAAGAAAGTTTGATTTAGTTCTGCAAAGCTAGAGTGTAAACCAATGGGAAACGTTTACTATGACATATAAGTGGTTGCAGGCTGTTCAAAAATTACAGTCTTGATAAATTTGGCACAGTTTCTGAGACACTTGTTCCTTTTGTGTCCCTTTTGTGTTAATTTCAGTCAGATGTTGAAAAGTTGAAATAAAACATTTTCTAAAATGTTCTGTTCTCACCTCTGCAACTTATCACAATCTATTATTAACAACAATAAGATTATTTATCACAATTTCTCAGGCTGTTTGTTCTTACTTTTGCTTGTTATTCACAGTTTTTCCACTAGTGCAGAGCAGCTTGGTAACGAAAGAGCCGAAGTAAGTGTATCAGAGGATAGTCTGGTTCTGCAGGAGAGACCCAAAGGCTATCTAGCCTGGAAGCCAGTGGACGATGTCTACTTGCGTCAGCATTATCCACCACAACCCAAATCGTTCGATGAGGCTATGGAGATTCTGAGGAAGCAGGACAAATGGATGTTTTGTCGTCTCCAAAACAAATACGCCGACCGCACGATCACCATTTCGATCAATCTTGACATGGCCCTACAGAAAAAAGTAAGGGATGGTACAGTGAAGAAGTGACACATTTTTTTTCTCATGATGTCAGAGTAGAGTTCACTTCTATTCCACAGTAGTTATCAAGTCTCCACATGCCAGTCACAAGTCAATCACAAGTCACTGTTTGTAGAAAGTGACAACTTATTCCTTTGTCATTTTGTTTGGACCCAACTTGTAATTTGTCTTTTGATTGACTACAATGTTGATGACACCTCACTTTTGCTCCTTGCAGAAAAAAGTGGATCCGTTCCAGAACATGTTAATACTGCCACACGCTTTCAAGCCAGACAACAAAGTGCTCTGCTTTGCAAGGGTAAGTCTCATGCCTTCAGGAGGAGAGAGAAATATTTCAACATGGGAAGCGTGTTTTTTGCAATGGTTAAAGTTAAATGCATAAAATACACACGATGTTAAAATAGTTAGAAACTAATTCAATTAATTGTGGAGAAAAAGGCCTTAAAAAAAATTGATTGTAGTCAGCAAATTTAGATCACAGTGAATGCTGAGTGCTGAATAATCGGTGCATATAAATGTCATACATGCTAAAACACATGAAATTCAAATTTTATCTAATTAAAAAACTCTTTAACGGTTCTTCTACCCTCTCTACTCTGAACAACAACGGTCACTTTTTACGAGATGGGGGTCGCATTTATTGTATCGTCTCTCACAGGGCACAGATGCTCAAGTTGCCCAGGATGCAGGAGCAGACATTATTGGAGGCGAGGAGCTGGTACCCAAGGTTCTCTCCAAGGAGGTCAGAGACTTTGATTTCTGTGTGTCTTCTCCGGACATGATGGCCGAACTGGCATCCCTCAAGAGACAGCTAAGGAAGAGGTTTCCAAACTCAAAGAGAGGTATCAAGTCTCCCCTCCCTATACCGGTTCTGTGTTTTTATTCTTCTAAATGAACATGATCTATTCTTGTACTGACTGCATCTCTCCATTAGCTTTTTGTTAATTAAAAACAGTATTTTCTTCAGTTTAAATTAGAATGTTTGAACAATTTAAAAATATTGTGACTTAAAAACCTGATTTAAGAAAAAATATGATTTTTCTGTGCAGGATCAGTGGGTCCAGATCTAGCAAGTATGATTCACAGATACAAGAAAGGACAGGATTACAAATGCCAAGTTAGGGGTAAACATGTCAACGTATCAATCGGAAAGGTAACACAACATTTGGTTTGCTCTATATATAGTGTACCCTTTTCCTTTGTTTTCTTTCTTACAGTTCACATCAAAATTAACTCTAGAAGAGCCAACAAGTTTTCTTTACATAAAGAGCATTTTTCTGAGATGTCCATGACTTTAACATACACCTTGCAACATTTCGAAAAACCTTGTGATGTACAGTTTTCAAAAGTGTATTGATATGACAAAAACTGAATGACCTCATTATAAATGGACTTAACCTTTGACCTTTGACCAGCTGAGCCTAACCAATGAGCAGATAGAAGAGAACATGCAGTGCATCATCACAGACATCTGTAAGCACAAGCCACTAGAGTTTGGTAAGCACTGAATGCCATTTGTCATCATTGTATTCAATTTGCTTAATTTGGGTGTCAAAATATCTTAAAGGATAAAAACCCGTCTTTGATTTGAAAGTAAAACTCAAACCTGACTTTACTTAAAGGTGAGCCCCATTTCCAATTGCCAAGGTCAGTAAATTGAAGACTTATTTTCCTTTACTCCTCCCCTTGGAAAATTGCATGCTTTGAAGACTGGACTCTCATACTCGGGATATTTAATTGAATATTTCTGGACTATTTTGCAGGACCTTTTATCACCAAGTTGACCATCAATGCTTTCCTCCTGGACGGAATCCTCATCAAATTTGACAAATATCTCCCGGTTCCAGTAGACGAACTCGACAGTTTGCAGTTGAAGCCCACACAAGACAAAGCAGCACTTTGACCTTAGGATAACATTTTTATATTATTGTACTGACAAGGGAAGAATACCAAATAAACAAGGGGTAACATCGAGGTTTTACCCCGAGGTACCCCACAAAACCATGTAAAACCTTGTGAAACCTAACAAAACACTGTAAAACCTTGAGGTAACCTCACAAAACCTAAAGTCTACCTGCGGGTTTCAGAAGATTTTGTAGGATGTAGGAAGAGAGAGCCAACCCAATGTTACTTACTTACTTTACTTGTTGCCCCTTGAAAGTCCAAGTACCAAAGAGGTGTCATTGGTTTTCCTGCACAAGGAAAGATTTTGGAGCATCATTTAGGAAGGTTCCTGCCAATAAAACATGCATTAACCCTAACTATCCCCAACCCTTCAAAATCCAACTGCGTGTTTTGTTGGAGTCTGTTGGAGTGAGTACTACACTAGTACTTTACATGGGGTCAGGCATACCACTATAATCAGAGTCCAATAGTTTGGGTGTCAAGTTTACCATATGGTGTTGGATTTTGCAAGAGTGAGGAAGGTTCCTAGTAAATCACTCCAGGGGGTTAAGGTTAAAAGATGATTTTATTTATTAGTTTTCAAGCAAGGTAATACCAATACGACAAAACTCAAATCTTCCTAAAGTACCTTCCTTTACAAAACTAAATCTGTACATATTTCAAAGCAACTTTTTTGGCCGTTTGTCCAAAACATTATGTAAATAAATGACACAAAGAAACAGCAGACAGGTGTCGGTGGATTTAATCATTGTTGTACTTATTTATTTTACCTCTATTTTTAAAACAGTCATACACACAATCAGACAATTAGGTGACACACTTCATAACCAATACACAAAACACCAAACACAGATTTGTCAGTGGTGCATTATTTAATGATAAAGTTTAACAGTTCAAAGTGAAAAAGGTTCAATCTATTTGGCATTAAAATGTATATATTACATACATAGGTGAAGTGGTAAGTTCGAGTACATACACAGCAGAAAAAAGAATATAGTATTAAAAATACACATTTTAAGGTCAAAAAGAGAAACATCTCGACCCATATTTCAATAGCACATACACTCGGAGAAATTGGGCAACCCCCTGTAACACCCCCCTACGCCGCTACCCTGTAGTAATGCCATGCAATAAACAATGAGCATTCAGTTGAAGTGCATATTGAATGTAGGATACAACAAGGTTTATAATAGTAATACAATTTAAATCCCCATGCACTCACAACTATTACCATGACTTAACAAATACATGTACTTCATATTGCGTGAGAACCAAATAAGCAGAGGGAGGTGGTTACTTTAAACGAAGGCTTTCCATGATTAGACAATTTAAGAAAACACTAAATAACTTCAGTTTATATGTTGTAGTTCCTGAATTTCTGTAGGATATCATTCGCTGGTTCCCTGGTCCAACCAGCCGGAACAAAAGGCCTGGAATGACCTGACGAAAAGAAAAGATACGAGAACACAATACGTAACTGTGGGTTCTCTAAACAATGTAGTAAATTGGCACATGTATTACAGGCTCTTTTGCATGCTATTGGTTTTTCTTTAAATCATGGGGTCCACTTTTTTCCGTGTCCCTGTTACATCTGACATCCATGATTTTACAATTCTGATGCACTCCTTAATGCAGTCGTCCCTCAAGAGTGATTATGAATAGCAAACTGCCTATCCAACAAATACAAAATTGAAAGTCATTCTTAAATGATACTTGAATGGTAAATTACAGGGTACCAAGGTAACAGGGACGGGAAAAATGTGTGAAATCAGATGTTCTAAGAGACAGGCAATTTAATGGCTTACCATAATTTGAAGGTGGAGCAACTGTTCTTGAAGGTGGAGGAACATTTGTGTCGCTAAACTCAGGAGATTCAGGGACGTTCTCTGGGTCTTCTTCAAGCATTAAGTCTTTCTTCTTCTTTACTGCCCAATGCATGGACTGCCACAATAGAAAAAGTAGGGCCATTCAATAAAGATGGGTACTGTGATAAAATTAAATTGCAGACATTACATATGACTAGACCAATTGAATGTGGTGTTCAGGAGACTTAGGTTTTAAATTTAGGTTTTGCCCTTTTTCGTCAAACGAAAATTACAATCATGATAGTTCTTAATTGCGGACCCTGCTACTTCAAACCGAACAGCTGACCACAGCAAGTGTTGTGGTTAAGACATTATACTTATAATAAGCAGGAGGTCACGGTCCAAGTCCAACCAAAGCAAGCCCGTTTATTGTCCTCCCAAATTCTGGAAAGAATTGTGTATTTGGTGCTTATGAAATCAAATTGGTAAAAGGCACAACCCAATGTTAAGATCATATACTGTACATCTGATGTCAAACTTGCAGAGTTGCCAATTTGTCCAAATATCAAGTATATCAGGCTGTGAGTGTTAGTGTCCAGTCCAGAACCAACTCCCAGGAACTAACACCACATCAAAGTAGACTACAAAGTTCGTAGCTCAAGTCCAGGTTAAAAGGTTTACAATAATAAACATATCTTGACTTTCTTCTTCAACCCAATACAATCAAGATAGGTTTATTTATTTATTTATTTAGAATCTGCTTGTCCTCACTCACAGTATGCACGGCACCTTTCATTGAAATCCAGGAGTCGTAGGGGATAGTGATTCCACTGCGTCGCCAGAGGTCGTACTCCTGTCGTTTCTGGTCGTCCGTCAAGATGTCACGGGCTCGTTGAAGCTTGGCAAACCTCTGCGCTGCGTCGGGATCATCTGGGTTCTTATCTGGGTGGGCAGTACGTGCCTTTAACTTGAACTCGGTATTTATTTGCTCCGTCTGATGGTAGGGGAAAAGGAACAGGGTTTTTTAAAAACTAAACTTGAAGGTGAACATAAATCAGCTTAACACACTTTCATTTCCAAATCAAGTTCAATAGGCCTAATTGAAATCAATTGAAAAATAATTTAAGACAAGTGTAATAAATAAGAGCAACCGGTTGTTACAAAAAGGCTTTGACAAAAAAAAAACAAGGAACGAAGAAATGCCAATTCACAGGGCATACAAAATGACAATTTAAACAAATATTTATTTGGGCAGTAATTTACTATCTTTAGAATAAAACAAAGAATTCAAATATATAATCTAATAAAATATCTGTCAAATTTCATTTGTCATACATATTATTAACGGTGCAAATATAAATATCTCACCGATGACAACTCATCACATCCCAGGAGTTTGTAAAAATCATCTTCATCTCTTATCTCGCCACTCAAAATCTCATCCATCTTGCTTTTAGGCCTCTCTCGATCTCTCCTTCATAAATTTGAATTTAGGCTTCACACAATGATTGAAGAATCTAAACTAGAAATTTTGTAGAATATTCTTTGGTATAGACGCTGCATGCACTTGATCAGCATGCAATGGGATGACTTGGCAAAAAAAATTGCAGGAAGGGTCAGGGATTGACAAATTGCAGGGTGTGAACTAAGTGATAAATAAGGAAATATGGACAGGTAAAAAATGTGTGAAAATAGCTATCAACTAATCTTTAATGTCTGAGTTGTATATTAAAATTCACAGTACAAAGTTTCGATTGACCAATCAACGCATAATTTCAAGAGGAAGCCATAAGTTTTAACCAATCACAGTCACCAAATCGACATGTGCGATCGTTTGTTTTGCTTTGCAGGTCGCGCCGGCCGTATGCAGTGAATGCGACGTACGTGCAGTTAAAAAAAACGTCCCCACTGGAATAAGAACAGCGAGGATGGCGAAGGTCAAAAAAATCAGTCATTATTAAAAACTACATTTAAAGCAATTAATTTTGTTTAATATTTAGCTGCATTTAGTCGAAAGCAAAAATATTTTTTCGCTTAAATTATTATTTTATTGCTATACATGAAATAGGCAAGTTTATTTTTGTTTTTTCTTTGATTTGGCTATGTGAAACTTTTCTTGATTTCGGAAGAGGTAATAAATCGGGGTCAATTCAAGTTCAACATGGCGGACTTTTCCGAAATAAGTTCTTTGGAATCGCCGAAAAAGCGGCCCCGGCTCGACAATGATGAGCCAAATGACGTTTTTACGAGCGGAATAGACAAAGAAAACACTCATGTGCCGACAAGTCGTGAAATCAAGTCAATTCACTCGCCAGGAAGCCAGCTTTTCGAGGGAAAACATCTCCTCAACTTCGACCCCGAATCTGGCGCTGGATTCGAACACGAACTTCCGGATCCGTCGGACGCAACCCATCGCGATGACCTCGACAACGTCCCATCGCACTTCAATAATGACTATCTTCCAAAACAACACGATTCATGTAAGCGAATGGGATCTTCGTCGTCTCATAATTTTGTATTTGAAAGAAATATTTTGGTTGAACAAGACTCCTTGAATGAAGTAAGCTAGTGCAAGATTATGTCAAGAGAGGGCGCTATTACAGTTAATTCATTTTGAGACCAAGTGAGAGAATTGAACATTGTGCTCTCCCTACCTATACATTAACATGATTAAAAATGTCATGAATAATACTATTTGAGTCAGAATAGCGTTTTAAATTAAATTATGTAGGCCTAGTTAGTTAGGGCCTATTCAGGCTCGTCAGATTTTAAAATATCATAATTTCTTTAACTTGGGTTAAAATCCCAGGGGAGTGTTTGCCTTCTTTGTAAAACAAAAGCTCAAGTTGAGTTAATGCTAAATCAACACATGAGATCCAATCCAGGCCTTTTCAAATACAGTTCATTTTAAAGATGATCATTTGTTCAGCACGTTCTCTCTCTCTATTCTGGTTTTGAATGCCGCCTTTGACTTGAGTTATTGTATTTTGTTTTGTTTTTCAAGGTGAGCATGACCATTGCCTTCCCAGCCAAACGTCTTCCAGCAGCCCACCAGCCTCAGACACCAATGCCTCGACGGGTCAGGGCAGCTCAGATCGGGCAGAGAGTGACGAGGGTGAAGATGAGGACAGTAGCTCAGCCAGTGAGGAGGGCAGCATGGGATCCTTGGATGAGGAAGATTTAGATCTGGGGCTGGGAGAGTGCCAGCTAGAACAATCCATAGGTACACCAATTCACACCGGACAAAATTGCAGGATTTATACCCTTCATCTGAGAAGGCTTAATGCGGTTCCACTCAACGCAATAGGAATAATTCACATTATCGTGTGCTGATAAGTGGTAGCCTAAAAAGGGAAATTTTCAAACATTTTCAGTTGAAATCTTAAGTTATATGTACACATCTGATAATGTGGTTTATAATTATTTGTGTTTTTTGTTTGTTTACTGTGTTACCACTCAACACAAACAGCAATTGACAGGCTTCACAAACAAAGTCCTAAATCAGATTGTACGCATCTAAGTGACACAAATACAATTGAGTTTTTAATACCATTCCTTTAAAATACCTTAAATTTTTTTTGCCAATCCCTCTTCATTATGAGAAATTGAGCTTGAAGAACACACTCATAATTATTAGCCTTAGATTTAAGATCACTTTGAACACTACTGAGCTAAAGTCTTACTTCTCTGAATTCAATTGACTTGTTTCTGCAGGTCCCATGGGCTGGCTGCAGCGGCAGATGATGTCCGGAGTGCATCCCCGCTCCATCCTGTCCCGCCTCCTCCCGACCGTCTCCGCCTCCCTCCCCGAGGACCTGGACGAGTTTGAGGTCTGGTCCATCATCGCCGACTACTTCCAGATGCTGCGGGACCCGCCGCGCCGGAAGAAGCTGCCAGACTTTAATACACTCGATGACGCCCTGCATCTGTTGAGGGTGTCAAAGAGGATCATGGTGCTGACTGGAGCTGGGGTAAGAAAGAAGGCAATATGGCACTTTAGAGCTCATTAGAGATCAACCCACTGACAGTCTCTCAAGTCTTCAAACAATTACTCCATAAGAGCCTTGCGGTTTTCCCCAGTCACTATCAGCTTACCACTTGATATCTTACTACTTGACCGAGAGCTGAGATGTCCTGAGATCATTGGCAGTTCGATCTAGTAAAGCAGTACATACCTCACATACCTGATAGATTTTTGTGTATGGATGTAAACTTTCACATTTTGTACTGCCCTTCACTGATGTCACAAGGATATCAATGTTTTTGATTGTCAGGTGTCCGTGTCCTGTGGCATCCCTGATTTTCGGTCCAGAGATGGCGTCTACGCGAGACTCGCTGTTGATTTCCCTGACCTGCCGGACCCACAGGCACTCTTTGACATCCACTACTTTCGACGGAACCCAAGGCCATTCTTTAAATTTGCCAAAGTAAGAAAAGAGTAGGGGTTTTTTTGGGGGGGGGGGGGGGGGGGGGGGGGTGGGGGGGGGTGAAAATGCATGTTTTGAGAAGTACACTTTATTACAGTTTTAACAAAGGAAACAGTTTTCGACAAATTTTGTAAAAACGGTGACATCTTAACTGCGGGATATCGTTTAACATGAGGATATTTGAAGAGATACATTTTTTTCTGTCAGTTGTTATAATTGACCACTAACCCTTACCCTGCTTGAAGTATTTAATTAGGATCAGCTGTTGGAAAGTGAAGTCTGCAGAATCATAACAAGACCCAAGAACTCCATCACAAATTTTTCCTGGAGTGTTTGGGTTAATGTCTCATGCCATTGCTTCTCCCTAGGAAATCTACCCTGGCGAATTTAGGCCGTCCACCTGCCATAAGTTCATCGCTTTGCTGGAGCAGCACGGCAAGCTTCTCCGTAACTTCTCCCAGAACATTGACACCCTAGAACAGGTCGCTGGGATCACAAGGGTCCTCCAGTGCCATGGTAAGTCAGAGAAATCCTTTTGTTGATAGATCCTACTGTAGATGAAGTTCCCTTTGTCTACTCTCTAGTGTTATGGGGCTTTGGGCAAGAACTGTTGACAGCAAGCAAGGTTACTTGCAACAAGGAAGTAGTTTTGTGGACACACCATGTGGAGTGTTCCTTGCTGGCATGTTGTTTTATTATGCCAAAGGTCTAATGTGTAATGTTGTGTGGCATGATTGTTGTGGTTGACTAAGTAGAAACACGGTGATCAGAGGAATCAAATAAGGTAAGGGCTGATGGCTGACAAGAAATTGAAGATCAAAGAGCAAATATAACTTTCCATCCAGCAGTGTCTTTCTCAAAGCAAAAGGTCCGGCTAGGATTGAAATGTCAGACCCTCTAACTGTAATACAATTTGAATATTTAAAACTAATCCTGACAGTAACCAGTTAGCCTCTCTTTTATAGAAGACATTTGAAAGCTTGCCCATGCGAAGCTGGACCCAAAGTCTTAGGCTCAGTTCAAGTGAGTCAGTCAGTCAGTCAGAAGACAACAGGCTTGTCTTTCTGGGCCAGCAGAAAAACAATATTGAAAACGAGACTTGTAATTTATGCAGGCTCCTTTGCCACTGCCCACTGCACCAACTGCAACTACGAAGTGGATGCTGAGACCATCCGTCCAGACATCTTCAACCAGGTGGTCCCTCTCTGCCCTCGCTGTCCCCAAGGCGACCCGGACATCCTAGCCGTCATGAAGCCTGACATCGTCTTCTTTGGGGAGGGCTTACCCAAGGATTTCTATCACTGCTTGGATGAGGATAAGGACAAGGCTGATCTGCTCATTGTCATCGGCTCCTCGCTTAAAGTGCAGCCTGTTGCCACAATCCCTAGTAAGATCTTGAGTGTTTTAAATGCTTAAAATGTTTTTCACAATGAAAAATTCAGATCAGGTATTATGAGTTTTGGACGCCTGATGCCTTAAGTAGTCCATCTTGTTTATTCTTGACCATTTATCTTAATACAGATTTTCAGAACGTGATGCCGTTTTGCTGCATTCTTGCATTGTGATTAAAGTGTTTTACATTGTATCATTATGACTCTGATGCTAATGCATTTTTCTTTCCAATCCCTCTGCTTATAGATGCCATACCAGGTCATGTGCCCCAGATCCTCATCAACAGGGAACCCTTGAACCACATGACCTTTGACATTGAGCTGCTGGGCGATGGTGACGTAATCGTTAATGAGATTTGCCGCCGCCTCGGGGAGGGCTGGGATCAGATCTGCGATGGCAAAGAGTTGGCAGAAACGTCGGAAATGCCTGCCATGCCGGATGCAGAAGAGTCCAACTCAACAAGCGATGATTTTGAAACCGCGGTAACTCCTGAAAGGGTTGAGAAAGGGTTCGAAGGTGCTGACAGCACCAGCTGGATCAGTGGTTCTGAGAGTCAAGAAGAAACGAAGCATTCTCCGGATGATGAACAGGGAGTGTTTCAGCAAGTTGGCAACAACTCAGATAAGGCAGACATGACACACTCCATGAACTGTGATGATCCAGGGGAACTATCGGGCCCTTGTAGGATGCCCAAAAATGCAGAGCCTGCTAATGCGGGACAGACAAGGGAAGCAGTAGCAGACAGCAACACATCTACTTCAAACACAGGACCTCATGCAACATCTGCAAGTGACACAGGTGATTTGCAACAGGAAACTCAACCATCCCAACAGTGTCAAGATTCAGGTAATCAAATACACTCAGCAAGGGAGCCAGAGCCTGAACAAGACATTGACAGTCGGCCCCAAACTCCAGAAAACAATGGTGCGCAAAACTGTGACATTTCTAGCACCGTGTACGAGGATGAGTTCAGGACACAGGATGCTAATGGTGGGTTAAATGATAATGCCGCCCCCTCAGAGAGCAGTCATAGTGAAATCTGTGAGACAAATGAGGCTGTCAGTCAAGCAACCAAAGTAAGCGAGGACATCGGAAACAGCAGCAAAGCCACTGAAAGCTCCATTGGTAGTGAGACGCTTGACAATGGGAGCAACGGAGGTGATGTTGCCAGCATCTTAAAGACACAGGATGAGGCAACTCCTAGTTACACCCGACCCAAGAGAAAACGACGCAGCAGTATCGCCTTGTACCTAGAATGTAAGCTTGTTAAAGGACGTATGTTTAAAATGCAAACACATAATTGTTACAGGGTGCTCTCATTTAGTGAGTGCTGTCGGTCTATTGTGTAATGCAGAGCATTGTCACAGTGATCCAGGAATAACTGTCAACATTTTAATGTTTTTGTCTCCACAGCATCCTCCTATCTCTTTGTACCTCCCAATCGCTACATCTTCCATGGTGCTGAAGTCTTCCCTCCTTCCAGGCCAGTCAGCCCCCGCGCTGCCGACAGCAACAACCCTGACAACGACAAAGACAGAAGCCCCGAACCTCCAGAGGATCACCATGACAATGATGACATCACAGCTCATCAGATCCACCTCGTCGACCGAAACGAAATGCCGTCAACCAGCGATGCCTTAATGGACAACCTCTTACAAGAACACCCGTTGCCGCAATCGGAGAGCTCCTCAGTGGACTGTGGGACAGATGTGACACAAGACCGCAGCACTGATCACATCCTTTGCAATACTGAGCTGCCAACTTCGGAAAGTTATGAGCTGCAGCCTGGAAAGGACACAGCACACGGTCATGAAATTTCCCCGTTGTTACCGGAAAACTCGGCATTTCATGCAGGGAAAGAAGGAGCAGAGTTATCATGTTCTGAGAAAGTTGATATCAGGTGAGTTGAAGCAGAGAGCTGGGTTGTTGCATCTTAAGTCCTGTATATTATAAAAAGTAACCGAAGATTATAGTTAATCTTATACTCTTCATTTACATCAGTTACCAAAATTGACGAACAGGTATATTTTTGAAAACAGGCACAAGCAAGGTCTTTGATTTTCAAAATCAACTGTACCGATCAGGTTTAAACTATTAACTTTTTTATTTGAAATTATTTGAAAATGGAAAACATTCATGTTCACAGATTCAAATGTGAGGCTGAAGTTTATTCACGGATTCAAATGTGTTGGCTGAAGTTTATTTCTATGCACACTTTAAAGTGCAGCATACAAGCAGAGAATAAAGTACCAAGTACAAGTAGTTAACCACAGTTTTAAGCAATTCAGACTAACAGACTCTGGCCAGTGACAATTTTAGTCCTTTATTTTATTTTGACATCCAAAGTACAAGAGCTTTCTTTTGCACCTGTATAATCTTCAACTTAAAGAGCATGCTAAATTCCAGGGCATAATTTGTCCTGGAATTAAAAAAAACACATTATCCGCCTGAGACAATCCTTTACAAAATTATGTCCGCCAAATTTTCAGTATTTTTATGCCCTTTCTTCATACAATGCATATCAACTGACATGTTCGGTGTAGGTTATGTAACGTGACTTCTTAAAACGTTTTTAAAAAAATCATCTATATCCCCAATAATTTTATTAGGTGATTCATTGTGTCGTGTGTATGTACAGAAAAATATTTTTGAATTTTTAAAATTTTTACCTCCGATGTAAATAGAAATTATAAATACTTTTTATTTGTTGATGGCATTAGAGTGCAGAATGTGTTGATTGTATCAATAATAGAGTGTGAAGTAGTGGTACATTCAGAAGAAATACGTGTACATTTCTAGATATCCAAAATCCCTTAAGGTGTGTGGGCCTTTAAGGTCTTTTGATACAAAAGTAGTTTAACAATGTTTTAAAGCTACCTAAAATTATGTGTGAAAGTGTAAGATAAGTGAAGTGGTGGAGCTACTTTTCATATGTTTTCCATTGTTTCATATGTTTCCCACTGCTTCCCATTGTCCCATGTGATAAACGTCGAGTAGCATTATTGTGTGTATGCATCAAAGCTAGTGAGAACCAAATTCCACACTTGGTGAGAATTTGGCATTGCCCTCACTTGCCATGCTTGCAGTCTTGTAGTCGAGTCCATCACAAGTCCCTGCAATTCCCTGCAAGTCCCCACAAGTCCACACAAGTCCATCACATGTCCATCACAAGTCCTTCAGTCTCAAGTCAAGTCACTGACTATTGAAGTGAACTGTGACAAAAGCATTCCTTTGTCATTGTTCATCCCCTGTTACTTGTGACTGGACATGTACAAGGACTTGTGATGGACTTGACTACATCACTGCTCATTTGATGGTGAAATTTGAACTTTGACCTCAAGAAGGCCAAAGAGCGTGCTCAACTTATTAAAAAATGATCCAACCAGTGTTGAATCACAGTGCTGTGCAGACTGGTACAACACTAAAGTCTGTGTGTTATTGAAGGAAGAACATTATTTCCATATAATATTTATTTCCTAGGAGTATTTGATACGTTATACATGTGTTATTATTAGAATGAAGCTATGTATAAACCTGATTGTTTTGCATGTTGTGTACAAATGAAACCTCTTAAATTGAACAGTTGTTTTAAAACACTGATCTTGTTCTACTTCTAGGTCATAAAACCGTCAGATTATTTGTTTACAAGTTTACATTCAGAGCAATGTGTCAAGATAGTTGTATACTTAAACACTTCTGTCATAAAGTGATAACACTGATGGTAATAGTAAGACACATTTTGTGTGGCACTTTTAAAGTAGTGATAAAGACCCATTCAGTTTAATTGAACCAGAAATGATTAGCGACTTGGCCATCATTCAGTAGTAACAATTTCATATGAAGCGGTGTTATCCGGTATTATTATAAAAGTGCCATAATGCCGACATCATCCTCAGTTAATTGGTTTGACGCCAAATATTGTGTACATGTATTTCAGAAACTGTGTTATTAGCAAATTTACTGTGTACATTTGCAAATTTTTATATTTCATTGTTTTGGCCCAAAAAGATGGCAGAAAAAAATCTGTGCTCAACGTTTTTGACACATTTTTACCGTATACAAGTACAATGAAGTTAAAGCAATTTTACCGGTTTATAATTCACACTTGTAGCTCTCGTTCTTTTTTAACAGTAGAGATATTTCCTCTGATTTAAATCGAGTTGAGTGAGAATCTGTCAACCATCGATAAATACAAGCTCATTTTGTAGTTCACATCATTAACATGTGCTGAATGTTTCAAGAAACGTGCTTAGTTTATATGCTTTGTTACTGCTTGCAAAAGAGTTGTCAGAATTTCAGACAAACTATGGCATTTTCACCCAAATGGTTGATGCAATTAAGCATTTTGTTGTATTCATTTGAAAAACAAAATTAGAATTTATAGATTTACGGTTCTGTTTGTACATGTATATTTTGACCAAAAATATAGTCTGGATTTAGGTTGCATGAAAACTTTGAATCAGTTATATATTATCAAATGCATGCGAGTTACTTCTTTTGTTCCCATAAATAGTATTGAATTCGGGATATGTAGTTTAGACAACTTTTTATAGGTCACATGTTTTGAATAACTAAGGCGAAAATATGAGGCAAATGTTACTTGTTTGTTTTGGTACGTGTAGTTTATGGTTTACGGATGTTATTTTTGTGATTTCTATTAATAGAATAAATTATAATAATTTTATTTCTGTACAATAATTCGATATCTCACCAGTCATTTTCCTTAACGAAAAAACGACATCGGATGTCAGGGTGGCTTGTAATGAGTAATAATATCGTTGCCAAAGTGTGACGTTCTCCCTAGATCAGGCATACTTCCTTGACAACAGCGTAAGCTTAACACACACGATCACAGACAGCAATTATTATTTTGCAAACACTTTCCCAAATGAGTATACAGACAAAATTTACCTTAAAATGGTGAAGTGCTGTGCATGCAGCAGCCACACCAGTTAAAACCACAGTTGTACTTTTCTTTTCACTTCCCCGAGATTCAACTTAGGTTCACAATCGCCATTAGTGAAATCATTTACGATACCTAATTTACGACTTCGGCAGCGCTATAACGCGCGCGTCACTGAAAGTACATTGCGCGACGTATGACGCACGCGGCGTACGCGTAGTGCACCACTTTGCGCAGTTTTGCGTACATCGTACGCTTTCAATATTCTAAGTTTGCAGTAAATGAAGTTTTCCAAATGAAGTGAAATGCTGTTAAAATTCCCCCGTTTAACGGTAAGTTTTTTTTTATTTGTTCGTCATTTTCAATGATCGCTCTCAATAACAATACATTCTGTATCAATATCGCGCATCGCGCTCATTTTTAATTTTCGTGGAGAAAACGTAACTTTGTTACGCAATAATAACTTCATGTAGGCGTACGTACGCTGCGAAATGCGTAGTAACCGGGGCGATGTTACGTTTACTAATATTAAACAAACCAGACATAGTTTGAGTTTGCAGCTTGAGTTGTGAACACGTATTCTTGCTTACGAGCTACTCTTTCGGGAGATATTCTTGATTTTGCACTTCTACGATTTTTGGAGAAACGAATCACGATGTTTCGATTTGCTTCGGAGTTTGCTTCGGTAAAATTCCGGTGAGTTTTCCTTTCAATGCTCGTTCTTGTTTATTATGCTTCTATTTTTATAAGAGTAAGCATTTTACGGGAATCAAAACTGTCTTGGGAAAAGGGACCGGAAGTCTGTAAACCTTTTGTTTATATTTCGTAAAATATGTCTATTAATGGCACAAACCTTGTCCATCCATTAATTTTGTCAATGAGATATTTTTCTGTAATGATTCGAGAGTGGGTAAAGCTGAGATAAAAGGATGTCACATTTTTATTTACAGATCCCTTAGCGGCTACCGTTTGGTGTCGCTTCAACCGGCGGCAGCGGCCCGCCGAGACGCCATTGCGCTGTCGCCAAATTGTCCTCCGGTAAAGTTTTCCGAGGAAGTGATGCGACGACCGGAGACGGTCCATCACAAAACCGTCACTTCTCAGCAGTCTCGACCTCCAGCAGCTACCGAATGCCGAGAAAGGTAGGACATTGCAGGCCATGAAGATTATTAAAATAGGCCAGATCCATAATCTGGGGGAAAACATGATTTTTTTTCACCACGGACGAGTACTTACATTCATTCATTGTATGTTCTTTTGAAGGTCTGGGCGAGATAACAAATCTGACGACTCTGGGTACGAGAAGAGCGACTTATCCCCGCAACACAGCCCCTCAACTTCTCAGCAGAGACCAAATCAAGATCCTCCATTGACAGCATCTAACGGAGGTAGCACCTCCCAAAGTGTTGCTGAGAAGACTGGAGATGGAGACTCAGACAACGATTGCCCGGCTCGTGTGTCAACCAAAGTGTCATCCAAGACCACCTCAGAAGGAACCTCATCACCCCTGATCTCAATCACGGCACCTCAAGATGATATCGAGATGGGTGGAGACCAGGTGGGCGAATTGGAGACAAACGATCCGGACAATACCCGACCTCAGATCTCACCTCATTCCCTTGGTTCGCCCAGTTCACTGCCTCGCATTGATAAGAGCGATCTCAACCCCGTCATGACCCTGAAGGGAAATTCCTACTCCGCGGTCAAGCTGGGCAAGGGTGAATTTGGAGAGGTTTCCCTGATGCAGAGCCGTTCAGACGGCACCTTGATGGCAGTCAAGCGGCTGACCAAACTCCGGAACCCATGCAGGGCCGAGGATGCCTTCACCAGGGAGACGCAGGCGATGGACGCCGTCTCCTCCAGCAAGGCTTTCCCCAAGTTCCTTGGAACCGTGGATCGCTACTCCTTCGCAATGGAGTCCATCGGCAACCTGGATAAGCGGACCTCCTGGAGCGCCTACCAAATGTTCAAAAAGCGTTCTAACCAAATGAAGTCACTGGATTGGCTGAAAGTGGCGTCTGACGTCACTAAGGGCCTAATGGATATGCATGAGGCAGGCTGGACCCACAACGATTTGCATTCCGACAACGTCATGGTGTGCCGCGATCCCGAGAACCAATCAACGGGCTGGGAGGGAAAGATCATCGATCTAGGGTACGCCTACCGCATCGACAACCCTCCTCCTCCCCAACAACTGACTGCCAAACAGAAAAAGAAACACTTCAAAGACTGTGCGCAGTTAGCACCTGAGATAATAGAAGGCACCAGTTGCTACAACGTCCAATCAGATGTCTACAGTTTAGGGGTACTGTTTCAAGACATCGCGGCAGAAAGTCGCCGACTGTCTTGCCTCAAAGCTCTTGGGAAACGCTGCGCTAACAAGACCCCGCATATGAGACCGGCCTTAGATGAAGTGTTGCAAGAACTCTCGTTGATGCACTACGAACGCCTGACCCAACCCCGGAAAAACGGACCACTGGCCAATCTGTTCCGGTCTCTGAAGAATCGTATCCGGGCCTAATCCCAAACTGGATGACGGAACATGATGAGAGCATGCAATTTCCAAAATTGCGGGATAATTTAAAAATGATGAATGGATTGCTAAGATTCAGACCCAGCACAGTAATGATCCTAATTACATCAAAGAACTTCTGAGACGCAACTTCCCATGGCTAATTCGTTGGTTAAACAAAATATATTGATGTGAGCATTGAATATCTTTTCAGGAAACTTGGCCACGAAAAACTGGGAAGGCGTCTTTACTTTAGCTCTAAGTCGGGTTCAGGGTCGTAAGAAATTTGGCATGAGTTAGAGAAAGTGCAGGGCCGACATTCTCTAAATTAAGCCCGTTTTTTTGAAGAAAAAAAGGAGTAACAACTAAAAACTGAAACAAACAAAAATCTCTTTATATTGTAAAATACACATTATTTTGTAAATGGTCGCTATTTCCTAACTTGAGCTTTATTTTCAACGCCGTTTTCACCATATACCACCAAAATATTGTAGTTTAGGGCTTATAACAGGAATATCTTAAATCAAATTCAAAGTATAGATGTAATTTTAACTCCTATGATTTAGCCTTATAGGCCTATCCCGACTTAAAGTTTTATATGAACAACTGCAAATTAATTTTTATAACCTGACAAGTGACATTAAAAAAAAACATGTTGCCATCAAGAATACTAAAATTAAAATAGAGGAAAAAATGAGGAAAAATATATCAATTGTAAAACTGTGATTTTAACAAATAAATGATAAGATAATTTTTTTTAGGGAAATGAATTATGAGTAATAAATTTTTTATAAGCATTTATATTTTTCATAATAAATAATTTAAAAAAATTCGATTCGAAAATAATTTGTTTGCATTGCAACTGTTGGATTCTTTCTTTTTATAAATCGTCATTTAACTTTGATATAAATCAACTCCCCCGGCCCCCCCCCCCCCCAAAAAAATAATAGCACTGATATTGAAAAGTTTTTAATTCCCATGCAAAGTTGCAGACGTCAACGAATCCCTTTTTTTTCTAATTTTTCCCTTCAAATCTCAAGTGACCTAACAATTAGAGGCCGTGCAGTAAAATAATACCAAAATGTGAATTTATACAATTCACTGAGAAGTGGGGTGCTCAAACCGTGCGACTGTCTTGTGACGAAATATGCCGATACATTTACAATGAATGGATCAAGAAGCTAGGGCTATACCGCATGTTTTATGGTAACGTGTACAAGCGCCAACAACGCGTACGACAATCACTTTACATGTATTTCAGTTCATTTGTCATTTAAAAAGAAAGTTTTTTGGAGTTTAGTTACTCCATCTAGGCTGACTGTGGATTTAACAGTCAAGAAAAGACGCCCTACACACGATGGGAAATTTCCAATGGATAACTAATGGACGTCACACTCTATAGAAGCTGAAAAGAAAAAAAATAAGCCTTATTATCATCCTGAAATTAGATGTTAATTGCAAAGTAAACCAGACGATTCCTTAAAAGGCCAACACGAAGAAAAAAACTAACTCGGAAAGTTAAAGTGCAGAATACCGCAAGCGGACGGTATGGCATTCGGCATTATTGCTCAACGGTTCGTAAACCAAAACTTTTTTGTAACATTATTATGCTCTTGACAAAGTGGTCTAGGGAGAAAAGAATATCCAAAATTCGTATGAGTAGCGAGAAATACTTACATAATATCTCCTTCAAAACTATCATCAGCTAGAGGGCCGGAAGGCCAGTTTTTCTTTAAAATACTTGACGATAAAATCTCGCAGACGTCCGATGTGCACAACATCTCTGCAAACTTACTGTATAAATGGCGCCCTCTCCTGTTTATTTAAATTCAACATGGCAGACTCCAGCAAGGAACACGATTCTGCTTCGCCTTCGGGCAGACGAATTTTAGATAAAATTTGCTTCTCGTGTTTACCAGTTGTAGGGGCTGCAAGCCACACATTATTTGCCATGCATATACTGGATAGGAACCTTCTGCCGGGGTAAGAAGCAAACGGTTTTAGGCCATAAGTCGTAACGATTACAGACGTCCATCCTGGCTTGCGCGCGCTTGTTCTGTGAATCATAAAATTCTCGGTTAGGAATAGGACAAATTTGAACTGAACAGTCCACGCCCCCAAAGTTAACCCCATAATCACTGAACATGCTGAACCAGTGACAACTTGACAAGGGAATGAATGCCTCCGCCTATGTTGCCTTTCATCATTTTTAAATACTTACTAGCTTGAGTAACTCCAGCTGACATGTTCCATATTCATTCACATGTTACATGTGAATGAATATGGAACATGTCAGCTGGATACTGGAGTTACTCAAGCTAAATACTTACTAGCGTAAAATTTGACTAGGCCTTGATGACTAAAAAAAATGACTTTTTTTCTGGACATCTAACACAATATGTAAGGGAGTGGGAGAGAGAATTCACCCCCCCCCCCTCACCACCACCCCCAAAGTGAGGAGGTAAATTTACCTTTAATCCCTAACATGCCTAGAATTGTGCATTATTTGTGTGCCCTTTTGATTTACAGATTGTTCCCAAAGTGTCACTTGGGCGTGGCCAACAGCCTCCTCTTCAACTCCCACCTCGGGATCGGTCTCTACGTCTTCAACCGCCCCTGCCTCCGCACCGCCTCCATGCAGCAACGCGTCCTCTGGAGTGTCTACAGCTCGGCCATGTTCAACTTCGGCTCTGTCTTGCTGTTTGCGACAGGAAAACAGTTATTGGCCGAAGATAAACTGGTTGGAACGCTCTATGCCATGTCAGCGAGCCTGTGCTTCTTAGTCGTCGGAAAACAGTTCTTTGATTTCTTGGACTCGCGTTACTTATGAGAGAATTGCCTTTTGATTCATGGATTTGTAATTTAGTCAAAGAAGTTAAAATCTGACTTGGAAATTGTTATAACCCTACATCCAGGAGGGGAAAAGTACTGCATGATTAAATTTTCTTATCAACTGCAGCTGTATGTTTCTTTATAAGCTGCCTAACAGAAATATTTTAGAATAGGTGCATTACGCGCCATGTACAAACACTGGCACCAGTACTACTATCATATCTTGCCTTTCATAAGGACTTCCAGCACTGGCAATATTCTTTGGCATGAATTGCCTTTTCTTCACTCTAGTTCATAGTGCAAGATAAAAGAAATGTCTGTATTTACAAGGTGGACGGAACTTCGATCATTTTGACAAAAATTGTAATGACCTTTTGCATTTTGATGAGGGAGAAATTTTGCATAAATTTGAAGAATTTGACCATCAAAAGGACACACAATTAGTTTTAAAATGTGCAGCATTTTACAAGGCACATTAATGTAAATATATTTTGGGAAGTATTGGTAACTCTACTTCACTGGATTGTATTTAATAATGTTCTTGTGAATTGAAATCGCAGGCTTCTTTAATGTTGATTTGTTTAACCTCAAACAACGATGGGAGATAAATTTATTACATAAAAGTTGTTGATTTTGACGTTTTGTAAAAATAGCTTATTGGTGTAATTCACTTTGTTCTCACAGATCACCCCCCCCCCCTGGCTCCCCCCCCCCCCTTCCCCCCCCCCTTCCCCCCCCCCCCCCCTTCCCCCATGACCCCCTCAAAATTAGAAAACTGTTTATTGATTGCATTTTTTGCAACACATTATTGAGTGTTCCTTACACAGGGGTGTGAAATCTCAGCTTAAAAGCTGATTTCAGCTATTTGTTAGTTTTGGATTCAGCTTTTTTCAGCTTTTTCCCCCTCACTTGCTGTGTACAAATGTATAGGACATTTCCAAAGTTCAGCTTTTTTACACCTTTTTCAGATGTTTTCAGCTATTTTTATCAGTGGTCACTCACATCCCTGCTTACAGGGCCCTCTAGAAAACTTTGCCCCTTGACTGACCCCCAACCCTCCTTAAATTAGATCCGATTCACTGCCCAAATGTTTTTGACCTCATAAAATACCCACCACCTCTACCCCCACCCTATTATACATCATATTATACATCCTACCTCATCCTTTAAACCCTCTCCCAACCCCTCCCCCCGGCCCCCCCCCCCCCCAAAAAAAACCCATAAATAATTAATAGTGGACCTGGGTTTAGTTTCATCAGCATTGAGTAAAACAAACCCTACTTAAGAATAATAGATTTTGGATGTATTTTTTTCTTTTAAATTCAAACTTATTTACCCAATGGTCGGTCCGACGGGCACGCCCCTTTAAATCAACTCCGGTCGATCCATTCAAAAGAGGGCGCCCTAAGCTTTCCGCGGCACGCTTTCGTCGTACGTCATACACGTAGCTGAACGCTGATTGGTCCGTTGGCATTCCTCGGCGGTTCCGATTTGCTACTTCGAACTTCGCGGTCACACAAATGAATGACATCGGCGCAGCGCGGAGGTTTAAATGGTCTTGAGGTGAGTGGAGAGCCACATTTTTCGGTCATTTTTGAGGGAATTTTTTAATAAGAATTCGGCAGATTTTTGCATGTTTAGCTTTTTGAAAGTATACGTAGAATCCTCCTTTATCTGGTAGTGTAGTTTATGGCACAGAGTTACGATAATTACACTGAAAAATAGGTGTTTATATGCAGGGGATATCGACCATTGTCGTCCATTTGATGCCCACAATGAATTTGATTTTGGGGGTCTTTGTTTCTTGATTCTTCTACGAACAGTCCGGCGCGGTTCTAACTTCCAGAGCCAATATTTTGTTTGAGGGGGGGGGGGAAGCAGGCCAGGTGGATCCAGAAATTTGTTCAGGGAGGCGTGCTTAAAATGTGAAATGTAGACCGGTTATATTTTCTCAGGAACGCATGTCAGGACACTCGGCATGCTTAGGCCTCAGAAAATCAATAGGGGGGGGGGGGGGGGGCTCGTGCCATATTTTCAAAGGGGAGGCGCTGATCCTACAATCAGGCACACTATATTAACGCAAAATGTACAAACGTGACAATTGACGAACATGACAAATGCACCCGGCCTTCTCACAACTATTTATTTAGGCCATTAGGGGGAGACCATTCGCATGCCTATGACATGTCACATTCTTACATTTTGCTAGTGCAATTTTTTTTTTTTATGGAATTTTTTGGGGGGGCTAGACAAATCTTTTTTTTTGGGGGGGGGGGGGGCGGCTAAAGGCCCCTCTAGCCCCCCGATACGTAGAACCGCCACTCCGAACAGTGCAATAAATTATCATCAATCCACGTGCATAGCTTGAGTAACTCCAGCTGACATGCTCATATTCATTCACATGTAACATGTGAATGAATATGAGCATGTCAGCTGGAGTTACTCAAGCTACCACGTGCACAGCATTTTGCAGTCCTTTGATGATTATCGTCAATGATCATGATGATGTAGGCCTTATAAGTTATATAATCAATATCATTGTCCCATTTGAATATCATGACAATTTTAATTTTTATTACAAACACCTATTTTAGTATTTGTTACTGTCATGATGATGATGACTGCTTTAAGCCGAGTAACAAATTAAATAGTTTTTCATCAGGGCTTCTTGAAAGAATGAAGCTGAAAGAGGCAGATGTTCCCCCCCTCTCTCCCCCCCCCCCCCCCCCCCCCCAAGAAGGCAGATTTTCAATTAGGCCCCTATTACGGATTGATAATTTGATTCTTCAGAAAGATTCCCATATCTGGCCATCTCTTATTTTTCCCTTCAGTGACCTATCAGCCATCATAAAGTGAGAATAGGCCTATGTCCAAAAAAGTGAAATTTAGCAGGAAAAAATGTTAGAGTATTTATGTAGAAAACACTTGCATTTTGTTAGTTTAATAACCTTTTTATTTCAATTTTTATTCCTATTTGAACAGTGTAATATAGCCTGTACAGTCTACATCGTGTACATACTTGTATAAACCAAAGAATTCCACAATGGAGAAGCAACTAACGATGGAAGACTACTCGAAAATTGAGAAGATTGGAGAAGGTAGGAATTTTAAGTCAAACAAACTAAACCTTCTCAAACACCATTTTTCAATTTAACTTTAAATTTGCAAATGGTCTGTTGAAATACTTTTGGCCTAGCTACGAGCCCACTGTCTAGTGGACTTGTTTTTGCATGAATTTGTGTGGATTTCTGAGGAGTCTGGAAGTAGCAAAAATGACAAAAACATTCAGGTGCAATTATACCTATTTCTTGCCTGTTCAGATTGTGTTTTGATTCCTCTTTCATTAAACATTCTATGAAACTTGTTTACATTCAAACACTGTGGTTCCTGCAGGTACCTATGGAGTGGTGTACAAGGGTCGTTGTAAGAAGGACGGCAGTATTGTGGCCCTGAAGAAAATCCGGCTGGAGAGTGAGGAGGAAGGAGTTCCCAGCACCGCTATCCGTGAGATCTCACTGCTTAAGGAGCTGCAGCATCCCAATGTTGTCAAGTGAGTTGAACAAGATTCTGTTACCGGTACTCTATTTATTTGTATGATGATTTCCTGATAATTATATGAGTTGATAGTTCGGGAGGAGAAGTCAGACCTAAATCAAAGCAGTTCAAAATGATTTTGATAAATTTGGGACCGTCGGACTGTAAAAATATTAAAATACTGCATTTGAAGAATGAAGGAGTCCATGGTCCCTTTGAAAGGATCTCATGCAAATCAGGAGCCAAGTTTAGTGTAAAATTAAAGTATTGTCATCACACTTTATAATGACCTGCAATAATACATGTAGATGGAGTAATTCAACATGATTTAGTTGCCGACCCTGTCTTGACTTTGGAGCTCCGACTTTAAATCACCTCATTTTTGTTTCCATTCCATGATCAGCTTGAGCAATGTCCTGATGCAAGAGAGCAGATTGTACTTGGTCTTTGAGTTCCTGACCATGGACCTCAAGAAGTACATGGAGACCCTACGAGGCACTACCATGGACCCAGCTCTTGTCAAGGTCAGGAAAAATTCCTCGAACCCATCAATAAAATGGCCCTCCGTAACATTTTTTTTTTTGGTCTGCTATAAAACTAGTCAGTAGGAACTCTATTTGTGTTACTGTGGAAGGAAGCCAATAATGTTCAAGGGCCATCTAGCTCTTTGTAGTGTCTGGTTGTTTTTTGTTAGTTTTGTTTTTAAGGAGTAATCTGTAAAAAAAAAAATGCAGATTTTGCTAAGCAAATTGCTAAGCATTGCAGAAGTCGGAGTTTACTCCATATTCATTGTCATTTACTTTTGCCACACAGAGCTATCTCCATCAGATAGTCCAGGGCATCCTGTTCTGCCATTGCCGTCGGGTCCTACACCGCGACTTGAAGCCCCAGAACCTGCTCATCGACGAGAAGGGCATCATCAAGCTGGCCGACTTTGGCCTTGCGAGGGCGTTTGGTATTCCTGTCCGAGTCTACACACACGAGGTGAGATTTTTATTCTTCATGCAATCAATTCAGACAGTGCACAAAATAGACACTTAAATATCAGGATGTATTCCAGTGAAATGTCAAGAGGCCAAGGTGAAATTAGACACCATCCAAAAAAAACCCACCCCAATAAACAAAAATGGAACTGCCATACTCACAGTTCTTGTGACCAAGTTTGACCAAGCTACCGTGATCACCCTACCAATGCCATACCCTACAATAGCTTTAACAGTCCTGAATCCTCCAATTTCAATACGATTTTGCACACCCCCTAGGGAGTTAGGGTTAATTTAATAAAAGGCATTATTTTATTTAAGAACCTGAAAATCCCAACTATTACAGCTTTCCCCCTATACCTTATTCTGTGCAGGTGGTTACCTTATGGTACAGGGCCCCAGAGGTCCTCCTTGGCTCACCAAGGTACTCCACACCGGTCGACGTCTGGAGCATAGGCTGCATCTTTGCCGAGATGGTCACTAAGAGACCACTGTTCCACGGCGACTCGGAGATTGATCAACTCTTCAGAATATTCAGGTAAAGGCAGGCACAATTATTTCCCCAATTTAGGACACAAGTATTGAGTAAGCAGTAACAATGTAGGAACTGTTCGTGGAAGCATAGGTGTTGTTGAATGTTGGTTCAATTTTTATGAGCAGATGTCGGTAGCGTAGTCAAGTCTATCACAAGTCATCCAGTCCCAGGTCAAGTCACAAGCGTAACAAATAACCTGTGACGAAAGCATTCTTTATTATTGTTGATCCCGTTTCCTGTGACTGGAATTGTACAAGAATTTGTGATGGACTCGACTACGACACAAGGTTGTGTCTGTGGCTGTTAGCATCGGGTGCATGCTGATGCCATTTCCCTGTTACTGTGTAACGCGCCATCTTTTTTTTCTCCAATATTTTATTTCTACCCAGAACCCTGGGCACACCCACGGACAAGACATGGCCCGGCGTGACAGAGCTCCCAGATCATAAGTCAACATTCCCCAAATGGACGACCAACAATCTCGCCAAGTCTGTCAAGACGCTGGACCCTGAGGGAATGGACCTCCTACAGGTAGGACTTTAGGATTAAAGTTCAACCCAATCTTGAAGAATTGAACCCAGTATTAATATACACTTCACAGAAGATTCGACATCTGAGGTTTTGTGCTTTTACCAAACACCCCATCACTTACACCGTCAGGTTAAATCAATGATGGATGGATCTTGGTTTCATTTGACCTGGATACTGCTTTAACTGTACCCACGGCAGAAGTGTGAAAATGTCTTTTGCAACTTAATGGAAGATGCTGCCGTCTCGTCCATTTCTTAATGAGTTTTAAACACAAAAGTTGCATACTCAAAACTTCTTCGGACATCTTACACCGTTTCTGGTTTCTTTTTTTCGTATTTTAACCATGCCACAAGTGCCAGTATGCAGTGTCAAGAAGTATGAAAAAAAATGTAATTGTTTACACCTCATTCTAATTGTTTTTTCGTCACAGAAAATGCTGATCTACGACCCAGCCAAGCGAATTTCATGCAAGGCCGCACTGTCGCACCCCTACCTCAAAGACTTCGAAGGGGGCACAGTCTTGCCCACAAGACTAGGTCAGTAGACAACCAAGGGACCTACTTTCGCGTGTACATACCGACAGCAAAGTTGTATCATTTGTACAGATTTCAACCTGAGCGGAATATCATGACCGTTTTAGTACATTGGTGTTGTAAATGATTGATTGTTGGTGAATTCCGACTCGTCCAATCTTGATATCCATTTTTCGGAGAATTCAAAGTTCTTGTAAATCGTAAACTACAGTGCTGCAAGTTTCAGAGGTTTTGAATGCTCGAGATAAACCTGCTGTTGTGCAAGGATTGTGGCGATAAATTTACTTCATGGGGAAATTATCATTTTGTATGTAATATGACTCGAAATAACTTAATCATTTTATAAATGTGGCTGTTAATTGATTCACGTATTCTTTACCATGATGGAAATTGTTTAGAGCTTTGTATCTTGGAATTGTTTAATTAGTTCATATTGTTTTCCCTCTGTAAACATTAATTTAAAAGACACTTGAAGTGTTTTCTTGGTTTTGTGAGTAGCATAGGTTCTGTTTATATTTATACATGTACTTCAGTAGTGTAAAACCGATCTTTTGAAACATAGAGTCAATTTCAGTGTACGTATGGTGCAATTAGAATTGTGAACTTCAGAACCTCTATCATAAAAAGGGTTGTTTTGTAAATACAACTGGCCAACATCACAGGCCAAGCATCCACCGAGTTTTGAACTTGTGTACATACTCATTCAGCAACCTGTTGACAAAAAAGTTCATTTCAGAATTTGAAATTCTGAACATAACACAACGTAAAATGTAACGAGATGTTTAGAACATTGTAAAAACTGCGGAACAGTAATAAAACAAGAACATGAATTGTGCAAAATTAGGAACTCTGTCAGCCTTAGTTTCATATTTAAAGGTGGTTTTTTTTTAGGGGGGGGGGGGGTTAACAAACTTGGTACTGCCAACTCTAAACTTTCAAAACGGTGAGGAAAAAATCTTACTTTTTGGTATAAACTGAATATGAAGCAATCGAAACCAAGTTCAAAGACAAAAATAACAAAACACAGGTTAACCCAAACACTCAGCAGTTTTTTTAATGCAAATCATGATGGTACACGTACATTCCATGAAAATAAGTGGCGTGTACAAATTTAGAAAACCCCAAATGCGGGGTTTTTTTGGTGAATTTTCTGAATGACTAAATATTAGTGGAGGGGATAAAAGAATGAATGAAAAGACAAACTCCGTGTTTTAAACAGATTTATAGCGTGCTAGTCCTGAATTATGGACCTTACAAATAATACACCAGCAAAACAATTTAACTTGTAAAAGAAAATTGTCATTTCTTGTAAAACTGAATTTTCCCCCTTCCAAACTTTAAAATACATGTATCTTGGACGGAAAGTGATGTATAACACATTTAGCCATTACCAGACAAACTCAGCTACATGTACTTTGGGGAAAAAAATCACTAAAAATGCCAACAGCAAAGCAACAACAAAAATGCAGTGTGCTTAGCAACATTCAGAGTTTTATTCAGTTTGCTTCAGTTTCAACCACACAAGAGCCCTTTTAAAAAAGGGAAACAATCCTCAATGACACTTGAACTTTCAAATTCTGTAACATTAACTCAATGTGAAGTTATAATGAAATTTGTCAAATCAAAGACGTGGGTTTTTTTCAGTTGATATTTTCCTATCATTACAAAGTTATTCCCTTTTGAATGAGACGGTGAAAAAAAAATATCACTGACATATAATTATTGAACTGTTGCTTCACAAAATTTGAATAATTGGCTGCCAGACCATAATTCAGCACTCGAAGGGCGGGTTATTTGTGCACAGATCGAAAGCCCGTTTTCAGAGGGTTGCAGATGCCCAAAACTGGAATAAAGTTGTTGTTGTTTTTTTAAACAAAAAAAGTTCCATTTTGTGCAAAAATGCATGGAGTATGCATCCTTAAAAACAAAATTCTCAAAAACTTAAATAGATATTGAAAACTCTTAATATATTTCCACCAGTTTCCAGACATCACTTTTCATTAACATGAACATGTTCCTGTATGCAGTTAAAAACAGACTCGTCAAAAATGCACCAAGTTTGGACAAATCAAAAATTTATATTTTCATAATCCATTGCTCATTCAAATGGTTCGACTTTTGCAGGCAAATTTGAACAAGTACACCTCCATCTGAAATTGTACACCCCATTGAAGGTCAAGACATTCTTGGAGTTAAAGATACTGTCGCTACCTCAACAAACGCTGCCTGACCAAACAGCATGAAAAGCAACAAAAGACAGACCTCCCCAATGACAAAAAGAACATGGGAAACTAATACAGAAAAATCAGGTAAAGAAATTTGAGAGAAACAACATTCCGAGGAGAAACAAAAACAGTATCGTGAGCATTTTCGAAAGAACCCAGTCATCATTCAAAGGCATCATACAACAGCAAGGATACATTAAGACAGTTGGAACATCTTATGCCAGAAAAGATTGGATGGTCAGGTGGGTGGCGGTTCTTGACTCACCAGTTGTGAGTTGAAATTTATCAAGATGACACCAGATCCATATGTGACAATAACTGGAATGAGACTGATGCAGGGATCGTATGCCACCATCTCCGGTTCTCTGTGACCCAAAAGGCCAAGTCTGGAGCCTACTTTGGACAAGGAAGTGGCCATGTCCATATGAAAGGTATGACATGTGAGAGCTCTGGTCATTAGCAGGTGACAGTAAGGTGTTTGACTGTCTGTCCTTTGACACCAGAGGTACCATATGTGACAATAACTGGAATGAGACTGATGCAGGGATCGTATGCCACCATCTCGGGTTCTCTGTGACCCAAAACGTCAAGTCTGGAGCCTACTTTGGACAAGGAAGTGGCCATGTCCATATGGAAGGTATGGCATGTGAGAGCTCTGGTCATTAGCATGTGACAGTAAGGTATTTGACAGTCTGTCCTTGACACCTGAGGTACTATATGTGACAACAACTGGAATGCCACCGATGCAGGGGCAGTATGCCACCAACTCGGGTTCACAGTCGCTCAAAAGGACGAGTCTGTTGCCCACTTCGCTCAAGATAGTGGCTCCATTTTACTTGAACGGTGTAGCATGTGAAAGGTCCGAACAGAAGGTAACTGACTGTTTGTCCTCCCACTGGGAAGAAACAATTTCCCAATTAAACATTCTTTCCACAGGAGCACATCGCCTAGGTAATCAGTCGTCATTCAAAGGTATCTTACAATAAGGATATTTTCAGTTCAACCAGAGGTACCTTTATATGCGACAATGACTGGAATGCCACGGATGCAGGGATCGTATGCCACCATCTCGGGTTCTCTGTGGCCCAAAAGGTCAAGTCTGGTGTCTACTTAGGACAAGGAAGTGGCCATGTCCACATGGAAGGTATGACATGTGAGAGCTCTGGTCATTAACACGTGACAGTAAGGTGTTTGACCGTCTGTCCTCTGACACCTGAGGTACTAAATGTGACAACAACTGGAATGCCACCGATGCAGGGGCAGTTTGCCACCAACTCGGCTTCATAGTCACTCAAAAGGCCGAGTCTGTTGGTCAAGGTAGTGGCCCCGTTCACTTAGACGGTGTAGCATGTGAGAGGTCCGAGCACAAGGTGATTGACTGTTTGTCCTTACACTGGGAGGAGAAAGAACACATTGCCAAGGTAATCAGAGTATCAGTCGTCATTCAAAGACATCTTGCAACAGCAAGGATACTTTCAGTTCCATAAATTGGACATCACAGATGCAAGAAAAGAGAGGATGTTCAGTTGATTGGTCATTCTAATCTCACCAGTGGCTGCGTTGAGATTTACCAAGGTGACACATGAGGTACTATCCACACACATTGGTATGGCAGAGATGCGAGGGTGGTATACCACTGTCTCACATTCTCTTGGGCCCAAAAGATGCCACTGATTTGAAATTTCTGGGCCCGAGAGGGCAGGTCCGATGTCTACTTTGGACAAGAAAGAATTCCCATTCACACTGAGGGTTTGGCATATGAACGCTCACAGAGAAAAATAACGAACTGTCCATCCTACTGTTGGGAGGAGAAAGTACAGCTTCAACCACAGACACAGGTGTAACATGCCACCTACTTGAGTTCTCGGAGGCCCAAGAGGGCAAGTCTGGTGACTACTTTGGACAAGGAAGTGGTCCAATTCACATGGAAGGTGTGGCATACTTATAAGGCTCAGAGAACAAGGTCATCAAATGTCCTTCCTTTTGCTGGGAGGAAACAATACAGCAAACATCACAGACACAAGCGTATTATGCCACTGATTTGAAATAAATTTCTGGGCCCAAGATGGGGCAGGTCCAGTGCCTACTTTGAACAGGTGGTCACGCTAAAGTGGAAGGTTTGGCATACTAAGGCTCAGAGAACAAGGTCACCAAATGTCCTTCCTTTTACTGGGAGGAAACAATACAGCAAACATCACAGACACAAGTGTAATATGCCACTAATTTCAAATTCTCTAGGGCCCAAGAGGGCAGGTCCGATGCCTACTTTGGACAAGAAAGAATTTCAATTCACACTGAGGGTTTGGCATATGAACACTCACAGAGAAAGATAACTGACTGTCCATCCTATTGTTGGGAGGAGAAAGTACAGCCACAATCACAGACGCAGGTGCGCCACCTACTTGATTTCTCGGAGGCCCAATTAAGAGGGCAGGTCTGGTGACTTCTTTGGACTAGGAAGCGGTCCAATTCACATGGAAGGTTTGGCATATGAACACTCACAGTGAAAGATAACCGACTGTCCATCCTACTGTTGGGAGGAGAAAGTACAGCCACAATCACAGACGCAGGTGCGCCACCTACTTGATTTCTCGGAGGCCCAATTAAGAGGGCAGGTCTGGTGACTTCTTTTGACAAGGAAGCGGTCCAATTCACATGGAAGGTGTGGAATATGAACGCTCACAGAGAAAGATAACGGACTGTCCATCCTATTGCTGGGAGGAGAAAATGCAGCCACAACCACAGACACAGGAGTAACATGCCACCTAGAGTTCTCTGAGGACCAAGAGGGCAGGTCTGGTGACTTCTTTGGACAAGGAAGCGGGCCAATTCACATGGAAGGTTTGGCATATGAAAGCTCACAGTGAAAGATAACCGACTGTCCATCCTATTGCTGGGAGGAGAAAATGCAGCCACAACCACAGACACAGGTGTGACATGCCACCTACTTGCGTTTTCGGAGGCCCAAGAGGGCAGGTCTGGTGACTTCTTTGGACAAGGAAGTGGTCCAATTCACATGGAAGGTTTGGCATATGAGCACTCACAGAGAAAGATAACGGACTGTCCATCCTACTGTTGGGAAGAGAAAATGCAGCCACAACCACAGACACAGGAGTAACATGCCACTTACTTGCGTTTTCGGAGGCCCAAGAATTCCAATTCACCAAAGGGTTTAGCATATGAGCACTCACAGAGAAAGATAACGGACTGTCCATCCTATTGCTGGGAGGAGAAAGTACAGCCACAATCACAGACACAGGTGTAACATGCCACCTACTTGAGGACCAAGAGGGCAGGTCCGGTGACAATTTTGGACAAGTGGTCCAATTCACAATGAATGTTTGTCATATGAACACTCACAGAGAAAGATAACCGACTGTCCATCCTATTGTTGGGAGGAGAAAGTACAGCCACAATCACAGACGCAAGTGTAATACTTGCACTTAAAAGGTTACTTACTGCCTTTCCTTCTGCTGGGGAGAACCAATATAGCCACAATCATAGACACTGGTGTAATACCCCACTTATTTTAATTCTCTGGAGCACAAGAGGCCAAGTCCGATACCTACTTTGGACAAAGACGTGATCCCATTCACATGCAAGGTTTGGCATTTGACGGCTCAGCAAGATAGATTTCAGAATATATCCTCCCTACGTCAAATATCAATTGGGACAAGGAAGTGCTCCCATGCACATGAAAGGTTTGGCACATGAAGGCTCACTCAGAAAGGTTACGGACTGTCCTTTGTTCTGATTGGAGGAAACAATTCTAAAAACATCACAAAGGCAAGTGTTATACAATGTATATGCCACTGATACAAGATTCTCTTTCCAGAGGAAAAGACGGCAGTCTTTTGGACAAGAACGTGGTCCAGTTCACATGGAAGGATTGGCATATGAAGGATTAGAGAAAAAGATTTGTGACTGTTTGTCATTTTGTTAAGAGGACACAATATTCCAAATATCACAGATGCAACTGTAACATGCCACTGATATGAAATTCTCTGGGTCTCAAGAGCAAGGGGGGCCTAATCTGGACAAGGGAGTGGCCCATTCACATAAAAGGCTTAACATATGAAGGCTTAGAGAACAAGGTTACTGACTCTCCATCCTGAGGGAAGGGGAGGATACAGAGAACATCACAGACACAGGTGTAAAATGCCACCAACTTTTAGTCCCCTGGGGTTCAAGACGGCAAGTCCGGTGCCTACTTTGAACATGGAAGGTTAGGCATGCGATGGCACGGAGAGTAAGATCAACGAATGTCCATCCTTTTGTTGCAAGGAAACGATGCAGTGAACATCACTTTACACGAACGTCACTTTACAATACTCCAACCATCACAGACGTCAGCTGTATGCCACCAAGAAAATTATCTGGTGCCCAAGACGGCAGGTTCGGAGCCTACTTTGGACATGGAAGTGGTCCCGTTGGCTTGTCATATGAAAACGAGGAGAGATAGGTTGCAGATTGTCAATATATATGATGGAAGAGAAAAAACAGCAACTTTCACAGATAATGTAATATGCCACCTCCCTTGGGCTTAAGAGGGCTGGTCTGGTGCCTACTTTGAATGTGGAAGGTTGGGCATGCGATGGCACGGAGAGTAAGATAAAAGAATGTCCATCCTTTGTTGAAAGGAAACAATGCTATGAACATCACTTTACAACACTCCATTCATCACAAATGCAGGTAATACATGCCAACAGAATAATTATCTGGTGCCCTGGATGGCAGGTCCGGTGCCTACTTAGGACAAGGAAATGGTTCCGTTCGCAAGGAAGGTTCGGCATATGAAGACGTGGAGAGAGAGGTTACTGTCTTGCCTTTTAGCTGGGAAGAGAAAATGCAGTCACAATCACAGACGCAAGTGTTATATGCCACCAAAATAAATTGCCTGGTGCCAAAGCCGGCAGGTCTGTGCCAACGTAGGACAATGCTTGGCATGTCAAGACGAAGAGAGGAAGGTTGCAGACTGTCAATCCTTTTGATGGGAAGAGAAAATACAGACAATGGTTTAATGAGGCCAAATCTGGTGCCTACTTTGGACAAGGTAGTGGTCCAATTCACATGGAAGGTTCGGCATATGAAGGATCAGAGAAAAAGATTACGGACTGCCCATCCTGTTGTTGGGAAGAGAAAATACAGCCACATTCGCAGACAATGGTTCAATGAGGCCAAATCTGGTGCCTACTTTGGACAAGGTAGTGGTCCAATTCACATGGAAGGAGTGGCATATGAAGGATCAGAGCACAAGATTACGGACTGCCCATCCTGTTGTTGAAAGGAGAGAACACAGCAAATAACGCAGACATATGTGAAATACACCACTGATTTGAAATTCCCTGAGGCAAGGAAGATTTGGCATATTAAGACTCACAGAACAAGCTTACTGACTGTCCATCCTTTTGCTGGAAGGAGAAATACAACCATAACCCCAGACGCAGTTGTAACATGCCACTACATGTAATTCAAATTCTCTGGGGTTCAAGAGGCTAAATCTGGTGCCTGCTGACTCCCTTCTCCCAGCGAAGATGCAAACTTCCAGGATACAGACAGCAAGGATTCACCATCTGTTACTTTTGTGGTGCACCCGACGATGAGTACGGTAGAAAAGCAATTATTGGTATGAATTGTTTAGTAGGCATATGATCAAACTAGTTTGCACAGCTGAATTTTTGGTTCGTCTTTTAAAACTTGTAATCTGACTTTGTTTGAACTTATATGGTCCTTGTACTATCATGTAAACATTAGGAAGTACACACAAAAAAAAGGTTAAGGGCAAAAAAAAAACATGAACAAAGTTGATGTCTGGAAACTGGGTAAGAAACCTTGCCAGTGACCATGATGACTTGAAAATTGTTAAAATGAAAAATTGTACTTAAAATTAGGAGACTTTTATTTCATGATCAGAACATGGTTGTTTAATTAACTGGTTTGGTTTGAGGTTGGCTTTATCTAATACAAAACATACAAAGATGCACACTAAAAAACCCACTCTTTGAAGAACGTAACAAACGGCAGAAAAGGCAAACAAATTCAAAGAGAACGTTGGCATCTTTTTAATGTTTGTAGTCATCACACTACCAGTACTTTTGCGGCATGACACCATTTACCAAAGATCATGTGTCCGTTCATTCATCGCCACCGAACATGATGTGATCCCTTTTGGCCTTGTCTTTGATCTGTAAGAAAAAAATAATAATAATTTGGTGCATAATCTGTACTTTGTTGTTTCATTTAGAAACTTTCACGAGGGAATATATAATGCTATCATAAAAATAGCAGTGAATTTTTCACAATTTCTGATGGTTCCTTTTAGGCTACAGGCATAGAGCATTGTACAAAGAGAAACGTGTGGTCTCTCCAAAGTTAAAAACCTCTTCTTACCCATTACCCTCTGGGTATTTTCACAACAACTGCAAAAGTGAGAAGCCTGCCCAGTGTAATAAGCTACAAATCAGAAATCCAAAGGCCAATCAAGCTGCTTCTGAGTCTGTAGTTTCCAACATCAACAGGATACAACAATGGCATCCCTCAAAGGGATTGACTCAAAATTGGCATAAGTAGTCTGAGATGCACTTGTACTGGTGTTGATGGCCCAATGCAACAGGATCCCACGTACTTTAACACCTGTTATATTGGTCTGTATCTGGCTGAGTTAGGGTTAGGGTTAATATGATGAAACTATTCTCTTTTACCCTCTCAACGCCACGTTTCTTTGGTTTCCTTTTCTTAGTGGTCAGCTTGGCTATTCGATCTGCCCTCAATTTCTCCCAGTAATTCTGCTCGTCTTGTCCTGTAAGAAGAGAAATACTTTTGAGGTTTTCATTTTTTTTTTTTAAATAACAAAACAGTGTTTGGTTTGTATTTTCAGGGCAATCTTGAAGTCTCTGTTTACAATTCTTGACCAACAGATTTCAAAGACCACACTAATTCGTGTTAAGTAGATTCACAAACCTGACAACAGGTTCAACTGCACCGGGCCGCCGTCATTGGAAAGTTTGCTGGCTTTTCCAAGTACTGCCTGTGCCCCCTCTGCAGACTGAAGCCGTACAAAGCCGTCAGTATCCCCACTATTTAGCTCAATGTAGGCGACAGGCGAAATTTGTTCCAATTGCTCCTAAAAAAATGCATACAGAAAAATAGTTATGAGGGTAAAAACACTGTTAGACATTGAACTGAAACAGACCATGTACCATTTTTGTCCAAGCAAAGTTGCACTCTTGTAAATGTTACAGCCGATCAATTCAGTAAAATCGAACGTGCATGTACATCCGACCACATGATGTACATGTATAAGGTCATTAAGGTGAAGGAGGAACCTGGTCAGTATTTATTTTTTGCTCAATAGATGTCACATTATTAGTGACGATCACATTCACTTTTCCAACAGCAGCTCATTAAAGTTTCCAACATGTACATCTGAATTTAAGGAATTGCCAAGCTCAAAATTGATTGTGATAGATGATTTTTGACTGAGTAGTTAAAGTGTCAACCTCTACTTCTCGAGTCTGATTTCAAGTTGGAGTATTCAAAGTAGAATATCTTACTCGGAGCTCCTTGCGAGATTCAAATGGCTTCTCACTCCTGATTTTCAGCACTACGCCGGCGTGGAACCCGGGCTCAGTTGATTTCACTTCAGGAGGTGCCTGACAAAAGAGGCGGAGGGGAGGGGAGGAAAACAACATTTGGATTTAATATAAGGTCAGTGATTTCTATTTCAGTGAAAAATTTATACAATTTATAACATGGCCCTTTTGAAATAACATTCAGTGATTCAAAAGGCATTGCTTGACAAATATAATCCAATAAGATAGTAAAGTCATTTTAGGGATATGGTTAGAAATACACTAGTAAGCAGGAAGTTGTGGATTCCAGTCCCACCCGAGTAAGCTTTTGAATTTTTTCGCAAGCTCTACCATAACCTACCCAATATAAAATTTTATCTCCCCCAAAAAAATACACAAATTGTCTTCTTTTATAAAATAATTGTGATGAGGATTACCTGAATTGATGCCTTCTGTTCACACTGTTGGAGCTCTTGTCTTGGTGTGCCCTTGGCCCATTCTTTCCTTAGTGTCTGCTTCATCTGTTGCCTGCTAGCCTTCTGCAGGGCAAGATATTCCTCCTTCATCACCAACCATTTCTTCCTACAACCATGAGGAAACCAGAACTTCATGTTGGATCAGAATAACACTGTCTGCTGTTTCAGAAACAATCTTACCTTCCTACAAATGTTGAAACTAGGTGTTACATATTCCACATTAAATACATTTTTTTGAGCAAGATGCAAACATTTTTAAAGCAGGTATTAAATTTTACGTTTTGCTTACTTCGGAATGACACTGAGTTGCATCATGGGTGCAGCATTTCCGTCCTCTTTCTTATTTCTCCGACTTCGACTTCTTTTCTTCCTCTTCTTGTTGCCTTCCTCCTCCATCATCTCTGACTCTGTCCTCCTCCTCTTGGCATCTTGTCCATCCTCCACATAATCTTTGTTATCCCTGTGATGACCTGGCAATGAACTCTTGACCTTTAAACTGTCCACACTGCCATTGGAATTCTCCCGTTTCCTCTTGTGAGTCTCTGACCCATAGGCCTTCTTGGTCGTGGAGGAATCCTTGGCTGACTTTTCATCTTTGACACTATGATCTGATCTGTCACCTTTGGAACCTGGGTCTGACCTTTCACCTTTATGTGACCTGGCCTCATGGTTTTTACTGCCGTGTGATGATCTCTCATGGGCACTGTCGCCACCAGAGTGTTTTCTTTTCCTGGAGTCCTTTTTGTCCTTGTTCTTGTCCTCGTCTCTTAGCTGCAACTGGTCGTGCTTCTTTGTAACCATATCCTGAGATGCTTCAGACTTCCTCTTAGTCTTCTTCTCAAGCTGTGTTCTGTCATGAGCATCTTCCTCTGTTCCTTCACTCACATCTCGTTTTCTCTTTGATGCAGATGCCTCCTTGTCATCCTTAACTCTGCCCTTCTTCTTATTTATCTGTTCCCTCTCTGCATCCTGTGACGTCTCTTCAGTCTTGCTTGCCTCCCTCTTTCTCTTGGTTGCCTTCTGCTTAACTTGCTTCTCAGACTTCTTGCCATTACCTTGCTGCTTAGAGACTGCTGCCTGTTCTGGTAGAATCAGACGCCCTTTCCGAGTCGTTGGGAAGTGGCCATCAGGATCGGGCTTATCCCTTGGGGGGTTGTTTAAGAGCTTTATAGACAAATAAGAAATGAAAAAAACAATGTACATGTATATTTACCAATTCCACTTTAAGGCTTTGTTTTGTTAGGTGGTTGCTCGTTTTTGATATGTTCACTTTTATCCCAATTAATTTGCTTTGCATTTAAATTCTCTTGAAGTACAAACTAGCTGTAGGTTGTAAAAACAAATAACTTAAGCCAGGTATCCATAGATATAAATTCTGTTTTCTCACCTTGCAGGCTTTTGCTGCCCCTTCAGGAGTCGAGAACTCAATGAATGCAAACTTCTTTGGATCACCAGTCCCCTTATACCTGGGCAGACTGATGTATGCAACGGTACCACAGGCACTGAATGCTTTACTGAGCATATCGTGGTCCACATTGTGGGGAAGATTTTCCTAAGTACAAGTAAAAAAAGTTGGGGAAAAAATATCAGTTTTGTCAAAAATTATTAAAACTGGTTAATAAGTCAACATGGTTTGAATGGTATGCACTAGATATCCATCCGACAGGACACTGCCTGATCTGCTTGAAGGAGTTTTGCATGTGTTGCACGCAGTAATCTTACATGAGTTACAAATGTCAAGGACCATGTTAAAATCCAGGAAGACAAACACACTACACACAATTCTTACCACATAGACGGTGACATCATCGATGTTATATTTGGGTTCCTCAATCGGATTTGTTCGACGTATCCTGGTTTTATCTTCGCTAACCTGAAAGGTGCAAGAAGTCACAAAGGCAAATTATTTCATAAACATCAGGATTTAAACAATATATCTTATGCTCGTCAAGTCCCAAATCAGAATATTCCTCAACCAAATTTGCAAAACAATTCAGTGTCTGGTTATGGTACACTTAATTTGTTTTCTTACAAACTAAAAAGAAATCAAGGGTAGTCTTACCACTAGCGCTTCAGATTTCCCAAGTGCTCTAGCAATGAGTGCCTGGTCCTGAGTCAGATTTTGCATCCGATTGAAGTTTGCGACGGTGGCAATGTCAACATCTAGATGCAAACAACAGACAGAGTTTCACATGCAATAAGAATGGTTTACCATTTTTTCGAGGTAAAAAGGGCAGAAAAGGGGAAAAACATTGCAGGAGGGGCAATAAGTAGATGGGCAGTGAAGACAATTAACTTTTACATAAAATGTAAACGTTTTCAACAGCATGATGTATACATGTATGTACATGTACATGTCCACAGCTCAGTAAGGAACGAAGGTTTTATTAAGTTAAGACATGTCAAGAACAGGCAATAAGGAACTGCTGCAAGGGGAAGGGTAGTTGGAACATGGACAGGATGGGTGCATTTCCTTTAAGTCTAGACATAATTTAATTTCCCGGATTTTAAAGGGCTTTACTTGTGTTGCACTCACATCTGTCTTCAGACTTGTCGATTTCCTGTCTGAGGAAGCGATCTTTACGCAGGTTGGCGTCACTGAAGTAGAACTCAACTTGCTGTTTGATGTCGGCCTGCAACTTCTTCAGGCGTTGTCTCTTTTTCTTCTTGTCTTGGCCACTATCGGTGGCATCAGGCTGAGGACCTGATTGGCCATTCATGGTCGATGGTTAATGGTGATTACTTGATATGCTGCTTCAGTGACGGATCTGCAGAAAAAAATACATACCAACACATGCACAAAATATTATCAAATCACTGATTAAAGAAATGGTGTAAAAAAAAATGGAAAGCATAAAGTCTCCTTTTCATTTATTTTCGATTTGCACGGTCAGGTTTTCCTGACATTAACATAACAAGCATTTATTTTATCATTAATGTCAAGTTCATTTCCATCTGAAAACCTGGAAAATAAGGCATTCATCCATGCCAATGCCATGTTTCAAATATAAATGTAATTTACTCACTTCCTAAATTAATTTACATAACTTACTTGACATGTTTTAATGAATGTCTGCATGTTAAAGTGGAAATTATAAACATGCAGCAAAATCTGATTTTTGTTTTACAATCAAGCATGTCAAGTGTACAACTTGAACTATGAACTAACACAATCATGATGACAATATTGAAGCATGCATGCAGTAGCTGTCAACATGTCTTCAGAGGCATGACGTGTCCAAAGTACATTGAACCATTGCGTCAAGTTACACAAAAACTCACAAAGACACATGCTGTTGCATGACATGTATAAGTACAGTACATCTACGGAGGTAAAATTAGATGTACCAAACTATCATAGATCATAGATCTAATTCTACCTCCATGGTACAGACATGCCGCAGAGCCCACATGCCTGCAATAGCTATGCCATGGTAGCTGGTCCAACTTTTATTGTCAGATTGTTCATGTTGCATGCTGACTGCTGTGTCTTCATCACCCAGCATTTGCCCAGTTCCTTGCGATTATACTTCGTTAACAAACCTTTCTGAGAGCTGCTCCACTGAAGATATCCTTATTCTGTTAAGATCAAAATGCGTAAAGTCAAATTTTAGTAAAGGTTTTGATTTTCACAAACATGCAGCCGCACCCGGACGTACAAAAAAGGACTGCCCCGGCAAATTGGCGAGCGCCACCACCGTATAATAAATTAATGCATCCGCCACGCGCTGCGCGATGCGCCAATCGAGGAATCAGCCAATCAAATCACCGCAAAATCGATGACAAGCTTTACCCCAAACAAACATGGCTGCGCCCATGACTGAGAGTTAATAATCAATGGCCGAACGCACGTCGCCGTTTCAGTCTTGTCTTTGAAATCAAATATGGACCTACCTCCGATCGGCAACCCGTACGCTAATTTTGCGGATGTGAGTGAGCGGAAGAAGGTGTCACTTGCAGACGCAATCCACAATTACCACGGGTACGATGAAATTGTCCAACTCGTTGAAGAAAACCCGGATGCTGTACACACAAAAGGTGACATTCTGTGTAGGCCATACGCTCCGCCTATAGCGTACCCATTCAAATTGGTTAAATATGGGAGGTTGGGGATGGGATGGGATGAAGTTGTGGAGAAGGGGATGGACGAGGATGATGCTGGGGGTGGGGTGGGGTTGGGTGGGGAGGGTAGGGTCAATTTGTTAAATGAAATTGAAATGAACTTAAATCAGGCATGAGAATTTGAGATGAAGCCAAATTTACCGGGTTGCATGGTTCAACATTGTCCCGCTTTATTCAACACGCTCAGTAATTCAATTTATGTATTCCTGAACATTCCCCATCATGCCCATGCTGTTTTGAAGTTGATTCTTGATAAATCATAAATCACGTGGAAAGAACAAGTTCCATAGGCCTACATCACTTGACACCATGTAGGTAGGAAACACCCTCAGGTTGGCGTAGCGGTATTTTCCTCACCTTCCACCGCTATGACCTGGGTTCGAATCCCACCTGGGACAACATGTGGATTGGGTTTTCAGTCCCTACCTGATTCCGTGGGTTTTCCCTAGAATATCTTCTGGGCTTTTCCTCCCACCTCTAAAACTGTAAATTCTTCTCATTGTCTTCTCTCTAAGTTGATGTTTCCCCTGGGATGCTTTGCCGACTGTATGATCTACAGAACCCTAGACTGAGACTGGCCTGAAAAAAAGTCCAAGTGTTTTCTTAGTAAATGTACATTTCCCTGCTAAATTTGACTTTTTTCAAGGACATGTTATCGCTTTCTGATGGCTGATAAGTCATTGCAGGAAAAATTAGTGATGTCGATGTATCATATGGAATTCTTTCCAATCATGTTTGTTTGTTTGCTTTAATATAGAAATAATTCACCCACTTTTACAACTACATATTTTTAATGTCTTTGTTGAAACAAACAGTATGAATCTATGAAACTTGGTGTAGAACTTGCCTTATCATTCTGGAACCAGTCTGACATGGTGACAAATGTAGCATGCCTTTGCATATCACTTATCAGTTTTGAGAATCTGCTTTTTAATTTTATAACTATTTCTAACATCAAACATGTCAAACAATTAAATTAATTAATTATACATTGTTCTTTTATTAGATCATTGATGGATCCAGACAAGTTCATATCACTTTTTGTCAACAAAACCCTTGAAAACTTCTCTTTTTAACAAAGATAGGCCTACTTATTGTCTTTGTTTTCCTTCTTTTTTTTTATATTATAAAACTGTAAATTGAAGTGTGTTTTTTTTTTTAGCTGGATCCATCATTGATTTTTTTTTTTTAAATGATAAAAATCCCATTAGACTAGATGAACATGAATCTTTGCTGTATGTTTTGAAGCAAAACAAGTTGCTTGTGGAAAATAATTCGGTTAAATATTGACTTTTTTAAAATGAATTAAAACTGTTTATATTTGAATGTGTTTTGAAACAAAATTTTCAATTAAAACACGTCCCATAAAACTAGAATCAAACAGGGTGCGTCAAAAAGAAAGTGACCGAGTTAGAAAAAAAAAATATTTTAAAGTACATGTGGCGCGCTCCATTTAATAAAATTAACATAGGAATACTATATTTACCAATATAGTAAATAATGAATGCCCTTAAAATACAAAGAAACATGGTATTTTCCTACATGTACCTCCATGAATGAACAAAAACTTGCAAAGGAAAACAGTCAAATAAATATCAACCATTATCATTTCAGAAAAAAAGACTAGATTTGTTCCTCAATCCAAAACACCAAATCTCACAGTAAAAATAATGTGCAGTATTGACTCAAATTATTAAAATCTAAATTTGTATTTGAATGCCTGTGTACTTGTATGTATGTATGTGTATAATCTCTGGTTATACTTCAAAGCATTTAGCATTCCATGAACAGCTGTAAAAAGGGGTTCTTTTAGTAATTTTAGTAAAACATGCAAGACATCTGACAGCATGGATCAATTCAGTAATTTTTTTCACACGAGTGGAAGAACATGCTCATTTGGTACATTTACATGCTTCAATGGTGTATCAAATTTGATTGGTTTTTAAGGGGAAAAAAATTGATCAAGGTCACTTTCTTTTTGACTCGCCCTGTAGTGCAGAGCATTACAAAGAGATCTACATGTACATTTGTAAGTAAATGTAACTGATAATTTTACAGAGATAAACTGTATTAAACACCAATTTACAATAAGGGACAATGAAAACAATTTAAAAAAAATATATCAGTGTAGGCCTAGTAAAGAAAAACCAGTTTCTCGTCCCTGTGCACCTGCTTCCATTTTCTCGCTCGCGCTCATTTTTAAAATCATACAGTTACAGTATATATTTTGTCTTTTATATTTTGTCTTTTTATTTCAAGCAAAATTGCTATGTAGGCAAATTCAAAAGTATCAGCAAATAAGAGTCGAGAAAATGGACCCGGCAATCTGCCATCTTGGAAAATCTGCCATCTTGAGAAAGAAAAAGGGCTGCCTCGTTTTCAAAAGTTGAGACGTGAAACTTTTTTTTTACTTGGCCTTATGATGGTTACTTAAAACTACATTGTACAATGGTCAAACACAGAAAATTTCACAGATCACGCAGCAATGACACAAAATACCAATTAAAATAATCAATATATAATACCTGACTTGCTTCATCCTAATCAGAACAAACTAATTGTGAAATCATACTCTAATCATTGCTGGAAAATTAAAAACCAACATGATTTTTCTTTCTATCCTTTTTAATTTTGCATACTTTTTCTTTACGTAATAGAAATAATTTTATTTTTGTGGCTCATCAAAGTCCTGGACAAGTTAAAGATTTTTCTATTGTATGTATTCATTCAAATTTTCATCAAACCAAAGTAAATAATTGACCATCATTGGATCAATAAATTTAAAGTTTTGCAATAATTTAGTTGACTCAAAATACTGTATGATTTTCCAATTAGCCTGATGCCGATGAAGTTAGCCAGTTTTTTTAATACACCTCATGTACTTCTAACCACGTCCTACGCGTACATGTAGCTCTATGTTTTACAGGCATGCAACTAATTTCCCTCGGATCAGCTGATTTCCTTGTTTTTCACTTCACACTTAAGCCATTAAAAATTGAAACACTATTCAAAGCCCTCGGTTTTTTTGGCTACTTTCAAGTTGCATGCCTGGTTTTAACTAATTACAAACTTTTTCAGTATATTCACGAAACACACTTTGACATTTTACTCAAGAAATGGTCCACAAAACATCACATCAAATTATTGAGTTTAACTATATTTTATAATTTCAATGGCCAATTATAACTTTTTTATTACAGGTTTAATTAATTTCTAACCTAATGTTTTTTTTGTTTTTTTTTAGATTCATGACAGCCTATAGCTAATTCACTGTTCCACATGTTCTTCAAAAATGTTGGTATTCAACATATTTTTATTTCTTCCAAACATGCAAAATAGGATAACCATTCAAGGAAATGCTGAAATTTTACTGATGAAATTTCCTTGTTTAAAATCTTGAATTTAAAAAAAAATACATATCATTTGCCTCGATTCTCTCCCCCCCCCCCCCAACTTGAAAAATGTATGCACCCCAGGTGCCCCCAAGAAGTTTAACCCTAGTTACGCCACTGTTCTTAATGATTGACAGAGTTTTGAAAAGCTACTGACAGTTTCTAAAAATGAAGTTTCATAAATTTGAACAGTTTGTATAAATGTATGATCCTATATGATTGGTACTTAATCACAGAAGGCATACATGTATACAGGCAGTAACAGAAATCCTCAAAGCAATATCTGTAAACTCAAGTAATAGACAGCACTCATCACAAGAAAATGTATCCTTATTTTTTTTCTCCTCCCATATCATGACTCCATCGCAGATGTGTAAAGAAAGCCAATACGCTCACAATTTGCTTTGTCTAATTACGTTACAATTTTGTGCACATCAATAAAACAAGATATTAGCGTAAACCTCATCATCCAATCATATCACAAATACATTGAATTCGTACATATGTACATGTACATCAGCAACAGCCACGAAGATATTTTGTGCTAATTCACCCACATTACATGTACTGTATGTACATCGAGACTCGCCCTACAACTTTAACCAATGAAAATAACTCGTTCATTTACACACAAATGTAGCTGTAACCATGCAGGCGAAATGCGTGCATCCATGTACAGCGGTTATCCCCCAGTTCTTAAACATAAATTTAAAGACCAACTATTTAATGGATACAATTTGTTTATGGTTCATGATTTTTCTGTAATGAAAATGTTCTGATCCATCAGGGCTGCCTTCATGTGTACACATAAATATGTACAACATGTATGTTTGTTGTACTTACAAATTTAATGTTTTCTCATTCCTATGCAGCACAAGCTTTTTTAATTTTTTTTTTCATCATCGTCTGTGATTGATGCTTTGCATTAGTACTGTTTGTGTACATACTCATATTTACTGTAGACTGAAAAATTAAAAAGGAGACACCATGATAAAGTGGGAGTGTAAACTCTAAATTGTTTCGATAGAGTACATGTATTTTGCTGTATTGATATGAGTTGAAAGAGATAATCTTGTGGTTTGTGTTTTCAGTCATCCTATTGATTCGACTTATGGGACGTTCCGCATTTTCATTTCACTTTTTGCCAAGGAATATGGATTGTGTCCCACCCAGGGAAGCCATTGTATACCTAGGCCATCTATATTGCATGATTGGCAGGGTAAATACCCATGTTTACCATTGAGATGGGTACCATGCGCGAAGCATGCTGTAAACCACCATGCACCTTGAAATCCCTGTGCACAGTTGTTCTGGTTCGCATCATCATTGTCTTTATCCCAGGTTGAGAATTGATAAGTATTGTGATATTGCAGTGCATCACCTGCTGTACTCAACTCATTGTACGAGCCAACATGGAGTGCGTAATTCTGGCCTGTGATAGCAAACTCACCGTACTCTGCCCAAGCCGTGTTGCCCTCCCAGTCCTCCAGGTCAACACGAAGTTGCCATTGTCCAGTCTCTGTA